CAATGCAATATACACAACCTTAGTGAGAACTAAGCTTCAAAATTTAGTCCAGGTTGCAAGACGCTGTATAAAAGGTGACTCGAATATCCTGGAAAAAATACAGAGGGCAACTACCTGAAGATGCCTCAGGTATTCGAAGTTTGACAACGCTTTAACCAGTAACACCTAATATGAATCGTATCAACAAAGTAAAATCAAAAGACAGAAGCGAGGAGGTTCGAATCTATATTTGATAGGCTATCAATTTACCGCTACATGCCCATGCAATTCCAAAACTCTGGAGTTTACCATACAAAGAGCAGCTCGAAAAACTAGATCTTCTTACCCCGTCCTATCGCAGATTGAGAGGTGATCTGACTATGATACATGTAATAACAAGAAATGATTTTGGACCTAACATCTCCCCTCTTATTCTTCCCACTAGATTAGAACATCTCAGAGGACGTAACGGGCGAGTTGAAAGACCAGGAACGAACAAAATACCCGTGACAAACTGGTTTTTATACCGAGTCATCAATTCTTGGAACCTATTACCCGAAGCAGTTGTGTCCACACCTTCGAATGACTCATACAATAGAAAACCAGACAATCACAGAAGCATACTAGAGAAGGAATAAAATGAGCCGTAGGCCTTCTGTCTTTACTACACAAATTTGAGTTTAAATAGGAATCCAAATCCAAATCGTAGAAAGTTCAAAAACCGAAATCAAATCGTTTATGTCTGGAGTTTCGTTTCTCACACCGAGTAGTGAATTACTAGAACTCTCTACCAGAACATGTATTATCAACATCTGTTGATATATTCAAAACGAGATTGGACCTTCACCGTGTTACAAACTGCGACGATTAATATTGATTGATAGACTTCCCATCCTTAATACTGAGTGCTTTTTGTACTAGTTGTGATTACTCTTGCTTTGTGTATTTGTTACAAGATAAAGCATTCTTGGTCCGCTTTAACTAGAAGTACTTTGGTTATGGTTTGAGATTTTTTCTAAACTTTGTCCTATGGTACTTTTCTTGCTTACATATTGACTGACACTCGTGTTCACATTGTGATCATAGTGTGTTTTAAACGTTTTAAATCAAATTACAATGATCAGTAAGACTTATAAATGTGGACAACCAAACTGCTTGTTCCCCATTGAGGAGGGAATGCAGTGCGATGAATGTAAAAAGTGGTAACATAAGATGTGTACACGTCTAAGTCTTACGGCCCAAAAAAGATGCTGGAAGCATTGGCTTTGTATGTTTTGCCGTACAAATAAAATGTTACTAATCCAGGAGGCTATGAGCCTATTGGCTTTGGCCTGTAAGAAAAATGATGGTGGTTGGCCTGACACCGCGATCACTGACAATGCAGAATGTGTCAGTGTAGTAAGTGCTGCTACCGGACCCGTTAAACACCCGATTGTGATTGACGGAAAAGTAAAATCTCCGTTAACATTAACAAGGAGTGACGTTCCGCTTGTTATTGACATTGGAAATCATACACCTTCAGTGGAAATCGGAGGCCAGGATAAATCTGTCATCGTTCCAAATAGTCCCAGTGTGACTGTCTTGAGTGATGATAAACGGACTTCAGCACGGAGAAAAAGAAATGAAAAGAAAAAAAATGTGGGCAAACCGCATCTGGTTAGCAAGTCATTGGAAGAGACGGTATTAGAAAAAAAAATTCCACTGAGTGTCAAGACAGATTTCTCTAAGAGGTCAGTCATTTTTCATAATTTAAGAGAATCTTCCGATAAAGAACCAAAGGCTAGATTTGAACACGACCTCAGTCATATTAAGTCCTTAATAAGCAAACTACTCCTAGATACCGTTTCAGAAGTTAGTATTTGTAAGCTTTATAGAACAGGACGAAAGGTAGATTCTGAAAGCCCTCAGAAAAACCGCCTCTTGAAGGTTACATTTGCCACGGTTGAAGAAAGGAACCTGATTTTAGGTAACTCACGTAAACTGATTGGATCCGGAATATATGTCGTGAGGATCTCAGCCTAGCTGAACGTATTTAGAGATGAGCTGAAGAAGTGGAAATAAATGAGCGTCGGCGAAACGGTGAAAGAAACCTCTTTTTTAAGGGTTTTCAAATTGTAAAAGTTCGGAGCAAAACGATCCCCAAACCACTCTGGGTGGTAAGAGAAAGTTCTCCACAGACTTAAAGGTATGCTACACAAACGCTTGCAGTTTACTTAATAAAATGGCGGAACTTAAGTCAATGGCGGATAAAGAAAAACAGGATGTTATTGCTGTCTTTAAGGTATGCTACACAAACGCTTGCAGTTTACTTAATAAAATGGCGGAACTTAAGTCAATGGTGGATAAAGAAAAACAGGATGTTGTTGCTGTCTCAGAAACCTGGTTAACGTCAGAAGTATTAGATAATGAAATTCAATTGACTGGTTTTTTATCCAGTAGGGTCGATAGATTAAATCGTAGGGAAGGCGGGGTTATCCTGTACACGAAAAGTACCCTAACCATAAGAGTAGCTGAGACAGTGGCAGATGTTTCAGGGACATGTGAACTGATGCAATGTAGGCGGAAATGTAGACGGCAATATATTGAACTAGTTGTAGTATATCGCAGTCCAGAAAGTTTGGTAGATGATTTTCTCCTAATTAAACTTAAGTCCTGGTGTAACAAGGGTAAAAGCCTTGTAGTAGGCGACTTTAATGCACCGTGCATAAACTGGGTTAACCTAGAAGTAGGGTCATCGATAACGTCGTTGGATTGCAAACTGTTAGACACCTCAATTGAATTAGCTTTATTCCAACACATTAGAACTTCAATACGATATGACTTAAGAAACTCTTCTCTTTTAGATTTAGTATTCACACACGGGGATGACTTTGATCAAATCACTTTCCTCCCACCACTAAGGCGAAGTAACCATGCAGTTATCTTATTCAAATTCATGGCTGAGATTGCCTGTCAAACAGTTGCGCCAGCCCGTCCTAACACATGGAAGGCAGATGTGGAGGCCATCAACTCTGCAGCATCGGCTGAAAACTGAAAAATTGACTCAAGGGCATTATTCCAAGAAGCATGGACGCATTTCAGACAGTTATACAATCGGGTAACACAACCATACATACCCTGGACAGTCCCAAAAAAGAAGAAGCACGGACATCCCTGGATAAGCCGGGATATTCGACGTTTATGAAGACAAAAGAAGAAATGTTGCGATGTCACCATCCGCCTTGGCACATCAGGTACGATGGAACGCTACAGATCAATAAGGAACAAGTGTATAACAAAAATTCGAGAAGCTCAAAGAAAATATGAAATGCAGTTGGCCCAATCTACACTCAAGCAGCCCAAGAGAATATTCTCGTACATAAACTACAGAACAAGGATGCATCATTGGATTTCCAATTCTAATTAAAGAAAGGATTGAACCTGAAATGATAGAGGAAGATCAAGTAAAAGCAGAGGCTATGGCTGACTATTTTGGAGCAGTTTTCACTCAGGAACCTCCTTTGGACAAAGAACCAGACCAAAACAAAGAGTCAATATACCACCTGCTCACCGTGAACTTCAATCAAGACGATGTTCTTAAGACTCTTAGCACCTTAAACATGGAAAAGTCAACAGGACCAGATGAACTACATCCCAAAATCTTGAGACGTATTGCACAATATATTGCGCAATCGTCACTCCCATACATAAAACAGGACCAAGACAAGTTTCATCGGACTACAGACCTGTGAGCCTCACCAGTGTTGTAGTTAAAATATTGGAAAGAATATTCAAAGGGACCATAGTGGAATTTATTGAAACAAATAACTTTTTTAACATAGAACAACATGGTTTTAGAAAGGGTCTATCTTGTACAACAAACCTCCTTATAGCAAGGGAATTTTGGATAAAAGCGCTGGACAACGGAAACTCAGTGGATGCTGTCTACATAGACTTCAGTAAGGCTTTTGACAAGGTGCCAACTTATAGACTGCTATTGAAGTTGGAAAACCTTGGTATTTCTGAACCTCTTTTAAAATGGATCAAGGATTTCCTAGTAGGTCGTAGACAGAAGGTAAGAATAAATTCCAAGTGCTCCATCTGGAGACCAGTACTTAGTGGAGTAACTCAAGGTTTCGTCCTAGGTCCTTTACTTTTTATAATGTATGTTAGTGATCCTCCAAGTATAATACAGTCTCCAATGTTATTATACGCTGACGATGTAAAGATCTGGAGAGTAATAACTGGAGACACAGACTTAAATGCTCTTCAGACAGACTTAAATAGTATAATTAACTGGTCTAAAGAGTGGATGATGCCTATCAACGCGACAAAGTGTGTCTACATGCACTTTGGGGACTCAAATGTTAATAGGTATAACATAGGGAAAGTGCCATTACCAGTGGTCCGGTCTCATAAGAATCTAGGGGTGACAGTGAGTCAGGATCTTAGGACGAGGGCCCACTGCCGAGAGGTCGCAGCCTCTGGGCATTAAAACGGACATTCACTAAGTTAGATACTACTATGTTCACCAAAGTATACACATCCTTAGTGAGGACTAAGCTTGAGAACTGCGTTCAGGCTGCAAGCCCCTGTTTAAAAGGTGACTCAGATATCCTAGAAAAAGTACAGAGAGCAGCTACCCGTGCAATTCCAGAACTCCGGGGTTTACCATACAAAGAGCGGCTTGAAAAGCTAGATCTCTTCACTCTGTCCTATCGCAGATTAAGAGGAGATCTCTTTTTCTTCCCACTAGATCGGGACATCTCAGAGGACATAGCCGGCGAGTAGAAAAGTCAAGAACGAACAAAATACCCGTGGCATACAAGTTTCCACACCGAGTCATCAATTCTTGGAACCTGCTGCCCGAAGCAGTGGTGTCCGCACCTTCAATTGACTCTTGCAAAAGAAAACTGGACACTCAAAGAAGCATACTAGGAAAGGAATAACATAGGCCGTAGGCCTTCTGTCTTTACTACACAAATCTGTATCTGATTCTGAAAACTGATCCTGACTCACTTTTTGAAGTTTCACGTTACGCTCGTGTTTGTGTTAAAGTCATCAGGTATTAAACCGGACAAAAGTTTAGTATAACTGTTATTGTACTGAAAAGCTTTCCGCTATGTAAACTTGGATTAAAGTTTCCTATTCACTGGACACTTTGTGGAGCAGATGTGTTGTAGCAAATCGCATCAACAACTATAGTTATATTTTCATTCAAAGAGGTCATTATATTCAAACACCATATAATTCAACGAGAGAGAACATTTATTTTGGAAGGTTTTTTGTGATGATCATGCTGTTTATGAATCAATCGAACTAAAATAAGTTAGTATCAGCGTATGGTGGAAACAATAACTAACAGATAAGAAATGACGAATTTGAACCATGTTTTATCTAGTAGAAATGCAGCTCCTCCTCATCTGTATTTCAACGAATTAACCGTTGTTTCGAACAAATAGGCTCTCATTGATGCAAAAGCAAAAACTATTTTTCATCGAATTCCCAACTGTTTATTCCGCGATTCGTTATGCTTGTTTTTCCAGTTTTTCGTGCTGATAACTGTGATTCATTGATAGGTTGTGAAGCCAAAGTTTTTTTCGAGTCTGTGACCCACTGGTTTGAAGTAAATAAAACTTCAGTTTGCATAAAAAGTTTATCCGTTCAGAAAATGCCACTGTCGAGCCGTGTATTGCCTACATAGTGCTTCTGAGTTAACTTACGTCTGTCAGGGCTGTTGAATTTGGTGTGAGGAGATTGATATCATTATTTGCATGTTTATCACCAAATTATGGTATGTCTCATAGTATTGTCACAAATACCGCTAATGTTACAGATATGGATTATCGGGCACCCACCAAACATCTTAACTTTTCAGTATTTACGTCTCTAAAGTTCAGTTTCATATTGCTTATTCCTGTTACCCGTTGTGGTTGAGTATGGGCCGCACACCAGCATTCTCCATCTAACTCTGTCCCGGGCAATCCTTTTCATGTCTGCTTCCAATGCTCGGTTCAGTGTCTTCTGTGGTCTGCCTCTTTTCTGTTTCAACTTGGGATTCCGAGTTAACGCTTACCTCATGATGCAGTTTGAGGATTTCCGTAACGTATGTCTTATTCCACCTCCAGTGTTCTTTCCAAACTTCCTCTTCAGCTGGAAGTTGGTTTCTTCTCTCGCACAATAGTTTGTCGCCGATAGTATTAGGCAAACGGATCTAGAGTACTTTACGCTAACAATCGTTTATAAATATTTGTACTTTATCAATGATGATTGTCGTAGTTCTGCAAGTTTCATCTCCGTGCAGTAGAACTGTCTTGATGTTCGTATTGAATTTTGTGACTCCGATGTTGGCCGACAGTTGTTTTGAATTCCATATGTTTTTCAACCGTGGGAATGCTCTCCTTGATTTGTCAACCCTTGCCTTTACATCTGCATGAGGTTCTTCTTGTTTATTGGTGTTGCTGTCCGGGTATATGAGTTTCCACATCTTCCAGAGCTTCTCCATTAATTGTGGTACGATTGGTGCTCGTTTTGTTGTATTTCAGGACCTTGATTTTTCCTTTGTGTATGTTGAGGCATACTTTAGTCAAGGCTGCCGCTACACTGACTGCCTTCACTTGCATTTTTTTATGTGGGATAGAAGAATTAGGTCACTTTCGAAGTCCAAATCTTTTAGGTGCATTTAAGCTGTGTATTGTATTCGTGCTTCCCCTGAGATATGGAGGTCTTCAAGTTTAGGCTTATTGCCTATCTCCACCTGCATTTTTCGGCGTGTAAAAAGACTATTCAGTCTCATATTTTGATATGTAATACACATTCTACACTGTTTCTGACAAGCATCAGTTGCTGGGTAATCAAGGAGTGTCCGTCCAACATTTTATATCACTTTGAGTCAATTTCGTCCACATACTCGAGTTTTTTTTCAATCACGTGAAGGTGACAAAAATAGCAAATTTAGTTTAACCCAATCTGGTTCTAATTTCGAACCCATTGAAAAGGTCTTTTTAATCTTTAACTGTAAAAGCAATATCTTCCAGCATAAGAATCAGGTTTTGACTTTATCAATCCTAGCATTTTGAAGGCAAACTTGATTTTCTAAGGTAACTGTTGTCTCACTGTACTGTGCGTGATAGTTATCGCATTTATAACTTTGATATCAAGTCTTTATACGGATTTATCTGCCTTTCATCCTCACGATTTTCGATAATACTTGTATTTTCTAGGTGGATTATACCACATGTTAATTATAATAGGAATGCTGATAAACGGGAATAGAATAGAGGTTATGCTCTCGACATTATTTTACGCGTTCGACTTTGTTGAAACGGTGCTTTTATGCTATTGGAAATTTTCAGCCGGTTAATTACTTTGTTATGATAAGAGTAACAATGAGAACTGTTAACCAAGATTTTGTGTAGATTAGTTACACACCAAAGACTGCGAGAAATATTTTCTTCGATGCATATTTCATTCAATAATATGTAGTTATCGTTTCGATTATAGAAAATGTAAGCATTCTCTATAGGCTTAGAGTTTTCCTCTGGAAATAAAAAGCTGTTGAAGTGTTATTCTCAAAGGTTCTTTTTATAAATAACATTTCACTATTTATCATTTTTGTTTCATAGTTTATGCACTATTGTGTGGATCTTTAATGGTCGTTAGATTCGTGTTCTAAACAACACTATATCAACACTACTTCATTCTTATTAATTGGTTTCCTGAATCAGAGTCATCACAAAGGAATTTAACATGTCCGACCCAATCAAACATGATGTTACATTTTTAACAAGAGAAGAGGCTCACTCAACCTTGCGTTTAGAAGACTACTACGATATCGATCGTAAATTTTCAAAGCCTGGATTTCGAACTGAAAATGGCCAGTTCAATTGGCATTGCTCTTGTGTTAGTTCATATATATCTGGTCCTTGTGGATACTTCTTTCGGAATTTTATGCAGAATATTGACAAATTTTTAAAAAGCGAGGACGCTTTTGAAAAACAACAAAATCGAAACTTGTTTATTCAACTTCATTCTCAGTTATTAGGGTGTTTAAAAACTCATCCTGTATATTATAAATCATTCATGGATGAGTATGCTTCACCGTTAGATAGTTTGATGAAAGATGTAGAATAGAATAACAAAAAACTTTTGTTTCTGTATTTACTTTTAATCTCAATTTGCGACAATCAATTTTTACTTTCAGTAGTTACCGACTTCTAAATGGCGTGTGAAGAAAGATGCGGATATTTTATGAAAGAAAAAAATAAATTTTGTCATCAACTTCGCGTTAAGGGATCAGATCGCTGTTTTAACCACATAAGCGTTAGTGTTCGATATTTTGTATAATTGCAAGATTTAGGAATCATCCATAGCTAAAGTGGCTTGTCCATTGGATCCAAAACAGTAAGCTCTTTTTTTCAAAATCAATATCCTCCCATAGTCTCGTCAGCCGTTCAAATCTTGAAAAACACTTGAAAAAGTGTAGTAAGCAGCGTAGAATTAAGGCTGTAAGCTGTTGTTTTGTCAAAATGAATGATTTTCAGGTATATGAGGTGTCTGGAATCAATTCAGCCAACTTATGTAATAGTAAAATTGTTCCAAAACTGTCGCTAGCTGATGTGTCTGCAGTTACAACGTTACGGCTGATAGCACGTTTAGAAGAATTGAGTACAGGTCAGATATGATTTCATGTAATGTGTTGAGTGTTTGTTTCACATTTCGTCCTTTCCTTTCATTCTATGTTTAAAACGATGACCAGGCTGATTTTAGACGTGGATGTGTCGGTCAAACATTCACCATTCATCAGGTTCTGAAACGTAGACATGTATTCTAACTCTTCTTAACTTAAATATACCGTTCATCTCTATCGATTGAACTCTTTCTTAAGACAATATGTTTCATTGAAAGTCAAACCAAATGCTTACATGAACCGTCTGAAGGTTCTTCTCTTGAACATTAGCCAAGTTAGAGCTTATAGTGTACTGTCACCAGGATTGGTAACACCGTACAGTGTTCGTCAGAGTTGCTCATGTTCCTCATTTTAATTTAACTTTGTCATCGAAAATTTCGGAATCAATACTTTCGTCTGGATTTCCAGGGATTTATCCTTACCAGGATGCTCGCTTATGGACTCAGATGATATAATTCTATTTGGTAAACGGGCTCATATACAAGTCCTCCGATTGTCTTGAGAACAATCTAAGTTTGTTTTAGGTGCTTCTATCTCTAAACACATGCTTTTCCAAACTTTCATGCATCATCCTCTAGATCGACCACAGTGGTAGAAGTAGTTGAGCTCTTTGACCACTCCACGTCTTGAAAATCTCATCATACCAGATCATTTGGCGCCTAATAAAATCTCAGCACGGATTCAGAAGGATTAATTGGCATTTGCGAAATTATATTACTAGTGGCTTAAAGAAGATTCCTGTCTATTAATTAGAGGACAAGCGTACTCCATGACTATTTTTCTGTGTACTACTCTACAGCTGTGAAATATATCCTATGAAAGTAGACGGTATTCATAGGGTGCTGGATTTCCATTTTAGGTGTCTCTTAAAAATCAGTCATGTGTTGTTGAACAACTGGTTAAATATTATTGAGGTCAGGCATAAGTTACTAAGCAAATATGACAAGTCGGTTGACGGACGTGTCAGTCTTTATTAATTAAGATGTTGGGCACATACATTACGCGCACCCAACCATCGCATACATCGACGCTCATTATTAGCCGGTGTACTAGTAAATCGAGAGAAATATAAGAGCAACCGACATAAGACGCGGCTTCAGTGCATGAATCCACTAACTTTCATTCTGGTCTATGTTGATAAGATGAGACCACTCGATCGCGGTTGCTGAGTGTGTTGTTTAAAGTGGCAGTGTAGCAGTGTAAACTCACTCACTATTTCCCTACCCCTAAGTCTGGAGTTTCAAATTGCATATCTAGTAATTTTTTTCTTGCTTTTTGGACCATTTTGAATGTCTAATCTTTTCTACATATGACATACCACTACTTCCAATACTTTGGTACTTATCTTGACAATTGTTATGTTTTGGTGCAGCAACTTGGGAGGATGAACATTTATTCCGGGTATTTGAAGCTATTATCTTGGGATAATTTATACGTGTCTGCTTTTTTCCACCATCCTGTACAAAATGACTATTTGCTTACTTAGAGCATATAAATTTGTTAGCTCCACTCGTATTATAATATCTCCACTCTACAGTATAAGTGATGCAATATTCTTCCAGCTTTGAAGTTTTGGTTTCAAAATATTACCTGGTGCTTTCATCTTAATTGTTGATGTATTCGATCTATATGTGTTACTCATCATTATTATTTACAGGTAGTTTACACATCTTGCCTATCAGATAAAGGTTCATATACTCAACTTTGAGTGTTACTTTATCGTCTGAAGGATAGTAAGTACTACTCGACCACTCATATTGGCGTAAGTACGGCGGAATTGAAAATGCGATACCTCAACCTCCCCGTTCTAATGAGTCTACCAGAAAATAATCAAAAAGTCAGTACAGTATATGATTAGTGTGGCTAAGATACATTTAGTCAATGGATTCTCACTTATGATCTGATTGACAGAACATTTGAAACTCATTTCTGGAAATAACAAGTTTCTTACATCTTGACCTTTCGAAATCACAAGGTAGTTATTTGTATATTAGCCATATTTCTTAGAAAAATTTCCCAACTACTGTAAAGAATAACCGCTGCTACAGACGATGTTACCTGTTGGATAATTAAAGAATAAACTTACTCTCAGGTAATCAGTACGGGAGAGTATATTGTAGTAGGACCTACCACCCTACCTATACTTCTGTCTTAGTTTATAAACTCGATGTACTATAGTTTCTGAATTTTGTAAAATCTATTTTAGCATATCCAATCGTGTGACTGAAATATCAGAATTAATGAAAAGACTAGACTTTTAAAATGGGAATGTTTGCGGCCAAGATCTTTAACAACCTATCTCAAGCCTACTAAATCACCACTTGAATCAACTAGCTGACTTTGGAGATTCAGTGTCTTTTCGTATCTATCCTATAGCATATTTTTCATCCAGCCCAAATGGTCAGTACATCTTGAAATAGTTGCAGTTTTCTATTCTCTTACCTTTTCTCTATCTAGTCAATAAATCTGGACAAAAAATAATCATGAACAGATTTGTCAAATGAAACTGGTATTCATCAAATGATTTAATACTTTATAAGTTCTCACACCACACTACGAGTTCATGTAGAATGTTCATATTACAATATAACTATTTGAAACGAATATAATGTTAATACAAAGCCTCCGAATCGGTAAATCAAAACCTTCCCAGACTAGACGATGACGTTGATAGTTTGGGACCTTTGTATAGTATACAATTAGCTGTGAACTGCTACGTCTGTAACCAATTCATAAACGAATGGAATGCAAGAAACATGTAAAAATCGTTATGATTATGATAAACAGAATAATACAATTGATAGTAATTACACCAACAAGCAGTAGTAAATTGACTATAATCATGGTGATAATAATAATAGTAATATATACAGTCCCTTTTATAATCTTGAAGAGAAAATCAGTAAATATTTGAGCAGAATAACATGCATTCATTTTATCACTTGGTTCGCATCAACTGCTTTCCTGTGCCTGTTAACTCGTGGAGGATAGGTTGCCAACCATCAATCTTCAACCATATTCTGGATTTTTGATGTCTGCCTTCGATTCCCGACGCACTATGTTCTTTGGCCTACCTGTTTTTCTTTTACAGTAAGGATTCCAAGTTAAGCCTTTCTTCAGGATGCAGTCTGAGGATTTCCGCAATGTATGTTTTATCCACCCCCAGCGTCTATTTCTAATTCCCACAGCTGTAAGCTCATCCTCTGCCTGGAGCCCTCCAAGGGTTACTCGTCCCAAACCCAGATAAAGGAGGAGTAATGGTTATGAGGTTAGCGACTTCGTACCTTAGAAAAGAACCTTTCTAAAGAAATGCTAACCAATCGTGGACTGAATCTTGATCTAGATAGTCTACATTATTGATTTCGAGCAACAAACATTCAATCACTAGTTGAAAGTAATGTTGCAAAGATCGGCCCTATAAGAAAAGTGACGATCATGCAAATCTGTGTTCCCGACCCAAATAATAATAATTTTATGTTCAACTTTTGTCATATAAATATTGGTTGAAATGTTCTATATTCTGGACGGCAATTGGTGAGAAAAAATCTGTTTAGGACTAACCTATCAAGTCTGACCATGTTCGCCAAACTCATCTTACTATCGAGCAGTCAACGAATAGATTTGCTGTAGTTTATTACTGACAAATTGTACACTGTATTTGGTGTAGGGTTAGCTACTGATTATCGGTTGTTTTTTTAAAATGACTTCATCCAAGTAGTTAGTGAATAACTTCAACGTCCGGAAACGTTTTACCCATGAACGTTGAAATTTGCTATATATTAACTCTGGAAACTTAATTTCCGCTAGATAGCATACATTATCCTATTTTTCTGTGTCGCCTACACATATTATACATTTACGCAAGAAACCTCTTATGATTTCGATAATGTAATAAGAAGACGGAGATTCTTATTACATTACCGAAATTTATCAAAGGGACTAATTGCTTTAAATCTCTTATGATTTAAAACAAAACCAGTATGTTAGTCTTGTGGCCTGTGCCAAATTCTAATTACTGCCATTGGTACGACTTGGTTATGACTGTGGAATAACTGTTGCCCATTACTATTTGAAATGGAATAAGACTACTGCATTGACACAACGAAAATCATAATGACATAGAAGGAGATAGATTTATTAACCAACCGCTTATTAAAAGAAGTCAACATTCATATTAAGATGCATATTATTCTAAATAAATTTAAATAGATTGTATTAGTAGTTTATCAGTAATATATATTCGTTTCCTTCTTAACGAAAACCAATACACAAATTTCACAGCTGAAAACAAAGTTACATCTTGATATTTATTCCCATTGGAGTAGTTTATATCAAAGAGACAATTTTCATGAAATCTGTCATGTCATCTACTAACGTAAATAAAATACTTGTAATAAACACTATAATGCGGCAGATTTCCTCCACCAGTAAGTTTATGATAGCATATGTTGTCCTGTGATTGGTTAGCGTTTACTATCATTGATGATGTAGAGGTGTAAATCGGATAGTACATTTTCATGCGCTGTCGGTTAATTCACTCAAATGAACTTAATACACAATTTTCATCTTTGTTTAAAATAAGTCGAGATTTTTTCATACTGTAAGCCATATCAACATTTGTGGGCGAAATATGTTCCCAACATTGTGATTTTACTCGTAGGTTCTAGTTCTTTCTTATAACCATTATAGTGGTAACAGCCTGTTAGTGTAACTGAATGAGCACCAAAGTTTTGTCTTAAATGTTAAAATGCCTGACTTTAAACCTTCGTGGTACAAGTACAAATCTCTTCAGGTTGTAAGGTGAAATAGTATCACAAGCTTTTACACAAAAAGTATGACTTGAAGCAGATTACACAAATACTTGCTTGGTTATTTGCTAAATAATAAATACATTAGTTTACTATGTATTTAACTAAATTTCCACTCATCAGACTTCAAGTCACATGTAGTATGTGAATGTTAAATATAATCATTGGGCAATCAAGCGGAAGTTAATAATAGAATGTTCATCATTTAACAGTAATATGCTTAAAACATAAAAATCATAATAATTTACTATCAGTGTACAATGTAATCATACTAAGAAGAACTTTTCATTATGTAATCAGTTTCATTGAGTTACAACCTATTCACATTGAGAGTTTATCAAGTCTTGAATTGATTTTAAAATTAGTTTGGCGATGTTGATATCAAAAATATTTAACGATCACATCTCTTTTATAATATTCAATACCTTTTTCCGATTTATAGAGTTGAATCTTATTGACCAAATCAAAGATTTATCAGTAGGTGATATTCATCCACTTATTTCATTCACAATGAATAATCCTCGTCATTGGTGTACAAACGGATTTCCTGGATTAAATGAAATACCCTCTTTTCTTCAGTCAGACTCTATATCATTGAATAACAGCACTGATAAAGGTGATTTCAATAGATTATTAATCAGATGACTTAATTGTATCACTGAATATATTGATTAATTCATTTATATTAGTTTTAAACTAAACGAATGAATTAGGTAGAAATTAGTTCATGTAAAGTGGTTTAAGGCAGTCGATAACAAACCTGTCTTGTGCCTTTTGGTACTCTTCAGCAAAACGTGCCAGCAATCTTGAGGGAACTATTGCTCCCTAGTGGATTCTAATGCACATCATCCAGCTTTACAGTCTGAGTTGTTACGACCGAGCTAGTCGGGTGGCAAGTGACCTATATGATTAGTATGTTTATAATTAATCGGTCATTTAGTGGCTAAAGTCGTGTTTGTGTAGTCCTGGTCGAATTCTATTGACTAATTTGCTACGTGGCCACTAGTCTAAAGGACTTGGAATCACCTCCGAAATAGCTCATTGTTAACGTCTTACTTAGACTTTGAAGATGGGTAACGTGTCGTCGAGTCCACTGGTAAGCAACAGCTCCATGGAAATTACAGATATATATTTATAACAAGTACCAAATAGCGCAAAACTTGGTCTAGGGTTTCCTGTCGACAACCTTACATCTCGATATAATGTACGCGATGACAAGTTACCACAGTTAAATTACTAGTGACTTATTTCAATTTCTTTCCGAAGTTCTGCTGATAAATTGTGGTTGATGGAGACATGTCAGAAGTGGAACAGTTGTGATCAATCGGAATGTATGATTGTCTCATTTTACCTCGGATTGATTGAAGTTAAATTTGTAATACTGGATGTCGACCCAGTGATTCTAATCCTTAAGTGTTCTCCCCAATACCTAAAGGTTCTGGGTCCAGTCATTGGTGGAACTGTGAGTGTTTAATGTGGAAGAGTTTCACACTACGACAAAACAACTATTCTGTACCCCTTGATTATCAGTGGTGCCTCAAGTGAAATTAAGATGTTGTGAATACAAGTTACAAACTAAACTAAGGTCCACAAAACCACTTTAAGTTACCTAAACTTGGTTAACGTTCATTCACTATATACGATATGCAGTTATTTCGTACTACATAACGGAACGTTAAGATGAGATGCTTTTTCTTTTCCTGTTTGAGTCAATCAAGATACAAATTTATCAGAGGATAACTTCTCAGTAAATCCAGAACATGCGATCCGTGGATCAAAGCGTCATATATATCAGAATGGATGTCTGATTCGAGTTTTGGAAAAGGAAAACCTCCTTACTACTGGTAATTTATATCTTGAATTCGGTGCTGGTCGTGCTGGATTATCTCACTGGATCAACAACTGCTTAGCATCTTCTGAATTAGGCTCTCGTTGTTACGATCGGTTTCCAGGTATATGGCCAGTAAAGGCACCTGAAACTGACTTTATAGTTGTGGAGCTCAATTCCGTTCGAAATAAGGTTTGTTGTAAAAAAGAATAATGGTACATTCAATAAAGCTGTTTTATGTTGCTATCTGCGTATTTATTTTTTCAGGAACATTGCCACTTTAAATGTTTTATTTAGATATATTGTATATGCTGATATGGGCAATCTTTCATGCCCTCATGATACTAACCTGGTTGTAAAAGGTTGGGTTTACAATGCATTGATGAGGGCAGTTTTGCTCTTAGCTTGTGAATTCAGTTTTAAGTGACTCTATGCGTCTAAGCATCATTACCTACGAGGGATTAGTGACAGTGAATGCCAATGCCACGTTAGTAATGCAGACTTTCGGCAAAATTTGTTCAGGCACAGTGATTATATATTCATCGGTGTAACTATGTTGAAAGAGAGACTTCAGCGGCTTGGATATGTAACACATATTTCGTCCCAGTGAATTCCATATCGTGGATTCTTTGCCGATGCTCGGCCTGGTTGATGGAGACAGAAAGATATCAGTTTATGACATGGTGCCGTGGAATGAAAAAAATATGTATAGGAATTGATTCTCTCGGTCCTTTACTGCTTCCTGGTTGGCCTTCTAGAGACAGTGCAACTTAGTGGCTTGAGATGTTATCAAACATAGCTCGGAATAGAAGCCATTAGCGATCTTCTTTAGTTTCTTTTTACTTTTCCCATAAAAGTGTAAGGAACAACTTTACCTGAAAGGATTCTTTCTAGTTATACTTTCTCAAATAATTCGTTTCTCCAATTTTTTGTTATTCTTTTACATCTGTTTTTATTCATTTATTTTTTCTGATTATACTAAGTCTCCTTCATTTAACTGTTCACAAACTGATTTTCTTAGTGTTATGTATCTTTATTTTACTGCTTATTTTTACCAATATTTATGTATTTAAATAATAACAACAATAAAATATGTATATAAATCATTATAGTCTATTCCAATAGTTATCTTAATTTTAGAGGGTATTGGGTTACCCAATGTATTAACAAATATTACTAATGGGTCTAACTTAAAATTCGTTTGTTTCTCACTAACATTCTACATTTCATTGTATCTATATTAAAATTATATTCAGAGTCAATAGTTTTATATTGTAGACATGATATTAAAATCTACAGTTTGTCAACTCCACTGAAAACTTGGAATCACTGGATGGCCGTTTCGTTCTAGTGTGAGACTCCTCAACAAAATATATCCAAGACCCCCGCACATTGGATTCGAACCATGGAGCTTCGGTCTCAATAATTTGTGTTTATCGTAGTATTATATGATCTTGTCAACAAATAAAATATCATGTGCGATCTGATCAGATTAATTCCAGACCAGAATATCAATAATTACAATTTGTAAACTCTAATGTAAATTATGAAATGGAAAAATTAGTAAACATCCTTCGTATTAAAAATAAACAATGGAGAATATTGCTAAAATCAACAAAAAATATATAGTAATTTAAGGAAATCACTTTGATTTGAATTACGATTGATCCTGTATATCAAAAATTCCCCTTCGTAAAGTATAATTATTAGCTACATCACAATACATAAAAAAGTGTTTTTTTTGTTTATTTATTTGATACAAGGAGGCACCAACTACATATGCGCCACACAAATCTCATTCGGTTTGTGCGCCGGCTGTGATACTGTCCGGGTGCCCAAACCGAAGAAGATGGTTTTCTTAGGGGGCCACACCCGGAGCCTTCGACCTAAAGGTCTGATCCACAAGGCAGTGGATCATCGTAAGGAGATGCAGTCCCATGGTAGCCGATGACCAACTATTGATTCAAACGCCATCTGTTCCCTCAGGATACTGGAGCCCATGTGCACCATTGGTTTGGAATCACGGTTTCCCAACTCCCCTTTGTGAACTCTCCATGTTCACCAACCAGGTTAAAGCGCCGGACATTCGCTTTTCATCCTCTCAATTTTGTAAACAACACACCCGCCACGAGAAGGTAGTGAGTTGAACTTCCTTGGCAGAAGCTATATACACATGGCCAAGTGAGAGCATTTCGAGAAAGAGAGTTGACTCTCCCCACTGTTGGCCGTACCAGGGCATATCTTATTTTCATTTTAAGGTTTAAATGTTTCTGTGTATTGGTTTGATGAAAAGATTTTTTATGTTAATCGTTTGCACCAAGTGAATTCATTGATTCATGTAATTATCTGTAAATTTTGTATTTATCCTAGTACAAGTTGATCAACATAATAAGTTAACTAGTAACAATGAGACAGGGGTTTTGTGGAAATTGTAGTACTTTAATAATTGAATTCATGGGTCAATTGAAGCTAGATCACCATGGAAAACCTGGAAGGTTCTGAGTTCGAATCTCGCTGCACGGAATCGTGGATGCGCACTGCTGAGTAGTTCTGTACTAGGATGAAATGGCCTTCCGGTACTTCCAGGTTTTCCACGGTAGTCTAGCTTCAATTGACTCATAAATCCAATTATTAAATTAACTAGTAATATTAATTATATTCGAATACCTACATAAAGAAGACCTAATTTATGTGAAATCCTATTGTATTTGTCTACTTTCCTTCTAACTGAATTATCATTCTTTCATGTAAGTATTTCAAGAAATAAAATTTAAATTATTTCCAATTCGAAATTTATTTTCCTGTCTCTTATAGATGGATAGACGTCAACGTGATGAAGGAAATTTCACACGTATTAAAATAGATATAGCTAACTTGGATCTTAGTAAGTGTTTTCTTATTTAAACGTTTAACATTGAACTTCACTGTTTCAATGCATTTTTCACTTGATAGTTGAAATTTTGTAGTGTTCAACTTGAATGACTAAGAAATTTGTTTATTTTACTTTTCAATCAATCTGAAATACATCATGGTGACTGGTTTTAAGGTATAGTTGAACATCACAAGTGTCATATATGCTTTTAGTAAAAACAATACCCATTTCAAACATGTATAGGTGTGATGTGATAGACATTGGACTGAAATGTCTTGTTTCTTATATCTGAATTATTAGTTTCCATCATAATTTATAAGTGGTTCATTTCAGTTGGTCTCTTTTTAAATGCACTTAAATTACTGTTATATATGATATTATTATTCTATTTTTTTTTCTTTGAGGATGTCCTAAATTACGACTTGTGCTTCCGGGAGAATATGACTAAAAGAGTCTTCTTTTTAGTACATTTGAAAGCCTTCTCTTTTCCGTTCTGTCCATCAAACAGACCAACTTTCTTTTAATAAAGCAGCGTTTTTTTTTTCAAATTTTTTTCCGATTTTCTACTAACATGTAATCTTACTAAAAGTGTTCACGGGGGCTCTTCAATCTATTTTGTGTTCATATGTTTATAATGACAAATATACATTTTTTTTATTATTCAGAATAGTACATATGAAATCTATTTAGAGCCATAGTTTTAATTTTAATGTAACTCATATACTCAGCTTCCAGTCACATTATCTGGCTTGATAAAACAAAATACGTCCCAGAATTCAAACCTATTGTTCACGAATTGAAAGTTGAATAATTCTAATAAAAAAACTACCTATCAGCTGACTTTAAGAGAATCCCAAATTGAGATGAAACAATAATATTTTAGCTAATAACATATCATATATATGTATATATATGTTACCGATTTAGGATTCCTCTTTTGTATTAAAGTCTTTGCTCTTTTTATTAATATTCATGTCTCTTGATAGCTTTTTCAATTGATATCTTCTCATTTTTTGTTTTCATTTTTCTGGAGTTTATTATTATATGAACTTATGTTCAAAAACAAAAAAATATTTGAATGAACAGTTGCTATCAAGAACTTTATTTTTGCGCTTAACTTTATAATGATTAATATAAGATATACAGATATTAGTTATAATCAAATGTGTATTTCATATTAAATATTGAGGTTTAAATACTTGAAAAATATATCATTAGTAAATTTAATAAGTTATGTTAGAAAGGATAGGAAAAGTCACTAAGACATGATGAGTTATATGCAAAATTATTATTATTATTATTATTATTATTATTATTGGGGGCTTTATTCAATATTATAGTTTTGGTACAATATAGAATTCTCAGCACAAAGTATTTCAACAAGTTTCCCTTTCTTATTTCTTGATCAGTTCCTTGCGATAAATATTAAGTGGTCTCCAGTTAGATGTTAGCGGTTCAGGAATCGACATCTGATAAATGTATATCCTTTTCGATACATATTGCCAGTAACCATGGTGTCTCTGATTGAGCTCTTTTGTAACTTGCACAGCGAAATGTTGTAAACTTTTCACAAACGCACCTGAATAGGTTATAAGACTAATAGGCATAATAATGTGTTAAAACAAACAAGAAAACAGATAACTTGTTGAAATATCCAGATGGCAAGAACAGGTAGCCCAGATATTCAAGCAGGCCACCTCTTAAACAGAATAGCATGTAAACATATTACACAATATGAGAAATGTTCTGTCGAGATAATAATAATAATTATAACAGTTTGATGAGTTACATATTAGTAAATAGTTCATTTTTTATCCATACACGGTAACTAGTGTATTTTCAATTTTGATCTTAACCATTTAGTATTCATTGAAGTTAATATTTTTGAGTTTCAGAGGTTGAACAATCTGATTATCTGCTTTCACAAAGAATAATATTATTTTAAATTCTGTACATTATCCTAATTTTGGTATAAATTTTAAATAGTTAAGTACTTTCATGATAGATTAGTTAGTTAATATTTTATGTTTAGCATTTCATAATTAAAAATGTTTAGAAAATTTTGTATAATATGTCGAATTTTCATACTTTAAATCAATTGTTATTCTTAGATCACCATTGCGAACGTTCACACACGAAATTAAGGGTTCAGAGTTCTACTTCTGATTCAGCGTCGTGAATAGGCACTATTGAGTCCCATACTGGAACGAAACAACCATCTTATGCTTTGCTGTTTTCAATGATATTCTAACTAAGATCAGTTTGTAATTGAAATTATGAGATTTTAAGAAATATTTAAATTAAAAATAGGTATAATTTGTTTCGTTAATAATAGTGGTTGTGTTACAATTAGTATTGTACATATGAATAATGACATTGTAAGAAAACAATTTCAGATTTTTCATAAACAACTATACATTCAAATCAATCACTTTTTTGAGCAATTAAAAATTCTCTTAGATCCCCAGAATTCACTTGGTAAATGCCTTAATTTTGTAATTTTATTTTGAAAATTTGAATTTCCTTATTTTCACGCCAAAAGCGCTCTTTTCACCTTCATGTCATATTTCCCACTTGGGGAGAATCTTTGACGCTATTGGCCCGTTGTGTATTTTAGTATGCTATTTTGTAACGCTTTCCAAGGACAGTTTTATGCTATATATATATATATATATATATATATATATATATATATATATATATATATATATATATATATATATATATATATATATATATATATATATATATATACGTTTCAACTGTGTCTGTTGTTATCGCTCGCTCGTGCTTCTGGCTTTTATGCAATATACTTCCCCGTTTGAACTTCGAATTCTCTCTTTAGTTAGCAGGGATCGGACGCAATAGAATAGCCTGTTATTGATATTTGGTCATAAGATTTTGTTCCGTTCGCAGTCTACGTGAACTCGTAACCGCTTCAAACCTAGCAAATTTTTTTTACAATCCATTAGGTTAATGAAATTTTTGAAACGATGGTATATTTTAAAATTTTCATTTTTTCAAATTTTACAGCTCGTGTTCCACTGATACAACAGAATAAAAGACCATTAATTGCTGTTGCCAAACATTTATGCGGTGATGCTACAGGTGAATGTAATATTTAATGTTTATGTGAATCAAATGTATTGTCAATAATGATGATGTAATAAGAAAACGGTGATGATTTGTAAAAATGTAATGAATATGCTGGAATACATTTTTTCAGTAATCTCGTTGCACATATAGATTTTAATGTATCAAAACTAATCGAAGTCAAAATATAAAAAAAATGATTATTGAAATATTGGAAAAAGTAATGAAATAAAATTGAGAAACTAAGTAATATATCATTTTAGATATTAAAGTTAAGTAAAAATTATCAATGAAGATTCATGATCAGAAACAGTTGTTTTTGTATAAATGGTTGTAAGCTTGAATTATTTAATGATCAAAGCTTCTAGAACCCAGGAATACGTCATTGACTATTGCTATACAATGTTTTAAAAGTTCTCGTAAGGTCAGTCTTATGCTATTGCAATGATATATTTTACTATTGAGGAATATGATATTTTACTTCCTTCGTTTGCCCACGAGTATGACGCTAACGTTTATGTTCTGCTACTTTCGAATACAACATTCGATTACTTTTGCGTATGTATATGTATCAGTGCACACACACACACACAAACACACTCGTTAGGATTCGATCTACACTAAAAAGGACCGTCAGGGTGTATCAGTTCCATTCAGATTAAAGGAACACCTTGCTGACGAATATCAAGCAGCACGAAACCTAGGTCCAGCGTTTCCTATTGACTACATCCAACTACTATCTTATCTCATCATAGTGTACTCAATGTCAAGTCATCAAGACTAGTGGTCACATTACAACTTAGTCGATAGCATTCGTTCTGCACTAAGAAGGATCTGACATACATGATACTGATCATCACCCAGAGATGAATCCATTGTAAATACTATTGTGGACCACAGGGTGGCTACTCTAAATTCTACCGATTAACCAACTGCAGATATTCCAGTACGACCTCAATACTGTTCCCCAATCTCCAATATATCAAAACACGAACCGTTAGATGAAAATTGTTTATAGGATCAGGAGAATAATAATAATTTACAGACAAATGCATATTTATACAGTTAGGACAACCATGAATATTGACCAACAGGAAAATGACACGTGAAATAAATATTGACCAATAGGAAAATGACACCATTTCACGTTCAAGGACAGCATTAGACTTAACAGAATAATTTTTGGGATATTTTTCTGAATATCCCAACAAATACACACTCAAATATGAATCGGTAAATGAAATGAATTGTGATGTGATATTATAACCTACGTGCAATCATGAGCATTGAGTTTACATAAAATTATTCATACCAAAATGTAAGATTGTCGAGAAGATCATTCATTATGAAAAGTTATTTGATTGTGGAAGGACAGTAAACCTTAACTTTTGAATAAAATATCCACATTAATTTTAAAGTCGGTTACTTGTTCTTTTGAAGCATATGTAAGAAATAAGCCGAATTTTTCTTCTTTTAAAAAAAAAGGAATTTGACAAATCAATTTTTTTTTGTTTCTATTCTGTAATTTTAAAATAATTAAATGTACCCTTTTTCTTGAAAAACAAAACATTCTCTTCTCAGACTTATCACTTCGTTGTTTAAAAAATGGTGAAAAGGTTATAAAGTATGTCAAATGTATTTTTTTTTTGTATAATGAATTTTTATAGTAATATTAAGTCTTCATCGATTCAGTATTCTTGTACATTTCATGTCACTTGACTAGTTCTCAGATCAAAAATGTTATGACTTGTGGCCTGTGTGCTCTGTTAATGGATAACATAATGACACCGCCAATTAGAGAGCAGTAACTTATCGATCGAACCAATGACGCCTTAAACCCGTACGAGCAGTTTAGAGTCATTATTGGTCCTGCTTTCCGTCTAGCCTAGCTATTTAAGTTCAGAACACCGATCTCAGCCTTTGCAATATGAATCATTTATTTCAAGCATACTGTGTTTTTATACCAACCAGACAGACCACATCGTACCGTGAAATGGAAAATAAAATTTGTACAAGATTTAGCCATATGTAGCTGTGAATGTGGGAGGTAGTAATTAATAAACAGGGCATAATTCAAGAATGGTAAATCGTATAATAATAGTTCATAGGTCAAAATAAAGCTCATAATAAGAGGAACATGAATATGAATAGTTTATGATGGAGTTTTGTTCTCTGAGCTGGATGGTTTGGTCGTGGAGCTTTCATCGTTCTTCTGAACGACATCATCAGCACAAACTTCAGATAGAAGTGAAGTGTTCGAATTTCTCCATATGCGTTTCACAGCTTGTTCTGTGCACCTCGATATTGATTAGTTCTTATTGACCTTAAATTTGTCATTGTTTACTTTTTTGTCTTGGTTTTGTCTCCTATTGGTTTGATTCTTGTTCCTATATTTGTGCATAAGTTTCTTGATTGGTTAATAAATCGGATCGATTTCAATATGTTTGTTGATTGCTGATTGCCCTGAGTGCCAGGCTTCTAAAAATTCTCTTGTGTATTTATAATTTCCTCTGTCCACGATTTCCACATTTTTCCAATCGAATGTGTGTCCGCAGTTGTCCACGTGTATTGATATAAGTGAGGAGATATCATGCCGTTTGACTGCTAATTGATGTTCATGTAGGCGCAGGTGAAGGGGGCGTCCGCTTTGTCCGATGTAGTGTTTGTCGCAGTTGACACAATTTATTTTGTAGATGATGTTCGACTTATCTTCTTTTGTTATTTCATCCTTTGGTTTGCATAGGATTGACTGTAGTGATTTTGTCGGTTTGTGTGCCACACCTATCCCGAAGGTTTTTAGCAGTCTTGTTGCGGTTTCTGATACGCCATTTATATATGGCAGGGTGATCCGTTTGTTGATTTCTGTGCTTGATTTTTGCTCTGATGCTGCATGTGGTTGGTATTTTTTGATGAAGTTGATTGGGAAGCCATTCTTTTGGAATACTTCCTTCAGGTATTTCTCTTCCTTTCTTCGTGCTGCAATGTGTCCTCGCCCTCTTAAACAAAGTTTGTACGCAGTTGATTTTGTGTGCTTTTGGTTTGTTGCTATTGTAGTTCAGAATTTGATCTGTGTGGGTCGGTTTCCTATATACTTGAGTTTCTAGTTTTCCTGTGTCCGTTCTAGTGATTAATATATCCAAGAATGGTAGTTTGTTGTTTGCCTCCTGTTCCATTGTGGACTTGATGTCATCGAAGACGTTGTTGATCAGTTTGTAAGTGTTTTCTAGCTCATTCTTTTTGACGATAACGAATGTGTCGTCTACATAGCGAACCCAAATTTTTGGCTTGATCATTGGTAATATCGCGGCTTCTAGTCTTTGCATCACTGCTTCTGCGATCAGTCCTGATATTGGTGACCCCATTGGTGTCCCTTTCGTTTGTTCGTAGATTTTGTTGTTGAATTGAAAATATGTTGTTAGGCAAAAGTCGATGAGTTCTAGTAGACTTTGACTTCGAAGCTTTGTGTACTTTGTGAGATTTGTGTCGTTGGCGAGGAGCAGGGATATAGTTTCTTTTGCTAACCTTGGTTCGATTGAGGTGAATAATGCTGTTACATCGAAGGATATCATTAGTTCGTCGTTGTTGATTTGAATGTCCTTAATTTGGTCCAGGAATTGTGTAGGGGATTTGATGGAGTGGTTGGATGAATCGACTAAATGTTTCAGTATTCGTGAAATTTCTTTTGATAAATTGTATGTTGGCGTTCCGGGCAGTGCTACAATTGGATGTAGTGGAATGTTTGGTTTGTGTATTTTTGGTCTGCCGTAGAATCGGGGGAGTACTGGCCCATTGGATTTCATTATCCATCCAGCTCCGAGAACAAAACTCCATCAAAATCATCCTATTTTAAATCATTACATTTTCTTACTTCAGTATGTTCAATCGTGCAATCAAAATTACTTAGAATTTTGATTCTCACATTTAAAGCTCTACCTTGCAGTTCATATGTACATATGTCATTATTGTTTAATAAGTTTTAATGTCAGAGGTCCATCCTCTTTCAGTTACTTCATTATTTATCCTGACTAGTCTCAAACACTATGTATCTTGATTTTATCAAATCTTTACATCAAGGAAATTTTCTTTAAGTTTACTCTACCTTACAGTAGCTCTTGTTATAAGATAGGTTTCTTTGTATTACAGAAACTTATTTACGAATATTTATTGAGATTTTATTCATTATACTGTGTTTATTCTTCAAATTTCTATAGCCTCGCAGGTATAATGTTTGCTGTGTGCTGTCATAGTAAATGTACTTGGGATGAAACAGTTGGTCGTTTTTGGCTAGAGAAAGAAGCAAAGATAACATCAGATGAATTTCGCTTAATCTCTTACTTTTCCTCATGGGCAGCTTGTGGATTCAAATGTGAATCGTCTGAACAAGCTGACAATCCCATTCACAGCTCTAATCAAAGCTATTTGGAAGCTTTAAAGAGTGCCGATGAAAAAGAATGTCAGGATGCACTGTGAGTTGAATTGATTTTTAATGAGATATTTGTTTCAATATTCAATGGTGGTCTCACTCAGACTGGTTCGTAATTTAAATGAAACCTACTGATTGCTAATTTCATTTTTTATTGACAGTATAGGGATGTTGATAATTGAGTGTTACTAAGATCACAAACTAACCTTTGCTGAACAACCACTGAAAACCTGGACAGCTGTTTCGGCCCAGTACGGGACTCCTCAGCAGTGCTCATTCATAACCACTCAACGGGTAACCTAACTCAGGACCTTCGGTCTCGCGCACGAACACATAACCTTCAGACCCATGAGCCTAAACCCTTTTGTGTAAAAGTCTAAACTTCAATCAGTTCATGATATTGGCGACCATCTTTGATTGTCTTCTGTGAGTAACTACTGTACATTAGATACATGTTCTTCCACTAGTCATGGCTCCTCACTATAACCCCGCAAATTTTCTCTTGAATCTAGCCACTATTGAGCACATGATGATTGCCAGTATAAAGTTATGGAGATTGCTAAATCTCAATTAAATCACGAATTGATCTATAATAGACTACCATTGAAAGCCTGGAATCACTGAGCGACCGTATCATTTTTTCATTACAATTGATTTAGTAAACTCTTGAGGATGTACCATAGACTGAATAAGTACTTGTAGTTTTTTAGTCAGTTAGATATCTAATGTTCTCACGAAATGCGACAACGTGTTAACCATTACAAAACAAATATTAGGTTGTTTTGATTTATGCACTACTTGTGAATCACACAGCCCACATTAAAAATTCCTTCAAATCTTCATCATTTTAATATGACTTGTCATTTTACTAATTTCTTCTCTGACTTGAGCACGATTAATTGAAATGATATTGCTGACTTGTGTGTCATTCTCATTCCAAACTGCTTCAATAATTTCCCAGATCTTTTCAATTGTTTTATAGCATACTCCAGATGTTGAATACATAGGTTTTTCACATATGCGGATTTGTTATTGTTTCTATAAATACAGAATACTAATGACTGGAAATATTTTCTCGTAGGAATTTACAACTAATATTTTGAAGCATATCAACGATCAATTCTATTAAGTACATGTTACTGCCTTCTGTCATTTAAATGAGTTGGCCATCGTAAATTACTGCAGAATGTAGTATGTGGTATTATTGGTGTTCAATCTTAACATTTAATAACTTCAAAAGGTTCATACCAGTTATCGAGAAAACACATCTTGTTTATTTTTCAGCCACAATCTAGATGCATGTGTAAGGGTGAAAATCGGAAAAATATGTAAACGTTTAATTGATTGGGGACGTCTTATGTACATAAAACATGAGTTAAATCTTCCGAATATCTGTTCTGTGGCCTATACAACATCAGATGTAACACCTGAAAACATTGTGATATGCGCTAGTCGGTGAAAGTCTGGCTGAAACTAAATTATTTTCAATTATTCTTTCGTATAATTTCCAATAACATGTGTGCGTAATTAAAAATACTTAAGATTTATTCTAAATAAAACCTTTTTGTTTCGTATTTAGTCCGGCTGTAGCTCTTCTAGAGTTACTGACGGTCCAAAGCCCGGGTAAAGGAGGAGGTTTGGGCATAATGTTAGCAACCCATCCCGTAGAAAAGTAAGTCGCTGAAAAAACGATAACCAGGAAAAATAATTCAACACGAACGTCAAGACAGGTCTACCGTACGTAAGATACTGAATGTCTGTTGACAGGATACCATCAGCAATAACCTACTGTGGGAGAGAACAAACCAGCTCCCAACTGAAGAGGAAATTAAGAAAAGATGATGAGAATGGATAGGACATACATTACGCTAATCATCAAACTGCACCACGAGGCAAGCCTTAACTTTCAATCCTAAAGGGAAGCTGAAAAGAGAAAAGCTAGAAAACAAATTACGTCGGGAAATGGAATCAGATATGAAAAGGATGAATAACAGCTGGAAAGGGTTACCCAGGACAGGGTTGAATGGAGAGTGCTGCTCCTCCAGGCCTAAGTAGTAATTGGTAGTTTAGTGGACTAGAAATTGAAATATCTCACAGTGCGAAACGTCCCCTCTCTGCTTTAACAACAATTCCCGATAAACGATTTTACTATCCCTAAGTATTATACATTTCCGGTGTTTAATGATGTGATCTTACTTTGAGGCCGTTTAGGAGAATTAAAATTTTTTTGCAAACTTCGGTGATTGACTACAAGTATGGTAATTGTAGCTGACATGAAATTCATATTGTTTGGTTGTTATGCTCATTTATAGATAGTAGACAACTATAGTGTATTTTGAATTTACGGTGAAGTGGGATGGGAACCGCATTCGCAATAACCCTGTGTCCCTATACCTCCGAATAAGGATAAAATTCATTTCATTTACTAACTGGTTTTTCATTTGAATCGGTTAACTGGTGCATTTTACTTGGTTCGGCGTCGTTTTAAACTATAGACACAGATTACCCAATTTTCTTGTGTTTATACATTGAATGGAGGAATTCAGTGTAAAAGATGTGAAATATATGTCCGCAGGGTGTGCATGATGGGAGCAATCGGTAGCATACATATACAACAAACGATTACAGGACAATAGTTCAGTTGCAAACAAAATTGCCTCTCTGTCGTATTCAGTATTATTTATTTGGCCAGAAATGCTGAGTCGAGTATGCTACGATCTCTTCATGTTTATCATACATCTGGATAAATATATGTGACAGGAATTCACTCAATACGTTCCTCACTTGGTTTCTATTGCTGTCGTTACACGGTAAATTTATTTTTAGCAGGATATGGGTAATTAAATGTATATTCGCAGTTGATAGTCAGTCCATCACTATCGTTAAAAACTCAATCAGTGCAGAGCCACAGTATACCCGACCTAAAAGAGACCAGTTTTGAATATGAGATTCCAGGAACGTTCCCCTGATGCGTATATGAAATTCATATGACAGAATATCTATTGTTACTGGAGACCCAAATACCAAGATGTCTCTGACTCGTAGTTTAAAGACAAATCCATCTACTTTAACCTAATTCTGGTATCTAAGTGAAGGCGCAAAGACGTTCTAATTATGGTTAACTATTGCTCAGGACCAAAATGCAAATATGTAATTGATGGATATTTGATCCAATGGGGCCCGCTAAAATAAACTAAAGATACGTGGAAAGATACATACATGTATAACACAAGAGATACTCGTAGGTTATTAATGACTGGGTGTACAGTAGGTCTAGAAATAATGCTAAAATGTGTTTGACCAGATAACGTTGAGGGTTATATGATAATTTCGAAGCTATGTTAACCACCTGAAAGTGAATTGACTTTCTCAGAAAGTTAAGAACTACAACTCTGCAAACGAAATCGTGTTGTTTGTACCGAAATATTTGTCGTCCTGATAGACAGAGTCTTATACGTTCAAACTCATTGTTTATGATAGTATTCCCTGGAACATTTAGCGCTAAAGATGAGCAGTCATGCTATGGAGAATTAGGTATAACGTGTATGCACAGAATCAAATGCATTAAAATCAGTCGTCACTCTCGTCTAGTGAAGTTGTTGTAAAGTAATCATATGTTTTTACACAACTTAATAGTGAAGCACTTACACCTCATGAGAAATATCCTAGGTCAAAATATCTTAACAGATCTCAGCTCTGGTTATGAGGTCTCTAAGCTGCTAGCTAGAGAAGTCCAATCGATTAACTCAATCCGCAATGCCTCTGTCCAACAAATTTTTTCGTGTCTGCTTTCTAGCTGACCTGAGCTTCGTGTATAACCACATCTCGCAATCAGAGAACCTAAGGAGCCATAATCGATTCATTCTGATAAAATCTGACCCAGAGACATAAAAAAATTAAAAGTTACAATTTATTCAGCCTTGTCATTATACCCAAGTAATTGGTTTTCCAAGGAAAACGACCTCCAACTACCGAGATGCAGAATCAAGGGAATAAAAAGTTTATTAATTTTGCCGAGCTAAGTTGAATTCGACGTGCTCTGATAACTTTATTATCAGACTATATCAATTCAGTTCTATATATTGTTTTTCAGATGTCCTTTTTATGCCACTGAATACCGATGACCAGTAGTGAACATTTTTCTTCTCATATAACCTTGAGTCACCATAACTAAATAATACCGCTGAACATGAAGTGGTATGAAAAAAGTCTCACAGAGGCTATCCATACTTTAGTAGGTCAAGATGACTAACTAAACTTCAGGAATGGTCAGAGCTTATTACTGACATCGAAAAACACATATATGCTAATAAACCAAATGCTAATCTTTTTGGAATGACTGCAGATGAAATAAGCATGCTGATAGCCAATTTTTCAGAATCAGCATCTCCAGGTATGTTTTGGTGCTTTTCAACTATTTTCAGATACGAGTTTTGGTCCTAGTACTTGTAATCAAGATTTTTGGTTGCAAACTTTATAAATTTCATTCATGATTGCTATGACACTAAACAACCAATAAAGGGAAATACGTTCGAATATCTATTTTTCGCCTGTCCGAAGGTAAAAAGAAGGATTTTCTACTTTTGTTTCGCTCTGTATTTCTAATGTCACTGAATTACCTATATTTCGTCCAAATATACGTACGTATTAGTAAGTTTTCAATCTCTCCACATTGGGAAAGATTTTATTAGTTCTTTGAAAATGTTGTAGTCATGAGACAAATCTTATAAATTTCTTCAATTTTGGGATTTTTCACAAAATGTAAAGTTATTCTGAAGAGATTGTCAAAGATTCTGGGGGAATTTCATGTTTTCTATTATATTTTATCAAAGTTACTCCGAAATTTTCTAAATATATGTGGAAATACACTTATGTTGTTTGATAAGACCCCATAAATGGTTAGGATTCTGGAAAGTACTCCACGAGATTGAGATTTGCATAATATTATCAAAACTTTGTAAAGACGCATTATTGTTCTTCAAGAAAACCTCACAATTTCTCGTTTTCCCAGAAAGCATACCGACGTAATCTGAGGTACATAGAATTTGCTATGCATGTATTCATATTTCTTTTTCTTCAGTTAATCTAAGAAATTTAACTCAATTTCAACATAAACGTCTAAAAACAACTAACAATAACATAAAGAGATATTCAGTAAAAAATCTCAAGTTGTTTAAGCTCACTCTTTTTTTTGGATCTATTTACTTTATCTCTCGTATTATTCAAGAAATCCTGGTTCGCAACATCCATTGCTCGTGCTATTTGATTTTCTGGACAGGTCGCACTTTGGAACTGTGAAAACAGAACATCTGATAATAAATAAAGACTGGACTCGTACACTCTAAATATGGCTCACTAAAAATCCAGACAACACTGGTGACTACAATATGTGCATAATAACTGTAACTACACGAGGCAATCACGGAATTCGGTGCGATTTCAAAACTGTTATGTATCTACAAAGTTTCCCATATCGTTAGAATGTATTGTACCGCAGGTTTGTCTGTTAGTGATCGTGAAGCTGTAACTCTTTACAAACTCATCCCTTAACTTCTTAAACCTTCTGTAAAATGTCGGCCCATGGCAGCCCATAAAGTTTGGCACTCTGTTGGCTACCATCCATCTCTCGTCGCTTTCATTAACTTTAACATTATAAGTTTAAAAGAAGCAGTAAGCTACAGTTAGGCTGCGCCAGGGGAGTAATCAATGTTTGTAACAGTAACAGCAGCTCACCTGCATTGTGTGAGGTTTTTGAGAAAGTGGAGTGGAACAAACACTTTCTTGTCCGCGCCTATTTGACATACTGAAACAATGCCAAAATGTCAGTAATGGAAAGTGTATTGAAAATGATGATCGTGAAAGAAAAAGTATAACTAATTGTTATTATATCTTGAGAAATTTAAACAACACTGTTAATACTCAATTACTGTCCAAAGAACTGCACAACACCGACTTTGGAATGTTTCCCTGAAATTTCACTAAAATATACTAGAATCTTCTCAAAATCTGAATATTGGGTTTATGTTTACAGATTAATTGCTTTATCAATGAATTATCCTTATTTTTCCTATTCTTAAAACTTCACACAATATTTTACTCGATTTGACTTAGTCATTAACCTACCATTGACTTCTAGTTATTATTATTAGTGGCTTTATTCAATATTATATTTTGATACAATGTAGAATTTTTAGCACGAGATATTTCAACAAGTTTCTTTTACAAAAAAACAGAAACAACGACAAAAAGGGGAAAAAAGGTTTTAAGAAATTTGAAAAACTGTACAACTTCCCAAATTAGAGACGTGTTATGAATGTAGTTTATTGACTAGGTTGACTCTAACAACTTGTTCGTCACAGAGTATATTTACTAGGTAAAGTATTATAGAACTTTTATACTGTTGCTTCAGCACTTGGATTTTAATGTAGTTTCATCTCGTTCTACCAGAAGATATATAAGGAGAAAGATGAGTGAAGGGGATGGTTAGTATCTGACAAAGTAACACCTGCCAGGAGCTTGCATGGCTTTAGATGTCTATCCACAACCATATTGATTAAGACCTCAAAAGATTTACCACACACCTTGCTAACTGCCTTCAGCTCTTTCCGCAATACAGCAAAGTCTTTTCTCAAAAGCCCGGGGAAGAATAATGAGGAACAGTAAAGAATAATAGGTAATATGCAAGAATTGACAAATTGTAAGTGTAAATGACGAGTAATCCTAAAAGCATGCAATCTTTTTATGTAGTAATTTAGACGGAACACCTTCTTCGATAACAATAAGACGTGAGAAGACCAAGAGGGATCAGAGGAAAAGATAACCCCAAGATAATTGACCTTCAACATTGTGTTTATCAAAGAGTCTCCGATGGCACAAGCATCATGGGATTTCAAAGTGGTGCTTAGACGCCGTTCATGTCTCATGCTAAAGTTAACAGCTTGACATTTACACGAATTGGGCATGAGACCATTAACAACAGATCAACAATCAATACGAGACAAAAACTCATTCATTTCTATGGGATGTAAAAAGGAAGAGATAAGCATACATATAGTGAGATCATCCTCATATTTCACAAAAGTGTTTACTGTGGAAGATGGTAGATCATGCAGGGAAAAAGAGAAAAGAAGAGGTGAAAGAACAGCTCCTTGTGGTACACCTTCATGAGACAGTCGAGACTCTGAACGCTTTTCTCCAAACACAGTGTGCTGTTCCCTTCCACAGAGGTAGAAACATAGCCAGTTGGTTATCCATCTGTCAGTGTTGACACTGGTTAACTTGTTGAATAAACATTGTCTTGATATAGAATCAAAAGCTGAAGTATAGTCCAGAAAAGTGCATCGAACATAATTTTTGCCCTTTTCTAAATTGAACACAATATTGTGATGCAGAACAGCAACGGCATCTAAGGTGCTTCTTTTGCATCTGTAAGCAAATTGATGCGGGTCAATGTGCTCTTTTATCGCAGGCTGAAGTAAAAGTATCAATAATTTTTCCACTGTTTTAAGGACGGTTGAATATATTGCAATAAGTCTAAATTTTACATTCGTATCATCAGATACTTTTTTGGGCACAAGGATTGACTTCATCTTTCTCCACATTTTCTGTATGAGATTGGATGAGAAGGATTTGTTAAAGATAGTTATGATTGGATAATAGAACGTCGGCACACATTTTAAAAAGGAGGTTTGGGATACCATCGGGTGCTAAACATCGAAATGAATTAAGTAACTAGAGAAATCCTCGAACATCAGTTTCATTGAAACTAGGAACACAGCTATTCTTTAAACCTGTGGATATAGGGAGCACTACATCAGACGACTGACTTACAAAAGACTTATTTATCCCGCGAGAGGGATCGCGGACGCGCACTGCTATGGAGTCCCACAGTAGGACAAAACAGCCGTTCAGTGCTTCCAGGTTTCCAACGGTGGTCTAACACCAATCGGTTCATGATCTCGTAGTGTGACGTCGAGTCACGTTTGGCTATGATCACTACTACAAGAAGATTTCGTACCAGAACAGGTTAAACCTCCGAGTAAACCAGAAATCAGAAGGTGATTGAAGGTTGTAGCAAAATATGTTTGTTGGTGATCTCGTGATATCGAAATAATACCGAGATCGTGCCAAAAAAGTACAAGTAGAACTACCGGGCAAACGTGAGTTCGTCTAAGGTCACAAGCCATGGAAAACGTATGTGCTTAGTACACTTAAACAAACAAGTACAGTAAAACAATCACTGGTACAATTGGTTATAATAATAACTACTTCAAATATACCAATCGCGTTCTTTTGATAAAAGTGGGTCACTACAATCTCAATTAAAAATGTAAGATAATTTTTGCAAATAAAATAACCGATTACGTCAGATTATTAATTTGTCTAGTAAAATGCCTTCACCTTTTCTGATCTTGGCACTATCCTTGACATAAATATAGTATACAGAGGTTCTAGTCCATTAACCATCATTAACTGTCATCTGTCTAATTATTGTAGTATAATGTTTACCTTAAGCCAATTCAGTTGATTGAAATTTTACTCAAGTAAACGACAATTTTATAATCTATGTCCATTAGTGGACATAATTTTTTTTAAGAATTTCGTTTCTAATACCTGCTACTTCCAAGGAGACTAAACTGTTTTATTGAGTACCATTAGTTGCTTCTAAATCATCCTGGATTAATAGTGTGAGATATTTCGTCATGAAAAGAGGACACTCAGATTTTATTCATTGTTGATGTAGATGTATATTATTTCTTTTTTTCCTAGGATTATCGGTGGAAACTAGTCGATGTACATCATATAAGTTAACTTCAGTATCATTGATATGTCTTGTCGTTTAATGCTACTTTTTATATCTGGTCGTCGCTAATTCTTGTGTCGGAGACGCTTATCACTTATACTCGAAGCTAGGGACCTCCGCAATTCTCAAGACGCGAAAGTATGAACACAAAAACTGGTACAAGTGAAAGTTTATTAACCACCAAAACACGACGACGACGACGGTAGTCGAAAATACACTCATTTATATATTGATTGTACACCCATTTTTGTTAGTAATTAGGATGAAATTACATATATAACAAATCACATACTGAGCATAGTTTATGTCAATGGAATACAAGAATATCGTTATATTATACAGAATAAAATATCATACGAGAAAACAAAACCCAATACTACACTGAATAATCGTGAAGTTGAATCAAAACTCATAATGAGTAAATCAATCGAAAATTGACTTTTATCCCCATTATATCAATCATGACGCATGAAAATGATACTTATTATCAGAAAGGGGTTTTGTGGATATTACAGTAATTTAATAGTTGAATTCATGAGTCGATTTAAGCTAGACCACCATTGAAAGCCTAAAAGTACTGAATGGCCGTTTCGTCCTAGTATGAGACTTTTCAGCACTACGTATCCACAATTCCTCTTACAGGATTCGAACCCAGGACCTATAGGTCTCGCGCGAGAACGGGTTGTTATCTTATTATACATGTCTTTTTTGTTGCTGATCATTTTTCAAATAAACTATCACGATAACTCATGTGTCCAGTTCTCTATGGTTTTAGATGATAGTTACACGAATGGTGATTTGAACTCGAGAAAACGATTATGTGGTCATACAGATATTATTTCTGTATTTCCTCGTTAGTCATATGGTTGTGCAATAAATACCCACAGTTTAAACTCATGCAAAAACTGATATGATTTATTTTACAGTACATAATTCAAATTTTGTTTTATTATTTTAGGTAGTAAATATCATGCTATGCTAGTCAAACTAAATCAAATACTTACTAAGAATTTATATGATTCAGTTGAGCGTTACATGACATTAAAGCAGCCTACAACATTGCCAAACATAGAAACTCATGGAGAAGCTTTCTTGTGGAAGCAATGGGATCAAGAACATTCAGATCGATACTTTAAACTAACCCCAAGTGCATATCCAAGTAAATCTGATTTTATTACAATGGAAGCGAATGAAGCGTTAATTGGATTATTTGAAAAACATACAGAATTTTTGAATAAACTTTCTTCTCGTTATTTTAATCAAGCATTTCATAGCTCTCATATTCGAAGGAAATTATGGAGTATTATATTATTATCCAGATGTAAGTATAATTATTCTATCAATTCTAATTTTAATGTAAATACAAATTGCTGAATAACATTTTTGCTTGCAATATTAAATGACCATAAACCGATTTATTATAAAGGACAAACAAGAGTTGGATACAGGATACTAGATTTCTGTATCGCTAGACAATACACCAGAACATACTATTTGGTCACTTGACTCAACTATTCTACTGATGATCGAGAATCAGATTAGATCCTAATGAGAGTTTATTAGCACACTGAGTGATATACAAGTGGTAAAAATCTGGAATGAATTTTATCACAAATTAGCCTATTACATTTAATGTAACCGGATATTTCTATCTTCGCTTATTGACCAATCATAGCTTCTTTTCACTTGATACATCTCAAATCTAAATTCCCAATTATGAAGTACCAATTGCTTAATGAATAACCCGATCAAGTTTATGGTTAACGGTACTAGGTTCAAGTCTTGGAGTGAACATCAACTCTGAGATACTCGTACATCCAGTTGATGAGTCCAAAATAAGACGAAACTCGCATCCTGGATTCCACTACTATCCACCATTATTCTCTGATTATAATAAATTCATTTTTTTGTTTAGTTACTACTAGAATTTTTTCATATATGGTATACTTTTGTTTTCTTTTTTTTTGAAACACTTTTTATTAGGTAAATCTCAAAAAACAAAACTTGAACAAATAATTCAAAGGTTTTCACCTGATCAAGATGAACATATTCTGGTAGAATGTAGAAATTTTTTAAACTCTTGTGTTTCTATGTCTTCTATTAAAGATTCAGTTGGTATGTCGGAATTGTGACATCATTATCATTTTTCTTTATAATGGTTCTTTTTTTTCTTTCCTCTTTTCTTTTTCTCTTTTTTCCTCTTTATTTTAGGTTGTTTATATGCAATGAATTATTTATTAAAGTTTTATCAGAAGATAATGAATATAAATGAAAATGTGAAGTATCATCAATATATCAAAATTGTTTCTATATTAGTTTTGGTGATGAAAGATTATTTATCAAAGTAAATTGTATTAGAATTCTTAATTGATTTAGTATTTTAACTAATCTTTTATTATATTATATATTTAAGTAGTATTTATGATAATATTGTTTGAATAGACATAAATTTTATTTATATTAAAGGAAGTTAAACTATTCTAGCCAACTTGAAAAACTCTCAGATGAGATCACAAACCGATTGATGTTAGACCACCATCGAAAACCTGAAAGTACTGGACGGCCGTTTCGTCCTATTGTGAGACTTCTCAACAGTGCGCATTCACGATCCCTCTCACGGGATTTAAACCCAGGGTTTCCAGTCTCGCGTGCGAACGTTTAACCTCTAGACCACTGAGCCGGCCGGCTTTCAATGGTGTTAATATCTAACCTCAACCAATCCGCGAAATCGCACGACTATTTTCTTTTGTACTGAGGTAGATGCTTGTCCCTACCCGACACGGATTAGCTGCATTGGTCACGGCTTCTCACTAGAACTTTGAGAGTTCCCTCACGAAACTACTCACTAGTGAGCACATGGTAATTATCAGTAATAATATCCATAAGCCTATACTGATAATTTCGATATGATTGAATAGTTACATTCCTAAGATTCATAAAGTGTAGATCAAAGAATATTTTAATAAAAACATTGAGTGGATTTCAGATTGTTTCAATTTTTATAAAACTTCCCTTCAAACCAGAACAAATATATAAATAATGGATTTATCCTGTCTATGTAGGATAAAATAAATGGTGCAAAAGTATAAGGCAAAGTGAAATTTAACTGTTGATTGGATTAGGAAAAATATAGTGATATCTGTTAATCAGAGTATTAAATATTCTTTAGAAAAGGATACTTATATTTAAGACATAGATATATGATGAACATATATCTGTGTTTTATTATGATGGGAATTTTCCAGCGATATTCATATTTATTCTTCAAGCAACTGAATATTTGATGACACATTAGAGACTTTTTAACTAATTATAGACTGATAGATCTTGGGTTTGAATCTCGTGAGGCGGGATCGTAAAAGAGCACTACTAAGGAGTCCCATACTGGGACGAAACGGCCTTTCAATGCTTCCAGGTTTTTCATAGTGATCTACCTTCAAGTGTCTCATGAATTCAATTATTAAATTAATAAATAAGAAATGATTAAATACACTTCGGAATTATATACAAATCAACCATTATCAAAAGAAGGGTTCGTGAATAACGTATTAACTTTAACAGTTTAATTCATGAGTCGATTAAAGCTAGACCACCATTTAAAAGCTGAAAACACTGAACGGCCGTTTCGTCCCAGTATGGGACTCTACAGTAATGTACATTCATGATCATTGTAAGAAAACCAATCAATAAACTGATGTTTAGATGCTGACTGAAATTTTCTGAATATGTTTAAATCCCTAAACTTGTATTATGCTAGTTTTTTTATTTAGGAGAAAATTGTATCAGCAGCAGAAGGGAAATATCGCACTAGTTAATCAATATCAGTCGACTAAATGTTAGAACTTCACAGGAATTCAGTTATGAAATATCCTATTTCAAGCTTGAATATCTCACTTATAACATTTACAATGTATCATCCAATTATACCGGTTAAATTTTTTCCAAGGGAAGGATAATTTTCATAATGTTTTCATTAATTAACTTCAATCAAATAAATACGAAACGGCCGTCCAGTGCTTCTAGGTTTCCAACGGTGGTCTAACATCAATCAGTTCATGATCTCAATTAAATAAATACTGTTCAAGTTTGAATTTCATTTTAAATTATTAACTGATTTTATTTTCAAGAAATCAACCTCCAAATATAGAAACTATTGGAGTATTAACTCAAGAATTCTTTGTATTACTATCATCGTTACCATCATTTATAACACAATTGCCAACAATTTGGTTTACTCGTCAATCTTTACAGAAAATAATACAAAATGAAAATTATAGAATAAATGGCATATCTGAAATCAATAATAATAATATTAAATTTAGTCAGAATGTTTTGAAACAGTTACGATATATTGATGGTAATATAGCCTCTTCTGTTGTGAAACAAGTTTTGTTTGTCAAAGGTAGGTAATAATAATAATAATAATAGGCATCATTACTAAGGTTTGACTTGATAATTTCGAATAATTTGAGCATTCGATAGATTGTTATAAATAAATCAATATATTTGTAATACACATCCACGATCTGGCCCCCCACGAAATTCGAACCCAGGACATATCAGTCTCGCGAGTGAGCGCTTAACCATCAGACCATTGAGCTGGTCGGCATCTAGCGGTGTTAATTTCTAACTCCAAACAATCCACGAAATCGCGCCACCATACACCATTGTCTTCAGTGAGCTGATATCTCACAACAGACCTGATTGAACTCCACTGGTCACAGCTTCTCACTAAAACTCCAGGAGTGTCTCTTGAAATCAGTCACTAGTGAGTAGATGATTATTATCAGAAGGGGTTTTGTGAAGATTTTAGAACGAAACGGCCGTTCAGTGCTTTCACGTTTTTCATGGTGGTCGAGCTTCAATTGACTCATGATTTCAACTAATGAAATTTCTGAAATCTCCACAAAACCCCTTCTGACATTTGTAATATCCTAATAAGTAGAAAAATTAGATTTTCTGACGTTCCGTGACTTGGTGTAAGCCACTTCTTCAGAGAATGAATAATCGAATCAAAATTAATTTAAGCAATGATCAATGGTGGCTAGCGGTGGTACCCAGGACGTGTGTTTCGTTCTATTTGGGACTTGTCAGCTGGATGTACCTGAATCCTAGAGTTGATGTTCACTCTGGGAGTTTAGGATATATCAAGGCAATCCGCAAAGAATGCACATATACCAATATGAGACTGACCAATTTCAGTCCTAAATAACAATGAGAAGATACAAGTAAAACAACACAAAGTGAATTTAAAATTATTCTAAGTTTAAATAGTACAACGGAATAACAAGAATATTATGTGATATTTTTGACGCTGATTTGGTGATCGTTGAAAATGGCGTGAACTGTTTTTGCTGATTTAATCTGAAGTCTATTGTTGTGTCCCGATAAGAATAATGAGTAGTAATTTTTCGGGATCTATTTTTGAAACAATGCTGTGCGCATATTTTTGTCGTATAATTGTTGATTAACTAAACCTTTCATATTCATGTCTCTCTTATCATAGGCTTTATTTTAACCTATAAACTGCTATCATATGATTTTCCATTCTTGAATTATTCCCTGTCTATTAATCACTACCTCCCCCATTCACAGCCACTTTTGGCCAAATTTTATTTTCTATTTTATGGTACGTTCTGGTCTGTTTGATTGGTATATAAACCCCGTATGTTTGAAATAAATAATTCATGTCACAGAGGCTCGCATTGGTGTTCTGGATTTAACTGGCTGGGCTAGACGGAAAGCAGGACTGCTCGTACGGGTTTTAGGCGTCACTGGTACGATCGATAATTCACTGCTCTCTAATCGGCTGTCACAAATATAACATCTATCCAGTTCTAGGTGATTATTAAATTATTTTGTGTACGTAATATGTTCTTTGGCACGAGTCAGGATTTCGCGAGATGACTCTTCAACATAGACTGCACTACAATCGACACAACCTAATTTGTAGACGCAGTTCTGTGTTGACATGAATGGGAAATTTAATTTTTCTACTCATTGGGATATTACAAATATATTATTTATTTATAATGATAGTTTAATTTAATAGTGAACATTTTGTTACAGTAGAGTATGATCAGCACTAGTAAATAACAACTGGGCTTATGCGTTCTGCAGACGCAGCTCATATTTTTCGTTTCAACTTGAATTTATATATGCAAAAAGAATTTATGGTCCACCTGGTACTGTCATGATAATCAATTGAATGCTATATTTCTTTCTTTTTTTCACTTGTTTTGAAAATATCCGAAATTTTGTTTCGATTAACTGATTCATAGCCTGTAGAAGTATTGGTTGCTAACTTTCATTCAATCCTTATAAAACCTTCATCGTTCACTTTGGACAAGTTTTCATTTCTAATATCTAGTTATCGTAATTAGTCCTATTATTTCGATATAACACGGTAGAATATTTAACTTCGATTCCATTCAGCCATTTATGTATTGACGTTCTTTGATAGTTCACATCAAGGACTGATCCTATTTGTAATATTACTGAAAACCAGGAATCTCTAGACAGCTACTTTATCCTAGTATAGAACTACTAAGCAATGCGCATCCATGACCTCACAGGGAATAAGCTATCCAGTGTTTACTGGTTTTCAGTAATGTTTTAGGATCAGTCAGTGACGTGGACTATCAAAGTTTAACAATATTCACAAAATTTATACGAATATTATTATTATTATTATTATTATTATTATTGTTTCCACCATTATTATAATTACTATTCAGTAATTATTATCACTTCAATCATTTTGCTAACTGTGATCATAACAGTTAGTACATATTTATTGTACTCGGTCATGTCATAGTCTCTCTATCGCTTCGTCTGTTCATCCATAATTCGAAACTATACCAGTGTAGAAAAACCCCATCTGTAGCGCTCTTAGGGTTGTTGCCGGATAGAAGAGGAGAGTTGAGCATGAGGTCAGCAACCACATCCCGTAGAAAGAAACCTTGATAAAAATTGCTAATCAGTAAAAAACAATCTGAACCATTTAAAATATGCCCCGGGAGTTGAAGGATCTTCATTTAGAAAAATTATGATGTCTCATGGTGAAAGCCGAGATTCTTCAAAAATTACGAGGTCGGTTCTCCCGTCTGACAATTAATATTGGCTTATGGAATGTCCGAACAATGTTGGAGGTTGGGAGGGCCAGTGGAACAGTTGCAAAAATCGGAAGACACAACTTGGAGGTGCTCGGAATCAGTGGAGCTCATTTGACCCAAGTTGGACAGAAAAATATAGACTCAGGAGAGATGTTGCCCTGCTCTAATCGCAAGGAAGAAAATTCTCCACACACTCGGATTTGTTTTGATGCTGTCCAACGAAGCACGTAAAGCACTTATAGTATGGAAATCCCATGGACCAAAGATCATTAAATCAACCTTCAAATCAAAAAATGAGGGAATCACAATGAATGTTAACCAATGTCATGCACCCACCAATAACAGCAATGATGATAATAAAGATCAGTTTTACGAGAGGCTGCAATAGATTATAGGGAAGTCCTCAGGAAAGGACCTGAATATTTTGATAAGAGACCTAAACTCTAAAGTCAAAATGGACAACACTGGATATGAAGGTACCATGGGACGACATAGACTGGGAGACAGGAACGATAATGGTGACAGATTTGCAAATTTATGTGTATTAGGCTAAATGGTTAAGGGTGGCACAATATTCGCTTACAAACGCATACACATAGCTACATGAATCTCACCGGATCACAATACACAGAACCAGATCAACCACATTTGCATCAGTAAAAAATTCACAAGATCAGTGGAAGACATGAGAACCATGAGAGGTGCTAATATAGATTCAGACCACCGCCTGGTTGTGGTTAAGATAAAAGTGAAACTAAAGATGCACTGGACAAACAGCATTATAAAGGTTTAACGCAACCTTCGTTCGAGATACTGACAAACTCAATGAATTTAAGATAGCTCATAACAACAGGTTCCAAGCCTTACAAGATTTACTCAAAGAGAAAACCGTTATGGAAAACAGATGGAAAGGGATAAAGAAGCATCATAATGCAATGGATCTCTATCGATATCCTTGGAAGCATTTAATAAAGGAAGAACAAAAAAACAGCATTTAACAACAGTCGAACAAAAACAAAGAAAGTGAAAGCACACACAGAACCAAACAAGCAAGTGATGAGAAGCATTAGAGCCAACAACCGGAAACATGTGGAAGAGCAAGTAATGACAGCGGAAAAAACTGGACTAGAAGGGAATATGAAACAACGACAAAATAAAACTAATAAACTAGCAGGGAAATATAGTAAATCGGTGAGATTAGTCAAAGGACAAGAATGCTAGCCAGTCATTGAACATAAGGACAGGTGGGTAGAAGACTATGAGGAACTCTTGAATAGACCAGCCTCACTGAACCCACCGGATATCGATGCAGCATGTACAGAGCTTCCTATATATTTCATTTCACCAACGATCAAACACATCAACATGATTATCAGAAAAATCAAGAGTGGGGAAACGGCAGGACCAGACAACATGGCAGCCGAAGCACTGAAATCACAAGTGGAAGTTACTGCGAACATGCTCTACGTTCTATTCAGAAAGGTTTGGGAAGAAGAACAAGTACCAGCAGACTAGAAGGACGCATACCTCATCAAGATACCAAAGAAACGACATCTGAGCAAGTGTGAGAATTACAGAGACATTACACTAACATCAGTACGAGGAAAAGTTTTCAACAAAATTTTGTTAAACCGGATGAAATATTCGGTAGATGTTCGGTTTTGAGATGAACAGTCCGGATTCCGTAAGGATCGGTTGTGCACAAACCAAATCGTGACACCACGGATCATCGTTGAACAATCAGTCGAATGGAATTCGTCACTATACATCAACTCCCTTGACTATGACAAGGTGTTTGACAGTGTGGATAGGAGAATATTATGGAAGCTTCTTCGACACCTTGTTGTACCTGAGAAAATCGTCAACATCATCCGGGGTTAATAGGACGGACTTCACTGCAGAGTTGTTCATGGAGGACAACTGACAGGCTCTGTCCAAGTGGGGACACGAGTCATACAAGTCTGCGTACTCTCCCCCTTTCTGTTTCTTCTGGTATTTGACTGGATTATGAAGACCACGACATCTGAGGTGAAACACGGAATAGAATGGACAGGTTGTATGCATGTAAATGATTTGTACTTGGGGGATGACCTAGCTCTTCCTTTCTATACACACAAACAAATTCAGGTCAAGATGACCAGTGTAGCAGCAGCCTCTGCACCAGTAGGCCTTAACATACACATGGGTAAAAGCGAGATCTTCAAATGCAATACAGAGAGCATTAACCCAATCACAGTTGATGGTGAAACTCTGGGAGAGGTGGAAACTTTCACGTACCTGGACAGCATCATCAATGAACGTGGAGGATCTGATGCAGATGTAAATGCGAGAACTGGCAAAGCAAGGACAGTATTCCTACGGTCGAAGAACATATGGAACTCAAAACAACTGTCAGCCAATATCGGAATCATAACATTCAATACAAATTTCGAAACTATTCTATTGCGCGGAGATGAAACTTGCAGAACTACGACAATCATCATTGATAAAGTACAAATATTTATAAACGATTGTTTACGTAAGATACTCTAGATCCGTTCACCTAATACTATCAGCAACAAACTATTTTGCGAGAGAAGAAACCAACTTCCGGATGAAGAAGAAATTCGGAAAAGAAGGTTGAGGTTGATAGGACATACATTACGGAAATCCTCAAATTGCATCATGAGGTAAGCGTTAACTTAGAATTCTGAGATGAAACGGAAAAGAAGCAGGCCAAAGAAGACATTGCATGAAGGATTGAAAGCACACATGAAAGTGATGAATAGCAATTGGAAATAACTAGAAAAGATTGGCCAGTACAGAGTTGGATAGAGAATGCTGGTGAACGACCTATGCTCTTTAACGAGTGGTAGCAAGTCCAAATAAACAAATAGCTATCAATGTTGAAGGTAGTAGTCATTATTTCTCACTAGTGAATAAAATGACTTTATAGGTATTAGATACAAAATTGCTACTATAACACATTTTATTTGTTTATCTAAATCAGTGTATATGTTGAAAATCTAACGAGCAGGAAATCAAATTCTTTCACTGCATTCTATAATGTTTGTTGTTGTTGTTTTACAAGGGAACTAACTGAACAAAAAGTTCTCTTACAAATATAAGCACTGTGACATGACAACATCTAACTTGTGTACGTTTTTTTTTCTGGTTGTCACTATTCCGTCTATAGATATGCTAATATGACCTGTCAACTACCTCCAACCACCATCTAATCTCAAAATAGTGCACGCAGTGTCGAGTCATCTAGACTGGTGGCCACATTGCAACATGGTCAATAGCATTCGATCTGCACTAATAAGGACTTGACACACATGATATTGATCACCACTCAGTGATGTAATGTGACTTGTATTTGGTGAATAAGCAAAAACTGGTGATTAGTATTCATTTGATTCCGGGAACATATTGAAAACCGTATATGAACACATCAAATTTTATACGATTTATTTACAATCAGACTTGTCTAAATTAAACGGATAGGTAATTAACAATAATTAATTCAATGACTTACTATGTGAATACATTTACAATAAAAATATAATTAAACATCAACAATTAATAAACATAACTAAGTGATTAAGTCACCTTACTACTCCCTAAAATATGATTACCTATTATAGTTGATCAATTTCACATATCAACCGCACAATAATTGATTGAATCATCACTCTTCATATTGGTTCTATTTAATGAATCGTCAGACGTTCAATTTTGCAATTAAGATAGTATCTTATATGTTTCTCTTCTTTCATTGATCAATCATGACTTACTTTCACTTGGTACATTAAGAATGTTACAAAATGATGTAATAAAATTTTAGTGAACTACTTCAATATATTCTGATCATTTAGTAGAATAATGATAGCAACAAATGTTAATCTATTTCAGATATTAATATCATATCGAATATGACAAATGAAGAAGATATTTATTCAGAAATCTTCTATACATTTATTGAACCAATTATTCAATCTGTTTTCATTGGTGAGTAAAATGTTTTAATCACTAAGTTAAAAAATGAACCTAATTATATGGATTTTTTATATATCACCATTTTTTTAGTTTCAACAAAGAATTCAAAACAGAAAATATAGAAAATTTGAAAAAAAACATTGAATGCTAAGGAGCACTGGACAACGGTTCCGTACTTTTATGGAGCTATTCAGCAGTGTGTATCCACCACCTCACTTGGAATAGAATCCCAATTGATTGGTCACTGGGTGGTGATCAATGTCATGTGTGTCAAGTCCTTATTAGTGCAGATCAAATGCTATCGACCAAGTTGCAATGTGGCCACCAGTCTAGGTGACTCGACACTGCGTGCGCTATATTGATATTAGATGGTGGTTGGAGGTAGTCGACAGGAAACCATGGACCTGGATTTTGTGCTACCTGGCACTCGTCAGTAAGGTGTACTTGCAATCTTGAGGGAGAATCAAGATAATTCTGTCTAGTGCTGAACGCTTATCTTTTAGATCACTGAATCAGCATTTACTAGTATACATATTCGCGATATTAGGTGATCATCTTTCATTCTTTATGGTAGATAACTATCTCACATCGGATGTGGTTGAACTCCATTAGTCACTGTTTCTTACTGAAACTCTTAGAGTGGTATGTTATAGTCACCTTTGATTAACTTTCTGATAGTTGTAAGTTGTTATTAATCCACATCAGCAAAAATCTATGATAACTTTATTTCCTGTGATATTTGTTCCTTGCATAATATATTTGGTTCATCAAATACACGGTAGTCGTTTTTCAGTAGATTGTAAGCTTCTCATTGTAGAACGTAAATGAATTAGGCAATTAACATAAATAATTAATTGGTTAAAACGTATCTAAAAGAAAAGAAGTGATTATAATATGTAGAGAGTTGGGCAACATGTGCCTCAGGTGTTTGGTAAGGCTGTATTGGTTCAGAAATTTTTTAATTTGTTTATTAAGTATATTTCTGTTTGGATGGCTTCAAAATGCATAAGGAAACCTCCAGAGGTTCTAAAGGAACCTGATATAACCCTCTAGAGTATCAACGTGCCATGCTGTTATTGGGCAATTGTATAATCTTCCTACTTGCGGATTAGCCGGATTATAATAATGTTATAGACAATACTAAAAACTATAAGCACCCCTGTTCTTCTGTATATTTTTTATTCTTACACAATGATAAATCCCCCTACTTCTTCTGTCTTTTGATTTGCGACTTTAGGTTTTTATACGTTCGAGTGTTGATAGTTGTATACCGTATTCTGCCCTCATCAAGTAGAGGACGTAATAATCGCATGTTTATTTATTTAGCTAAAGTTATTTATTTTAATACTTTTGAATCTAAGTTAATCTACGCATAACCCATTCAGTATTGAAAACGTCACGATTTGTACCACCTAATATATGCATTATATTTCTACTGAATTTCCATCAGTTTTAAATAAATTGAAATAAAATTATGGTTCTACAGTATCATGAATTGACTGAAGTCAAAAATTTAAACCATTGAATACCAGCTCATTGGTCTGCAAGTTAAGGACTTCCCTAAAGACTTGAAGGCTCTAGTTTCAAGACTTCGTGGGATCGTAAATGCACGCCTTGGAGGAAACTCATACTAGAAAGAATAGCTTTACAGTAGTTTCTAGTTTTAAATGATTATTTAATTAAAGTCACCAAGTGATGTGAAACACCACAGTTGTACACATATCTACATGTTACGTAGACCACAAAAATTATTGAATGAGTTATTATGCTAAGTAAGAGAAATATTCCATAAGATTTGGAAATTTTTCATCAAATTTGCACAGATTTGTTATGATCATGTAAATATTGAATCTTCTGTTTGATATTACCTAAAATTTATAAACGGCAAGACTATAATTTATGAACGAAGCAATCAGATTCAGGATAACAAGTCTTGGATTTTGGCGCGTCATTAATTCTTTTATTTGGCTAAATAGTGTTCTGGTATTATAGTTGGTGTCTGTTCGTGATGAAAACCCAAAGTCTAATTCCTTACCCTAACCATCAACTGTAAATCATAAACTTAATTCCTTACATTGGTTTATAACACTCACTTAACCCTAGTAAGTAGATGGGTTTCCTCAAGGTCACTTGAGCGTCACTCAAACGTCGTCCACAAATCATAGTCTCACCCGACTTTTACTTTTCTAATACCACTCATCAACATATTAGACGTAATCATTCATAAATTCAATATATATTATACCTTGTTGGAGTTGTACTTTTAGATGAATTTATATAACATTTGTCACAGATATTAGAAGTGATTACTGAATAGTGTTTCAAGGAATAAATTTTAAACATTCAAGGATACTCAACCTTTAGTGAATATTGTCATGGAGTCTGCCAAAGCCATTGTACTGAATAGTGAATAAAATAAGATCTGATTCCATGTGGTTAGGTGATTTTTATCAGCTACCTGTAAACTAATTATTAACTCGTTTGTTATGTACAGATTCGTGTAATTGGCTTCGAGCCATACCAGACCATACGAACTGGGTTGGTGTTGAAACCCGCCATTTAGCGACTGCAAATCAAACTACCTAACTACCGACCCACTGTTCTACTCAGTTTCTTGTTATAAACATAATTAAATACTTAGGATGAAGGAAATGATCTTTCGGTGAGAATGCTGTCTATTTAAACATACATGAGTTTAAGGAAATCTAGCAGCTGAATTTTAAGTTGTTTGGATAGCTATATAGTAAGGAATAATTTGTATTTCTTAAATCACCAACTGATTTTAGTTTAAACACCGTTGAAAACTTGATAAAAAGTTCTATAATCTCCACAAAACCCTACACTGATTATAATCATATGCTCACTAGTGACAAGCTATAAGACATAATTCCGGAACTGCTAGTGAGAAACCGTGATCAGTGAAGTTCAACTATGCCAAATGTGTGTTAGTCATCCACGGCAAGCAATAGAAGATAGTCGAGCAATATCTTAAATGAATTGAATTTAAACATGTATACAATTGGATAACATTTAAGTAGTATAGAGTTTAAGAGTAGCGAGATCGTGTATGGATATTGCTGAGGAGTCTCATATTAGTATGAAACGGCCATCCACTACATTCGGTTTTCAGTTGTAGTCGTGCTTTTAAAAATAGGGAAACTTCAAAAAACCCTATACTGAAAATAATTTGTGACTGAATATGCATACTATTCCTACTTACTTACTTACTCACTTACTTACGCCTGTTACTCCTAATGGAGCATAGGCCGCTGACCAGCATTCTCCAACCCACTCTGTCCTGGGCAATATATATTTATAAGCAAAAATTAATAATGGCTAGCATTGAAATCCAGGACCCTCGTTTTGTCTTATTTGGGATTCATCAGATGAATCTACCTTGCCAATGTAGATATGACAATAAGAGACTCATCAATTATATTTCTAAACATCAATGGGGAGATTGAAGTAAACAATACCAAGTGGATTTAATATATATTTATGTTTTTTATAATCTTGTCTAACTTAATATAGAACAAACATTCTATTTTAGTATTTAATACTTACAAGTAAATATCTTTTTCAAACAATCCTTTAGGTTATTTATCTCAGTCTACATTATTATATATATGGGATCAGTTAATGTTATGTATTGTTGGAGCTGAACCGATTGAATCAAGTTTATCATATATTTTAAGTTGTTTCACAGCTATTTTCATTTTTCTATGCTGGATTAGAATTCCAAATCATTCCATATCTGATATAAGTCAATACAATCAAATAAATACAATTAGTGAACAAAGAGAAATAAGTAGAAAAGAAATTATTTCATTAAATGAACAATTCCTTATAATTGGTCCAGAATTAGAAAAAGATGATTTTCAGTTTTTGGTAAATAATATACTCATGTAAATTATGTTTATGTATACCGATGAGCTTACTCTAATGATTGTATTAAGGACTTTTATATACCTCTATATTAACCTTGACATCACAACTATATCTCTGTGCTAATGTGGTATGGCAACTCGAACTGATGTACGTTCGTCCGAAGTTCTACGTTGTTACTGACTGACTGACACTAAAACTTTTTCAGTGTTTTATTCTAACACAAGTAACATTTATTGTCCAATCATTCAAAGTGTCATTTATAACTATATGTACTAGACAGAGAGATCTTTCACAGAGAAAATCAATTTATTTATAAATAATCTGTAGATTCTAATAGTATTTTCATTCCTTTAAAGCTAATGTAATAAATCATAATGAAATTCTAGACAACTCATAGAAATATTCATATAAAAGTCTTGCTTAATTGAATGATTTATTTAACTAGAGTAAAATTACTCTCAACGATCGTTTTATCTCAACATAGTGCACGCAATATTAAGTCACCTAGACTAGTAAACATATAGCAACTTGGTCGATAGGATTCTATCTACACTAAGAAGGATCTGACAAACACGATACTGATCACCATCCAGTGGTCAATCCATTGTAGAGTTCAGAACTAATAACCAGAAAGAAAAGTGCACAGAAAGCTTAATACAGTGTTTTCACCTTTCAAGCCAATGTTGTATTCATAACGATATGAAAAAACTTTATAGGAAATGTATAGAATAGTTATGCTAAGGCGCAAATTACAAAAGACCGGTATATTAGTTCCATAAAGGAGGTAAGGATACTAACCATATTATTTGAATTTACATCAATAGAATAGTAGTCATTTTTTTGTAATACATAATGTAACTCAATAGAATTGTCTTGGTATACAGTGTAATGAGCAAGAACACGAGTAGGAACACTCGGATGTATTTCAACATGCAATAACAGAGTATCTCAATAAGATCTCAGAACCATATAGTAAATCGTTTATTTGCAAAATATCAATCCATCGTCTCAAACTTGACTGTTTTTTTTTTTTGCAAATATCAGTCCATTGTCTCAGATTTGATAGTTCATGCATTTTCATACCGATTATGTTCCGTTCCCTCTCTTTCCTTATTGATCTTCTACGGAAATACATTCTAAATCTAACCAACATATACACTATTTATATCAATATGAGTAACCTACACAACAATAGTACTTAAAATTATATTTTAAAATATCTCTTTACTTTTACAATGTCACAGATAAAGAAATATTTCTTCATGGATATTTTCTGTCTATTAACCGGTACACAACAATACCACACTAATAGTTGTATTTTATCAAATGATGAACTTTGTAAGTGATGCAATAGTTGAATTTATTCAAAATATTATTTTGATGAAGTTCAATAAAAAAAAGTTCAAAAGTGTTTTCGAAAAGATCCTGTAATGAATTAGTTCATACTATGTGTATATCAGATTTTGTAATGTTAAATAGAGGCTTTAAAATATTCTCCCGATAATAAAATAAGTTCTTGAGGATAGTATTACGGTTAGTTGGTGCCCCCGAATGCCCTGGTACGATTGAGAGTGGGAAGAGTCAGCTCTCCCTTTTGAAATACTCTCAAGTGGCCACGTGCATACAACCACTACCATGGAAGTTCTACTCACTGCTTTCTCGTGGCGGGGGTGTTGTTTAAGAAATTGAGAGGATGAAAAGCGAATGTCCCGTCCTTAGTCCGGATTGGTTGACAAAGTGGGTCCACCTAGGGAAGCTGGAAAACCTTTATTTCAAACCATTTGCACACATAGGCTCAAGGGTCCTGAGGAAACAAATAGCTTATGAACCAATTATTGGTCATCGGCTACCATGGGACTGCATCTCCTTATGTTGCTCCATTGCCTTGTGGATTAGACCTTTAGGTCAAAGGCTCGGGGTGTGACCCCCTAAGAAAATCAACTGCTTCAGTTTCCGCACCCGGGCAGTATCCCAGTCCTCACATAAATCGAATGATTTATGTGGTGTATATCTGTTTGGTGCTTCCTTGTACCAATTTTTATGTGTTTAAATAAATAAATGAATAAGTTGATGCTAACTTTTCTGATTTAGCAACTATATAATTAGTGTTGATTTTTATGAAGCTTAGTTCCGTAACCCTCGTTCGTTACAGTGACAAAATAGGCAAGAATTGGATTTATAAATGATAGAACTACAGTAAGTTTACTTATCTTGTACAAAATTTGTAACATAAACTTTTCAACCTCTTTAGTTAATCTATAGAATTAAAAACACTGTAATGTTAAAAACATAAATTATTACTGTAGATTACTGTTCTCATTCATTAAAACAGATCTTGTTCCAAAATTATAGCAGTTCTTATTTGTATCAAGTTCAGTGAAGTTCAATGGTTAAAACATACTAGAAATAGAAGACTATAACAATTCAATATGTTTACTATCTATTTATCCACTAATGTTTTTTTTTAAAATATGATATTCATGAAAATTCAATTCAATGATTGACTTTTGTTTTTCAACTTAAACACTAGTAACATCAACTGAATGGTCATCAATACTAAGAAAGTCTCATCTTATAGATCCTAGTAAACGTAAAGAACGAAGATTACTACATTATGCAGAGTTGGAAAGGTGATTATCTTTAAACTGTATATATATTCATTGTTACACAAAATGTAAACACATTTCAACTAGGCAAATGTATACAGAAAATTGATTTACTTGGCAACAAATTATTTTTTGATCGATATCTACTATATTGGTAAATATTAACCATTTAGTAGTTGAATTCATGAGTCGATTAAAGCCAGACCACCATGGAAAACCTGTAAACATTGGATGTCCATTTCATTCTAGTATAGGAATCTCCAACGGAGCACACTCACGATCCTGAATGCAGAACTTGAACCGAATACCTTCAGTATCACACGCGAACACTTAAACTCTAGACCACTGAACGGACATCCAACGATGTTAGCGTCTAAATTCAATGAATCCATGAAATTGCGCCACTGTCCACCATTATCTTCAGTGAGTTACTGCCTCACAACAGACAAGGTTGATCACGGTTTGTTATATATTGGGCCGCCGAGTAGAGGGCAGTGAATTACCGGTCGGACCAAGGACGAATAAAACACACATGATTGGCCCAGCCAGTTAAGTCCAGAACGCCAATTTCAGCCTCTGTAATATGAATCTTATATTTCAAACAGACCACAATGTACCATAAAATATAAAATAAAATTTGACTAAATGTGGCTGTGGATGTGGGAGGCAGTGACTAATAGACAGGACATAATTCAAGAATGGTAAAACGTATGATAATGGTTCATAGGTCAAAATAAAGCTTATAATAAGAGGAACGTGAATATGAATAGTTTAGTTATTTAACAATTATACGATAAAAATATACATTTAGTATTGGTCCACAAATGGATCCCAAAATTACCATTCATTATTCTTGTCGGGATATAACACGGTTTTTCACTAGAACTCTAGGAAATACATATTGAAGTCAGTCACTAGTGAGCACATGATTATTATTATCAGGAAGAGGGGTTTTGTGGAGATTGTAGTAATTTAATATTAATCATTCAAACAAAGCTACAATTCTATTTTACTCTTTAATTTATGAATTAATTAGTATTTAAATAAATAGTAAAGGACTAAACTATGCTACAATACTCAACTAAGATAGTCAACGGTTGTATATAAAGTTTGAAAATGAATTTATTATTAGAAAATGTTAGATACCTGTGATGTTACTGAGGTGTTTTCTTCATGATTAAGAAGAAAATTTTCCATTATGTGAATTAAAGATTACACAGTAATATAATAAAGAAAAACTTGGAATATATGACTGATAACTAACTATACTTGTTAACATTCTGTATCAGGTTTTCAGAATCATTAGTGTAAATTCTCAAAAAGCATCTAGTTGAAAATCTTCAATTCAACCTAAATTATGAATTATCAATATAATTATTAACATTATTTTACTCCATTTAGTAAGGGCAATCTATACTATACGTTTTCGTCCTGATGATCTATGAATATAGAAGAAAAGTTTGATTAGAATTTCTCTATCATGGTGATTTGATGTTTATGGAACAACTTTTATTAATCTTTTTCTTCAATCCTTCCTTCATCTTTTCGTCTTCTGATAGTTATCCCTTACAAAGTCTTGTTGATATATTCATAATTACTGACTTTATTTTCTATCATGTTGAGTGATTACTCAATCACAATCTCATTACCGTTACTTAAACTCTATAATCTTCATTATGATTACTGGTAACTAAAACACTTGCTCTACTCTAGATTATTATTACTCATCAACATATAAATACATATCAATAGTAACTACATTTATTCAAACACTTTTTGTCTCATTCTTGTTATTACTAGTATTCCGGTTACGTTTTGAACATTTGCCTAGAATTCAAAAACTACGATATGTTAAACATATATTTTTAAATAATTATATTAATGACTATAATCGTAGGTTGTACGCAGCTGATAAGAAATCGTCAAATAGACTGTTAAATTCGTTTTGTTCTCCAAACCAATATTTTGCTGAGTTTAAATATATTATCAGAATGGGAGTTTGTGGAGATTATAAACCTAGTGGGCACTAGACGGTCTTCCCGTTCTATTATGGGACCCCCCAGCGGTACTCATTTACGATCACATATGAAGGACTCCATCCCAAGACCCTTGATCTCGCACGTGAACACGTTGAAGCCCAATACACCGTGACGGATAGACACAGGTATCTACGCCAGACAATTGATGAATGGATGCGCAAGATCATGGGTTGGTTGAAGTTAGACATTAACACCGTTGGATGCCGGCCAACTGTGTGGTCTACATGCTAAGTGTTTGCGTGCAAAACCGAAGGTGCTGGGTTTGAGTCCAGCATGCAGGGTCGTGAGTGTGCACTACTGAGGAGTCCCGTACTAGGATGAAACGACTGTCCAACTTCCACAGCTTTTCAATGGTGGTCTTACTTAGATAGACTCATGAATTCAACTGTTTAAATTTACCAACCGATCTGGCTGTACGAAATAATTTAAATCATCCCAAACTTCAATAATAAATTGACTGTTAAAGCAGTAAACTGATGAATCAATCTAGACTATTTATTTACTAAAAACTACAGGTATTTGAACATTATAGATTTAGATTAATTAATGTTGACTTTAAATTTTAGATTACGAAATACTGAAGATCATCTAGTGAAAATGCAAGATCAGTTAGATGCTTATAAAACTAAATTAAAAGAAGCATCAGATGAAATTTCTCATAGTAAACGTTTACTTAGCCAATATGTAACAAAACAAGATTACTCACCTAACAAGGTATGTTTACATAAAATTTGATGGAATACTGAAAACATAATAACTTTAGTTATTAAGTTATCTAATGTGTTCATCATATTATACCTAAGAAATGTGGATATGTCGACTAGTATGAAAGCTATTTTAATACAATTATGAAAATAGTGTTTAAATGATTAACATTTAATATTTATCAGAAGGGGTTTTCTGGCGATTTTAGAAATTTCACTGTTTGAAATCATGAGTCAATTGAAGCTAGATCGCCATGGAAAACCTGGAAGCATCAGACGACCGTTTCATCCTAGTACGGGACTCCTCAGAGGTGCGCATCCACAATCCCGCCCCCCGCGAGATTCGAACACAGGACATATCAGTCTCGCGAGCGAGCACTTAACCATCAGACCATTGAGCCGGTCGGCATCCAACGGTGTTAATGTTCAATTCCAACCAATCCACGAAATTGCGCCACCGTAAACAATTTTCTTCAGTGAGCTGATATCTCACAACAGACCTGATTGAACTCCACTGGTCACAGCTTCTCACTAAAACTCCAGGAGTGTCTCTTGAAATCAGTCACTAGTGAGTAGATGATTATTATCAGAAGAGGTTTTGTGGAAATTTTAGAAATTTCAATAGTTGAAATCATGAGTCAATTGAAGCTAGACCACCATGGAAAACCTGGAAACACTGAATATATTTAGTTAAACTCAAAAATTTCCTTGATTTTTTAGCATAATTTTATGAGTTCGTTTATTTATTCATTTTTTTAAAAAGATTGTTTGACCTTAAGAACGAAAAGTTGAGTTACACTCTCTTTTTCTATTACAGTTTATAAATCAATATACAAGAACTGGTTATGGTCTATTAATTGATAATTTAGTATATTTCATTTGTAGCTTGCAACGGAATCTAGGATGCTTATTTCATCCTATTTGAGAATTCATGATGTCCAAACTGTAATCATAACCCCGGATATTTTACTTTAAACACCCAATACATTGTCTTCTAATCTATTGGATCCTAGCGGCCTCCAACCTGTTCAACGGATATATCGATTAAATATAGTCCTGATTATCAATAATGAGAAATCATGAACCCTTTAGACTATTATAGTATTAATGTAGTTCATATAAGAAATAAATCACTTGTAAATAATACTTTAATAAATGATCAATCATCCTTTGACCGTGATTTATTCCTTAATACAATCATTCAGCTTTTAAGCATATTCATGAACATTAGTAACATTAAGCAAAGATGGAAAGGGGCTAGTAGTGGAATCCAGGACGCGCGTTTCGTCCTATTTGGTACTGAGTTTGAGTCGCGGAGTGAACATCAACTCTGGGATGCAGGTACATCCATCTGACGAGTCCCAAATAGGACGAAACGCGCAGCCTAGATTCTACTGCTAGCCACTATTCATCTTTGCTTAGAAAGCTTGTGACTTAAGGCTATATCGAGGCAATCCGTACAGTATGGATATACGTGCCAACATTAAACTGATCAATTGCAGTCCTAAATAACAGTGGGAAAATACAAATAGAACAACACCAAGTGAATTAGTTACATTAGAATTATCAGTAATAAAATATATTGTTATGTAATTTCAACATTATTTTCCATAGCACAACTATCGTCAGTAGTTAATAATTGAAAATAAAAGACTTTCTGGAAAATAAGTCTTCATTTTACAAGTTTTGATAAAGTAATTAGATAAGATTCGCACTTATTGATTAGAATCCAAACTTCTAGACATTTATTTGGGGATATTGGTTTCTATGATCTGGTTGATTTAACCATAAAATTTTCATTGTTTTTCTAAACAAAATCAACCCAAACTCCAGTTAGTGACGAGTTGTTAGAATACCTTCACTTGAAAATTATTTTATTGACATCCAGTTTGATTGTTATTCATGCTTATTTGTTCGTTGTCATAGTATTCATTTTTTCCCTTGGAATCATGAATCGTTCAACGTTAGACCATCATCGAAAAACTGGAAGCATTGGATGGCCATTTCGTTCTAGTATGGTACTCCTCAGCAATGCCCATCCACGACCCTTAGGCGGGACCCGAATTCAGATTCTTCGTTTTCACACAAATGCCTAAATTCTAGATCAATGAGCCGGAATTCAATGGTATTAATGTCTAACTTTAACCAATCCACGATTTCACGCGACCATCTTCCCTATTTTCGGTGGCCAACTGCCTCACATCCAACACGGTCACTGCTTTACACCAAGCCTCCAAGAGTTTTCTTTTCAGGCTAGTCATTAGTTATGGTGTATGCTACTGATGTTGACAGATATAAGTATATCACCAGTTCCAAGTGGAATGTCTGGCGGTAAAAGATTGAGAAAATCAAAGAGAAGAGAACGAGAACAGGGAGTTATTGTTATGGAAACAAAGGAACAACAAAGTCTGAGACAATCAACGGATATTTTGCAAATGAAGTATTTACTGTATGGTTCTCAGATTTTACCAAGATATTATGTATTGGTGTATTGAAATACATTCGATTGTCCCCATTGATGTTCTCATTCACAATATATTGAACATTTTTACTGTCTATCTCCTTGACTCAATTACTTGCCTTATGTTAGCTTATGATTTTCCTAAATGATTGGATGAACCAGATTTCGCTTATTTCTGATTGAACTGAATGTTGAATAACTAAAGATTCTCTGGTATTCTTTATGTTTCCATTGTCCGGAATTTTCACTTTTCTCAGTCAAATACGTATCGAAAATTGTCTACGTGTATAAATCACTAAATAAAAGTACATCTTGACATTTGACAAGTCATGCGTACTCATCCGAATAAAAATTGAACCATACCAATTGTAATAAAACATTTGTTCACTTCAAAAGTTTAATTTTTTATTACTTAACTTATTATTTCTAGTGATCAAATCAATCATTTCTTTGTTTTATCATTTATTATTGATCAAGGTTAATGAAATCAGTGATCATAAAATGAATTCATCATTAAGTAAAATAAAATGGAAATCAAATTTGAATAAAATAACACTTTTAAGAAATGTAGCACATAATTTTGGCGCGAATATTGAAAATTCAAATCCTTTAAAACAATCACAAGTTATACAAACTGAAAATGATTGAATTATTTAAAAATATAAATAAAATAATGTTTGAAATACAGTGACTTTTAGTCATTTAACCATTTTATTTGATTATTCTATTAAAATCGTTCTAACTTGCTAATTATCTTCTTATCAATATGGGATTGTAGAGATTATTAAGTTTTTGATTGAGATCATGAACCGATTAATGTTAGACCACCATTGAAAACCTGTAAGCACTGGAGGGCTGTTTCGCCCTATGGTGGGACTCCTCAACAGTGCGTATCAACGTTACGTGTTGAGTAGAGACAGGTATCTACCTCAGTACAATGGAAGATCGTCCTGCGATTCCGTGGATTGGTTGAGGTTAGACATTAACACCGTTGGATCCCGGTCAGCTCAGTGGTTTAGAGGTTATGCGTTTGCACGCATGGGTTGGAATCCTACGAGGCGAGGTCGTGGATGCGCACTGATGAGGAGTTCAGTGAGTTCAGGTTTTCCATTGTGGTATAGCTTTGATTGACTCATGATCTCAACTATTGAAATTATAACTGAAAAATAATTCAAAATATCAAACAATTAATTTATTAATACTCTGTAGAACTTATTATTCAATGAATTCATAAATCAATCCAAGAGTATGAATTATTTAAATCTTAGAACAGAAATATATTAACATTAAAGTAAGGTAACTTCAGTTTATTTCATTTTTGTATTAGTTGCTTGAATCTTTCCATTGATATTTAGGACTGAATTTGATCAGTCTCTTTTATTGGCATATATGCATCCTGTGCAAATTGTCTCGATATTGCTTTCAGTCACAAGCTTTATAAGCAACTAAGTGAATAACGCGATGGCGTCTAAAGTGTATGGTATTAGTTTCGAGTTACGGATGCAGGAACATCCAGCTGACGAGTCCCGAACATGACGAAACTACTACTGATGTCAATAGATATAAGTAGTACATATCATCAACCGAATGTGAAATACCTGGCACCAGAAGGTTGAGAAAATCGAAGAAAAGAGAACGAGAACAGAGAATGATTGATGTGGAAGCAAAAGAACAATAAAGTTTTGAGACGATTGATTGACATTTTGCAAAGAAAGCATTTGCTGTATGGTTCTCAGATTTTACTAAAAGATTCTGTAATTTTTTGTTGAAATACATTCGATTGTCTCCATTTGTTTTCTCGACCACTACATTTGGTATCGCTGCCAGCCAGGTAGGGTGCTGTTCTGTGGACACCGTTGCGGGCCTGGAGCTGAGGTGCTAATTGGGGCGGTCTAGCGCGAAGAGGTGACATCGAGTTGAGTGTTCTGGCGAGGCGGCGTTGGTTGTAGTGGGTGCTGTCGGTGGGGAGTATCGCACTGCTGGCCTCCATCAGCTTCGGTTTATTGTTTTGGATAAATACTACTACTACTACTACTACTACTACTACTAATAATAATAATAATAATAATAATAATAATAAGGCGTTGTCTCTAACATATAGACTAAGTAAGAATAAATGTTCAGTATTCTACACACACACAGTATTGTATGCTCCAATATATACAGAATAACAGATTTCAAAGATAAAGATGATTTAATGAATAGTTTGTTTCACTATTTATGTTCTCTTTTGAAAACAAATTACCAAAATTACCAATACTTTGATTGTAACATAGTATTTAAATAGATTTCTATATATCACATTTACTATAATTACAATTTCCAAACGTCTATTTATTTATGTATTAAACTTGATATTTAATTATAATCTCAAATGACAAGAATAATTATCGCTTGTCCTTAAATTAGCATCTTTATAATAAATAAAAAAAGATTTGCGTTGAGGGGAGGATTCAGAAAATTCCTTGAATAAAGCCACAAAATAAATAGCTCTGAAAACGTTGAGAAACATCTAATCCAATCAGAAACATCTAGAAAGTGAAAAGTCACATGTTACGTTTCTGATTGGATGATTACTTATACTGCTATGTTATATCCTATTGAAGATTAAATTAAGAGTAACTTCCGAGAACGATTAATGGACTGACATTGTCTATGTACTCTTATAGTGTAACTATTCAGTAACTAGATTATGTATATCTATATTCCTTTATTATAGGCTTCATTTTGACCTATAGATTATTATTATTGTACGATTTACTGTTCTTAAGTTATGTTCAGTTAATTGATTACCGTCTCCTACAATCACAGACACTCTTTAGCTTGATCCTATATAAATGTTATTTCCTATTTTATGGTACGATGCGGTCTGTTTGGCTGATATATAAACCAGGTATTTTGGAAATAAATGATTCGCATAGTGGAAGCTGCTATTGGTATTCTGGACTCAACTGGGCGGGTTAGCCGAGTAAAGAACCAATAATGACTCTGGGCTGCTCATATAGGTCTAACTTCATTGATTTGGCACAGTAATAAGATTGCATAAGTCGTATTTCGATTGGCGGATAGATCACGTGATAACTAGCCGGGCTTAAAGTCACAATATGCTACTAGGTTTAATAGCGTTCCAGAAATTTCCTAAAGCCCAAGGTCATCCAAAATACTATGAAACCCCTAGACTTTATGCCAATAAACGAACCTTGGAGTAAATCGTTTCTTTCATATACTTGCGTCTTTTCACTTGTGTTCAAGTCGCTGTGTGGATTTAACCTGGGGGTTACTAGAAGAGGTTAGGAAACCGAATCTAGCGTTCAATTAGAAAACTTGTCAGTTTGTAATTTACTACTAATGTAGATTTTAGATTATATTAGAAATATTGGATATTGAATCAACTTAAGCCTGATAGTTTTAATCTATAAAAGTTAGCTGGAATTATGTGACTATTCAAATTACATAGTTTTATGTTAATGTTTTATCATCTGATAATTTTTAGTCTGGCTCACTCTAAACAAGCAACTATTCTATTCTCTTGGAGTAATATAATCTATAATGAACTGTTACTAGTACGAATTTACATTTAAAATTACAGATTGAAAAAGAACGATCAGAATATGTTATGACCAAGTTACAGTGCATCACGGTTTCATGCTACCAATTGATTAATCGACATCACATATCACTGACCTTGATGATTTACCATAAACAATTTAAAGTCCTGTGAACATTCTTCCATGGTAGATATATATTGAAGATAATACATAAATTAGATAGGATTCAATGTTGTTTCACTAACCCCACACTATTATTAAATATTTATTACTGCCATTGGTTTATTTAGTGTTTATTACCCTCTATGAACTCCACTTGTTATATACAGTCTATGCTAGTCTACAGATAAATATACTTTTGATCATAACTCCTCGCAGAGTATAACAATTACCACAAACAATCGTAAACTACAGTACCACAATGACAATATGAACTGTAACAGTATTAATAGCACTGAATGAAAAAGCTAGTATTCCGCTTTATTCATCACTACTAACTAAATATACACAAGATATGTACAACTTTATCGTTGTTAATTATGATAAGTATGAAAAATAATTGTATTAGAATGACTTGCGCAATTGTCACATCTGTTCTGATATAATATCATATAAAATACATGGTTGCCTCAAATGCATCAGACACATAATAGGAATGAATCCATTATACATAAGTCAAAGCATAGAATTCGTATTACAGCATCTTTAAAAGTTAAGGATATAGAATTATTTACATTTTGAAAACTAAAATGTCAAAATGTTTACAATATTAAAATTCTCGTTAACTAAATTGTCCAGTTACATAGTTTTCTAAATTCATAATTAAATCTATTCTTAAGGAGTAGTTAAAATGAGAACAGTACCCATAGTTGAGATCATGAGTCAATTGAAGCTAGACCACCATGGAAAACCTGTTAGCACTGGATGACCGTTTCGTCCTAGTGTGGGACTCCTTAGCATTGAGCATCCATGATCCCACCTTGCGAGATTCGAACCCAGGGCCTATCAGTCTCGTGGGATCTGGATGGAGCAGTCGCACAATAGGACGAAATGGCCATCTAGTGCTTCTAGGTTTTCCATGGTGGTCTAACTTCAAATTACTGATGATCTCACCCATTGAAATTGCCATAAAATCCACAAAAATACTTATGATATCTTCTATTGGTTTGCTTCTAATTATGCTACATGTTATTAAACAGATCTTACAATAACGAAAATCGACAAGATACCGACCAAATTAGACTTAAAACAAAGTATTAACTGTAATGAATGTTTTATCACTAAGTAAATTAACTTCACTTTTCATAAGAACTAGATACATCTTCTATCTGCAGTACAGTAATATATCCTGTTTGATTTTCAAAGTCAAATTAATCAAAACTAAAGTTGTAATAGATTTAATTTAAAAGTTAAAGTCATTCCTATTATGTTAATGGAATGCTTTGATCAAACGTATCTGTTACTTGATTATAAACATTTTATGATTAAATCATTACTGCATCACCACACAAATACCAAACTGTATTCATTATTCTATTAAATCTGACTAACGTTTACACAAAAAGTGATTAAAACTACCCAATATCGGTGAGACTATAATTTATGGACGACTTTTCAACGACGTTAAAGTGACCTTGAGAATGTTCGCCTGATAAATAGGACAAAATGAGGTTGATACACCAGTGTGAGGAATTAGAATTATGATGTACAGTTGATGGTTAAGGTTAGGAATTACATTTAGAGTTTTCATCACGAACTAACATCACCTAATAATGCCAAAACTCTATTTAGTCAAATGGATGGCTGAATTTTGCGCCAAAATCCGAGACCTATTATCTTATATCTGATTGGTTCGTCTATAAATGATATTCTCATCCTTAATATCTAGTATACGATGTGAATCTTTTAAACACAATAAGCATATTATAACTATGGTCAAGTAATTTGTGTGTAAATAGATGTTCAAAAAGAAAAAGAAAAAAAAGGGAAACATTAGATAATGATCCCTACCCCATATACACCTATTAAAATCTTTACAAAATAACACTTCTCATTAAAACAAAACAAATGGGCGTATACTTTAATTAATTTGAACTAAATTAGTTCATTTTAAGTGTAATGTAAATCTAACCAATAGAATAAAGATCAACATAAACTATGCAATAGAATATAATTTAACAAAGTAATCATCTTCCCAAAAGCCAATTAAATTATGTATAAATCAACATTACTAAGGGTAAGCTTCGAGGGTATATAAAATCTTGCTTGAAACAATTTCAAAGTTGTTTGTTTTTTGTTTTTAATAATAAAATGCTTATTCCAACAAAACCTGCACCTAATTTCAAAGGAAAAGCTGTCATTAATGGTACATTTAAACAAATCACTTTACAAGATTATTTGGGCAAATATGTTGTATTATTCTTTTATCCTGCAGATTTGTAAGTTAAATTTTAAACTGTTTTAGTTTTTTAGATAATTTGGTTAAATATTGAACTATGTGTACAAGATATGACATTAAGTTTCAGTTAGATATTATAGTTATTTTAATAGTTGAGATCATAAGTCAATTGAAGCTAGACAACCATGGAGTCAAAGTTAGACATTAACGTCGTTGGATGCCAACCGACTCAGTGGTCTATTGTTTAAGCGCTTGCGTGCGAGATCAATACTTCATAGGTTCAAATCTTACGAGGTGGGATCGTGGATGAACACTGCTGAGGAGTCCCATACTTGAATGAAACGACGGTCCAGTGCTTCCACATTTTCCATGGTGATCTAGCTTCAATTGACTCATGAATTCAATTACTAAATTACTACTGTCTTTATAAAACTCTTCTCTGATTAAGATCACTAATAGTCAATTGTGCTTTTGGTAAGTTTGATTCATATAAGCGTTAGAGAATTGAATGTTTATCGTCATTTTGGACAATATCATCAAATGTCAGATAGGAATCATTATTATGAAGACCTAATTGACAAGACTAATATCTTATAAATTTATTCATTACTTCAGTATGTTTTCTTGTAAAAAAAGATTATATTTTACTATATTCTTCGTAAATGCGTCACCGTCATCAGATTGTTGTGAACAATTACGGAACAAAACATATCAACAACATTGATTTCACTTGCATGTCTATCAGGTTTCACTTTAATACATAGTGATCTTTATACGTATACATGAGAAAAAGTAGTCAATAAATCAAGACAATTTATAAGTCAGATTACATTATCTGGGCTACCTGTTCTTGTTATCTGGATATTTCAATAAGTTATCGTTTTGCATGATTGTTTTAGCACATCATTATGCCGATTAGTCTCATAACCTATTCAGTTATAAAAAAGCCCAATCAGAGACATTGGGATTGCTGGCAATAAACATAAGAAAGAATGTACATTATTCATATATCGATTCCTGAACTGCTAACAGCTAACTGGCGACCACTCAATATTTATCGTCAAGATCGATCAAGAAATAATAAAAGGAAACTTGTTGAAATACTTTGTGCTGAGAATTCTATATTTTACCAAAAGATGTATAATAGTGAATAAAGCTAATAACTCCGCCTGGAGTCCCTCCGGGGGCTGCTGCCGGTCCCAAGCCCGAATAAAGGAGGAGGGTTAGGCATGGGGTTAGCGAACCCATCCCGTAGAAAACTAACTCGCTAAAAAACGCCAATCAGGAAAAAAAATAAGTAAGAATAAAGCTAATAATAGTAATACTAAAGTGTAAAATGTATGAGTAACCAGTCTGAATAAACACACAAGATGAAATATAAAAAGAATGATTTCAAAGAATACAAATATAGAAAAGAGGTAGATAGAATAATTGAAAATGTTAATTAGCTCTTCCTTGATTAAAAAAGAAAGACAGAAATATTATTAACTTCATTTTAGCACTACCAGTATTTTTAAGGAAGTAGTTGGAAAAATGTGAAAGAATATAGTAGATAACGTTCAGTGATTTAGTTTTATCTATGAAATGACTACTATCAACTGGAATAGTAATAAGCCTTGATCCTGTTTGAAATTATTAAAACTATGAAGTAAAACGCTCGCTAACTCATTTTTTATGCTTCTTGGTTGTTTACCTAATACAGCTCTATACCATATGAATACCCGGATAGGTAGAGATACATTGAATTGGAAAAATCAAGTAATATGTCTTTTGCTTGAATAGTTAATGTTCGTCCACACCCGGAGCCTTAGACCTAAATGTCTGATCCACAAGGCGGTGGAGCGACGTAAGGAGATGCAGTCGCATAGTAGTTGGTGACCAACGATTGGTTCATACGCCATTTGTTCCCTCAGGATCCTGGAGTCCATGTGCACCATTGGTTTGGAATCAGAGTTTTCCAACTCCCCTAGGTGGACTCTCCGTGTCCACTAACCCGGTTAAAGCGCCGGACATTCGCTTTCTGTCCTCTCAATTTTGTGAACAACACCCCCGTCACGAGAAGGTAAAGAGTAGGACATCCTTGGAAGAGGCTATATACGCATGGCCATATGAGAGCGGACTCTTCCCATTCTGGGACGTATGGAAACAAATTAAGTTCCTTTGTGTAGTATTGACGCTGACTGGAAGAAGTATGACATTGTGTAATGAGATTAAATGTGAATATATATCATAATTTATTGTAACCCATGAAGTTCAACCATATTACATTTTAGGTAGATGTCAATGATTGTAGTTGACGATGATTGTGCAGTATCTCCAGTTGATTGTAGTTAAAAAATATGAACCATTCGATAGTAACTCAGAGGTTTTAATGTTAAGTACTCATTGTATGTCCTGAATTCGCTGAGTCAGATCTCTAACAAAACTTTTAGTGCACATTACTATGCTAGAACGAAACAACTGTCTCTAAATATTTCCTAGCAAAAATCAGTTCATAATGTAAACCCTAAATCATATAATCCCCAAAAGCCTTTTATGATAATGATGACAAGAATAAATATTATTAAATGATTTTATTACACTAAGAACTATACATTACCATAAAAGAATCTTTAAATTTCATTTGTAAACATTCAATTTATGAAGTAGTGAAACTTCATCAGTTGAGATGGCTGGGACACGTATTAGGTATGCCCAGCCACTGAATTCCCCGACGTGCGATGTTTTATGGTGTAGGATTAGGTTAGAAGAAAGCTAGGGGTGGCCAGACCAAAACATGGCGCAAATCCATGAAGTCACTGACAAGTGAACTGAACTAAGTTTTATGTACAGAAATACAGAACTTCTTTCAGGTACAATGAAATATCTAAAGGAACAGTAGATAAGTTGGCAAAAACTTAAGGTATATTACAGATTATATGGCGTACACTTATGAAATTGTTTAGAACACATCATTGATCTACTGTTACAGAAGTATTCCTCTGTATATATTTTATTCTTTTTACAGTACATTTGTCTGTCCAACTGAAATTATAGCATATAGTGAACGCGTTGAAGATTTTGAAAAAAGAAATTGTCAAGTTATTGCCTGTTCAACAGATTCTGAATATTGTCATTTGGCATGGACAAATATGGATCGTAAAGCAGGTGGATTAGGTCCAATGAAAATACCACTTTTAGCTGATACAACAAAATGTATTTCACGATCATATGGTGTACTTGATGAAGAAGAGGGTAATGCATTCAGGTAAATCCTATTAATTTTACAAATGAAATGATTCTAATGTATACGTAGCAAAAGAAAACACACTAATAATACTGATAGTGTAATGCCAATTAAAATTAATAATGTTTTACTAATAATGTTGCTTTTAAAAACTTTCTTGCAATCAGCGAACCTCTCTTGATTAGTTTCAATTTTATCAAGCATCGGACAGGTGGGCAACACAAGTAGTTAGACTATCGACAATACATTAAACTTAACTCAGGCATTAGTAGTACTATTCAACATGTATATTAAAAACTAGTAGTGTAAACCAACAATCGTAACAGTAAGGAACTTCATGTAGTTATATCGTGTATTAAAAATACCAAAGAAAGTTTCCGTGGTGAGAATTACAACGAAATCTCTTTTAATAGGATTTTGAAATGTATGATTTTCAAGAAATTCTAAGAAAGGAATTATCAAACAGAGTCAACTCTTCAAATGCAAATTATTTGTTTTATATACGCAAATGTATATATATCCTTGCTAATAAGCAGAATTAACAATGCGCTGTTAACAAGTTTGAATATATATAAGTCGTACCTAGCACTGAAGTTCAGGACGTCCGTTTTGTTCCGTTTAAGACTCATCAGCCGAGTGAACTTTTATTCCAGAGTTGAATTTCATACGATACTCAAATGCAATATCAAGTTACCTTAAATGCTCACACATTATCTAACCAGCAGTGTTAGTTCAGATTTGATATATGTTGTTTTACTGTTCAATGATTGACAGCCTGCGGGAAAATATCACCTGAACAGTTGGCTATCAGCTTCTTTGACTACGACGCGTACTCTGGAAAATCAAAGGATAAAGAATTCCGATAAGATAAATGTACTCATCTGACAAAATTAATTCAGTCTGAACATTTAGGCAGCCGTTTATCAATGTTGTAAACGATATTAATCTGTTTGTAGTGAAAATGTGTAGAACATTCAACCATAGACGAATTTCAATACAGTAGTGAAACGATTTTTGTCACAATGTCGAGTATGTACCAATATAATCATTGAAGTTCCACAATGGACTTTTGGAAACTAGTACTACTCTCTGATCGTCACTTTCCTCATTAGTGGTTACACCGCATCAGTACTATTAGTCTGCAATTATGTTTGTGCATGGGAAGACGAATACATAACTACTGATCATGACTTTGATGGTATCAACGTACTTTCTGTATAACTCTTCAGTTATATGCACTTTTTTGGGGACGCCAGAACTAATGAAAAGCGTAGAGGTCCTTAATCTACGGCCAGATCAATCAGTCAATTACAACGTAGGACCAGGCACATATAAGAATCAGTCCAAGTTGCCACACCTCATTAGCACAACAAGATGAACAGCAAATTCATAGTAGTTAATTAAATGATGGTAATATGTAAAGGAAAGATTGTGTATCAGAATATATTACAGGAAGAAAGAATTAGTTGGTAGGAAGATATAAAGTGATTTTTAATCCCACGTTTAAGGGAAGACAAAGAGTGTATACACCTACGCCATTGTGATCGATCCTGAGCCATGTTATCCATAGTCTTCAACGATTGGTTACGATAGACAAGCGGACCCCAACCAAGTGGTCTGTATCTACCAACATGGCTCAGACTAGAAGTCAGTGACTTTAAGCGCCGATGCCATGTTTTGTTTTGGCCGTCCTTAACTTTCTTCCAACCGTTTTTTCAACACCAGCCAACATTGTGCGTCGTGGTAATCGATGTTCAGACATACGTAACACGTAGCCCAACCATCTCAGTCGATACAGATTCACAACCTTATCGACTGACAAAAGCCGAATGAGATTTTTGAATCCGTGTTGAGAATTCGTCAGACACCGGCCAATTAGGACTGACCAGACTTCCAAGATAAGTGTTGTCGACGCGTTCGACTACTTCACTCCCCATCTTTAGTTCGGGTGCTGACACAGACCAGTCCAGATGCTGTAATTTGAAGGAGAGTTGCGTTGGATTAGCATTTGTTTGCCCATCAGGGCACTCTAGACAGTGATCCTGAAGAGCACGGATATTAGTGGTTCGATTGCAAATGGGAAGCAGAGTCAATGAGTTTCTATCACCAGGATTATTTCACGTTTTACTCGAGCATTTGACAAAGTGTGTTTTAGATGTTTCTTCGTCCCTTATCTGTTTCTCCTCTAATTTTTCTGTTTCCCAACACATCCTATTAACAAACAAACAATTCGCTGGTGACAAGTTAGAAAACTCACTCGAGCTCACAGGAGTAAGATCACTAAACAGCTTGTACATCTCAAGTGTTCGATGAGATGGTTATCCTTATTTAAAAAGCTCTCCCTGAAATAAGTAACTGATACAAATAATGAATATTTTGAACTCATCTTCAAATTCAAGAAGCTTCGAAAGCTATTAATCTATAATGTTCAACCTCAGTCTCTCTATGTAGCGTGAATCAGATGGTGCTGGAATGATCAACTTGTGAGGGACGGTTGTTACTGCTAACCGATTCCTTATAATAGAGTATTCCTTAGGTCCAATTGTAAGTAACAATTGAGGACACACATCAACAAGACCAAATATGTGATACATGTAGATTAAATTTCAGGCAACCGAACTAAAAGACGCAACGAAAAATTCTACAATTTAAAGCATACAGTTTATTCTCAATCGTTCCTGATGTACACAAAAAACTGGGAATATACAATTGTTAGAAACCCAAAGAGAAGTTTAATGATGCGTGAAACAGGGCTGCTACAACTCATTTGAAATATTTTATTCAATGAAGTTATTAGATGTGAATATCATTGAAATCACGAACTGATCTAAGTTAGACAACCACTGAAAACCTGAAAGTAGTCAACAGCTGTTTCATAATAGTGCATAAATCCTAAGCGGTATGAATCCATGACCCAGCAGCAGGGAACCTAACCCAGGACCTTCAATCTCGTGCGCAAACGCTTAACCTCTAGACTACTGAACCGAGTCCAATGCTGTACAAATTTAACTCCAATCAACTTACGATATTATGCTACCTTCTATTGTCTTTACTGGGTACCGTCCCTACAACCGACACAGCTTCACTCTATTGGTTATAGTTTCTCATTAGAACTCTGAAAATCACTAGTCGAAACGGATCACTGGTGAGCACATGATAATCAGTATGAGGTTGTCTAATTTATATCAGTTCGTGATTTCAATAAAACTCAACAATCTCCACAACCGGATACTGATAAAACTATAGTAGTTAGCTCATTAGTAACTTAATTTCGTTCTACAAGATTTTACAAACTTTATCAAAACCTAAGCAACAATCAGAATCATAAAATTCAAGAATACACCTATCAGTAACGATACATTCCAATCATGGATTTAGTCAAGTCCTTAAGAAATGATAGCATTCATAAAAGTATTTATGAAAAGCGGACATGAACCAAACAGCTACAAATTTACTTCGATGAGCTGATATCAAGATACTTATTTACTTTTAATTTATTATGTCTATGTGTTGTTTGTACGGAATGCCATCTCATGACAATATTACATTGCAAACACTTATATTAAACTGTCTGTAATTCCATGCTATTTCTTTTTTACTACTATTTCTACTACTGCAGAGGATTATTTATAATTGATGGTAAAGGCATACTGCGTCAGATAACAGTAAATGATCGTCCAGTTGGTCGATCTGTCGATGAGACCATACGACTGTTGGATGCATTTCAATTCGTAGAAAAGCATGGTGAAGTATGTCCAGCTAACTGGAAAGCTGGTAAGAAAACAATTAAACCAGATCCAAATGCTAGTAAAGAGTTTTTTGCTTCTACATAAAATGTTCCTGTTTACTAACACATACTAATTACTGTCTACACATAATAGTGAAGTAAAATATCTATAGTATGCAGTTTCATTATTAAACCGTTCATTTATTTATATATATCATTGTTTAAATAAATTAATGAAAAAGGCAGTTTAATACTCACATAGCTAACGTTGTTACATTATTGATAATCGTTGTAGTTCGAGACAAATAATTTGAGAACATTTAAACAAAGACAAATTATCTAAGCTAAGGGCACAGTGTAGATGCAAGCGTCAACGATTTTCAAAATAACCGTACAAATGAATAACTCCTGAGTGTAAACGATAATATTAAAGATTTCACACAATCTATCAAACTAAGATTTTCTATCTCAAAACTGGTAAAATGACAATTTTTTCCTATGGCTAAGGAATATTTGTCTTTCTGAACACGCGTAAGGACTCGAGTAGGTTTACAGGAGTACCCATATAGTTTCGGATAAGGTTTAGGGTCAGGATATCAGATAAGAACGTTATTTTATATCTACATAAAAAGAACTGAGCCTTTTTCACTCTATTATTTAAAAAATATATTAATTTTGTCTGGAATACCATACAAAGGTATTTCTGTTGACCATTTTATGTGATAAAGGATAAAAGTCATTTACTTTCTAAATTCGTGCAAATATCAGTTATCATGTCAGTTCTGACTGGATCACTTACTTACGCCTGTTATCTCTTGTTTTGCCAATTCTTGCATTTACATCTGCATCAGATCCTCCACGTTCATTGATGATGCTGTCCAGGTACGTGAAAGTTTCCACCTCTCCCAGAGTTTCACCATCAACTGTGATTGGGTTAATGCTCTCTGTATTGCATTTGAGGATCTCGCTTTTACCCATGTGTATGTTAAGGCCTACTGGTGCAGAGACTGCTGCTACACTGGTCATCTTGACCTGAATTTGTTTGTGTGTATAGAAAGGAAGAGCTAGGTCATCTCCCAAGTACAAATCATTTACATGCATACAACCTGTCCATTCTATTCCGTGTTTCACCTCAGATGTCGTGGTCTTCATAATCCAGTCAAATACCAGAAGAAACAGAAAGGGGGAGAGTACGCAGACTTGTATGACTCGTGTCCCCACTTGGACAGAGCCTGTCAGTTGTCCTCCATGAACAACTCTGCAGTGTAGTCCGTCCTATTAACCCCGGATGATGTTGACGATTTTCTCAGGTACAACAAGGTGTCGAAGAAGCTTCCATAATATTCTCCTATCCACACTGTCAAACACCTTGTCATAGTCAAGGGAGTTGACGTATAGTGACGAATTCCATTCGACTGATTGTTCAACGATGATCCGTGGTGTCACGATTTGGTTTGTGCACAACCGATCCTTACGGAATCCGGACTGTTCATCTCAAAACTAGACATCGACCGAATATTTCATCCGGTTTAACAAAATTTTGTTGAAAACTTTTCCTCGTACTGATGTTAGTGTAATGTCTCTGTAATTCTCACACTTGCTCAGATGTCGTTTCTTTGGTATCTTGATGAGGTATGCGTCCTTCTAGTCTGCTGGTACTTGTTCTTCTTCCCAAACCTTTCTGAATAGAACGTAGAGCATGTTCGCAGTAACTTCCACTTGTGATTTCAGTGCTTCGGCTGCCATGTTGTCTGGTCCTGCCGTTTCCCCACTCTTGATTTTTCTGATAATCATGTTGATGTGTTTGATCGTTGGTGAAATGAAATATATAGGAAGCTCTGTACATGCTGCATCGATATCCGGTGGGTTCAGTGAGGCTGGTCTATTCAAGAGTTCCTCAAAGTGTTCTAAGCCACCTGTTCCGCTGTTCTTGAACCTCAGTGATTATCTTTCTCTCTTTGTCTTGGATTGATTACACTGGTTTACTATATTTCCCCATTAGTGATTGGGTCATTCTTACATCATATACAACGTATGAAAGACGATGATAAAGATACTTGTGTAAATAGTTGCGTGATTAATAGTAGTAACAAATGGAAGTATCACAACAAAAGTAAGAAAGTCTTGTTACATATTTCATGGGAAAAATTAACATGTAAAAAAAAATAAAGGCCACTAAGACTTATTATCAAGAAGAGCTGTTGTAGGGAAACAATTAAAGAATAGTTAACCTGTGGTTACTTTTGTTCAAAGCCATCGGAAGGAAATTCATCAATCAAAAAAAAATATCAGTGAGTTATTAGACGATCAAGAACATTGAAAAGGAAAGCAACAAACAAGGAATTTATTAGAAAAACGATGTAAACAACCTTATCAAGTTTCTAAGCATGTGCAATAGCTAAAAATGAAGATGGGTTTTTCACGTTATTATTTATTTATTTATTTTGAACACATAAATATTGGTACAGGGGGGCACCAAATATATATGCGCCACACAAAACAGTGATAATTAGAAGAGAAGGAGAAAAGAGAAGAAAAAAAAAAGTAATGAACGTGGGGAATTATAAAAAAAAGAAGAGAGAGAGAGAACAATGGTGGGGGAAACGGAAAGGTACAATCAGAACAGATCTTTCAGTTAAGGAAGAATACGACCACCTTTTTATGAAGAAAGTAAAAGAAGGTTACAGCAGGATCGCCACTGGCTTCTATTCTGAGCCATATCTGATAACGTCTCTAGCCACTGCGTTACACCATCTCTCGGACCCCAACCAGGGAGTCGTGAAGGACCAACATAAGCTAGCCCTTTGCAGCTTTCTTTCATACCACGACACCATGTCATATACTGACCACCTCTCCGCTTTTTCCAACCAGTCCCAGAGTCGGCAAATAATGCACGACGAGGAATTCTCTGGGACGACATTCGTAGAACATGTCCAAGCCACCGAAGTCGGTGTTTCAAGATGGTGACACCAATTTCATTATCGTCTCTGTGACCGAACACTCGATGCCGAACCTCTGCATTACTGACATGGTGTTGCCACTGGATGCCAGCAATCCTTCGGAGACAGCGATGACCGAACACAGAGAGTCGTCTAACATCCTCAACTCGGAGAGGCCAGGTTTGACAAGCATAGAGTAGAAATCCTCTCACCGACGCGTTGTAGATCCGACCTTTTACAGCCAGACTAACATCACGAAGGCGCCAAAGATGGCCCAGATTGGCATAAGCCGCTCTGGCTTTCACTATACGTGCATTGATCTCATCACTCACACCACCACCAGCACTTATGCAGCTACCTAGATACACGAACTTCTCGACTACTTCTATCTGCTCACCATCCAGAGTGAGTACAGGATTAGAATCCTGCCAGTCTTGTAGAAGTACTTTGCACTTCGAAGGTGCAAAGCACATACCATACCTACGGACACTGATTGCCAACTGATTAAGTGCGGATTGCATATCTTGGGCATTCTCGCACAGTAAGACAATATCATCCGCATACTCAAGGTCGAGAAGTCTTTCTCCAGGTAACAGATCCACACCACCATTACTTACATCCATCAGAGCTGTTTCCAGAATGTCATCGATGGCAAAGTTGAAGAGGAATGGTGAGATTGGGCAACCCTGCCTAACTCCACTGCTTGAATGGAATAGTGGAGAAAGGTGGTTGTATGCCCTCACTCTACCTGAGGTGTTTGTATATAAGGCTTTTAGGATGTTAATAAACTTCTCAGGCACACCCCTCTTCAATAGACAATCCCAGAGAACAGTTCTGTCCAACGAATCGAAAGCAGCCTTGATATCAAGAAACACTACGATTGTTGGCCTTTGATAAGTATGGCGGTGTTCTAACACTTGGCGGAGGGTGAAGATATGATCAATACATCCTCGACCAGAACGAAACCCAGCCTGCTCCTCGCGAGTCAATCCTTCTCGGGTTCTGAACAACCTACGAAGTATGACGGAAGCCAATAGCTTGGACGCAATCGGAAGTAGACTTATCCCCCGATAGTTGTTACAGGAACAACGTGAACCCTTTTTAAAGATAGGGACAACTATCGACTCATTCGATGACGTTGGTACACTCTCTAGTTCCCAGATCTTTGTAAACATCGTCGTCAGTCCTTCAGTCAGAAAGTCACCACCATCTTTAAAAAGAGCCGGGGGTAAGTCGTCTGGGCCTGGTGATTTGTAACGTTTCAAGAGTTGGAGTTCCTTGCGGACTTCCGCCTCATTTGGTGGATCAGTCGTCACCGGCCAAGGAGGGCAGGACAGTCTGACCGATGTTGCCGGAGCAGCAGGCCAGTTGAACTGCCCTTCAAAGAATTCTGCCCATCGTCCAAGACGTCGATGGATGTTAGTGATTGGCGTTCCGTCATCCTCGCAGATTGTTTCGCTCACACCAGACTTCTTGCTGCCGGTGGCTCGGATGAGTTGGAAGAGCTTCCGGTAGTTACCAGATGCAGCTGCTGCTTCCAGCTCATTAGCACGCTCCGACCACCAGGCTTCTCGGTCCTTACGCAAGCTTTGCCCGATTTCATTACGTAACAACCTTCGTCTGTGGTCAAACTCACGGTCACCAGGAGTAGACCGACGGGCTTCAATCAGTTGTAAGGAACCGGAAGAAACCCAGTGCTTGTAAGCGGGACGTTTCGCAATCCCACAGCTGACTTGACCCGCTATTTTCATGGCGTCATGCAATTGCAACCAATGCTCATCTACACTTTTCGGTGGAATGGTAGCTAGCCTAGAAGCTAGCACGGTTCGGTACTTACTAGCAACATAAGTTGCAGCCAGCTTGCTAACATCAATCCTTTGGTGGCGGTCACTTCGTTGTCCACTGAAAAGTAAGGTAAGATTGGCGCAGACCAGAGCATGATCAGATTCCAGATAGGTACTCCAAAAGGAGCGGCAGTCTTGTACACAACCGCGCCAGCGGTAGCTGATCGCGATGTGATCAATCTGAGTCCAGGCTTGAGATGCAGGGGGAGGACGCCAGGTGGCACATCGGCGATGACTGTACCGAAAGTTGGTGTTAGCCATAAACAGTTTGTGGTCTGTGCATAGTTGCAGTAGACGTTCCCCGTTATCTGTCCTGCGACCAACGAGTCCCCATCGGCCACCTAAACGACTCTCTTCTGTGCCTAGACGCCCGACCTGAGCATTCAAGTCTCCAGCTAGTACTACAATATCTGTCGAACGCACTTTCTGGAGAAGAACAGATAACTGGTGGTAGAACTCATCCTTGATTGCATCCGGGCTGCAATCTGTCGGGGCATAGGCAGAGATGACGAAAAGACATCATTTCTCACGCCGATTTCTTCTCACTCTGATGGTACTTTCTAATCTAACAGCACATAACAGACTGTTAATGGGGATCCAGTCGACTAGTGCTGCCTCAGCTCTTGCGCTTAGTGCGACACCAACGCCAGCAAGACCAGACGAAGATGCCACAGGGTCCCCGGATAAACGCACGTAAAACAAGCTTTTTGGAGCGACAGATGGAGAGCGAACTTGTAGTACTTCACCAGAGTCTTGAATACGGGTCTCGGATAGACAACACACATCAATATTAAGACTTTCCAAAGACATTGCCAGCCCTATCTGTTGTCCGACCTGCATAAGTGTGCGAACGTTAAAGGCAGCCAGTTTGAATGGTGCGCGTGGTTTCAGAAAGACTGCTTCAGTACTCGTATTCGATGGTAACGTACAATTTTCAAACCAGGCAGTGACTCGAGAACGTTTAGATAAAGCTGAATTTTTACCATAGGCGAGCTGCTGTCTGAGTCGAAACGGATACAAAAAGTAGAAATAGGAGATAGTGAGTAAATGACGTAGTAAATAATAATAATAATAATAATAATAATAATAATAATAATAATAATAACAATAATAATAATAACAATAATAATAATAATAATAATAATAATAATAATAATAATAATAATAATAATAGTATCAGTCATTTCAATGTTAGTCAGAGAAGAACGAATATTTTCCGTAAGCGAATATTTCACGTACTGTTTACAATTTCAGTAGAGGGTGAATCCCAACAAAGGTTAGACTAGCTTAAGTGATGAAGGTGACTTACAACATTAAATACATAAAGCTAAGTGTGGTAAGATAAAAAATCAAGGATAAAATAACAAGCAATACCAAGCACTCAATTCACACCGAACCGTTCTTTAGTGAATTATAAGTTGACCAAACGCGACGTAGGATCTGGCTAGTGTACACGTTGATCCGAATTGCCACACTCCATCAGCACAGCGAGATGGAATAGTCATGGCGAATCCCAGTGTTAGGGTTAGTAACCATACTACTGGTGATAGAAAAGATTAGGTATCGAAAATATGATAAAAAACGAATTAGTGAGACAGAAAGTGTTGTGCGATTTAGAAACTCGGGATCTAAGGGAGGATAGAAAGTGGGTGCACTTGCGACATTGCGAACAATTCTCAGCCGTCCCATCCCGAGTATCCAACAACTGGTTAAGACAATCACGCAGACCCCAGCTAGGTAGTTCTCACTTATTAACATGTGTTAGCCTACTAGTTAGTCCTCATGACGCATAGCTCTCTTTCAACCTACTCCTACACTAACCATCACCAATAAAAAGCCCTACCAAACAGTTGACTCAATATAATTATCACATTCTTGAAAACACTATTCACACAATAATATGTCCAAAGAACTAGATAATTATAATATGCAAATAATTGAGCTCAGTGAATAAGTGAACGTTGATGCTTATATTCCACATTTAGTTTATGCATGCATCAACTCTTACTACAGTGGTACGAACATGAATATACCCTTATACCCCATGAGGAAGTTAGTGGATATGCCGAATACGTAACTTAGTGGGTTGTGTGTCAAAGCTAGAATCTATAGGTAATGGACTTCAGTCATGATGCAAATATCAACATTGTGATCCAGTTTACCAATTCTAGATAGATCGGAACGCAGATCCTAGGTACTAAAAACATTTACATTGTGCCTAGTCTTTGACCCAAACACAGTTTAGTTCAAATCTGCCAGGACTATCTTATTTCCTGTTGTTGATAAGATTCCTACGATCACATGTTTGAGAGAAATCAAATAAACACACAACACAATGTTAAGGGGCATAATATATTTCGAGGACACTTAACTGATTACCAACTCAAGCTTATTGGGCTAATTAGTGACCCTGCGTAATTTGGAATAACTACTCGTCGTCTACACACAATGGAGATCATTATACGGGAAAACCTATGATGAGCTATAGACCACATTTTAGCACAAGTATTATCGTGTACACACTATTTTAACAGCGACCATGTAAAAATATATTTTTTTATTTAACAGGGAGAACCTTCTTTCCTTGTACTTCCAATTATCTCCTACACAGCTTTGTACGACCTGCCAACACTCCCCTTATCGTCGAGCATTTCCCGACAAAAGGTTTTTCAAATGTAAAGGCTTATGTGCTACGAAGATATCCCGAAACTGTGCATGATTTAAAAATAGGGAACGAATGGGAGTGGATATAACATAAAATTATCGGAGTCCCGAACTAGTTGGTTTCTTTACCAAAAAATCTTAGATAGTGATAATTAGACAGTATAAAGAGCAATGTGACTAGTCTTTGGAAGAATTCTTTGACTTTTGTAAAAGAACTAAGTTTATCAAAGAGACAATATACCAATCACAAAATCTTGAAGAGATAACATATAGGAATAATTATTATGCGAATTGAAAGTGTGTAAAAAGTTAGTTAAGTCAAATCACTTTGTCGACATAATAAGAGCAACTATCAGTCCATAGAGTCCAAGTACCTCCGCAAAGATTAGAATAAGCACCATTCCAACGAACATTCTTGGTTGCTTGGAGGTCGCTCGCACACCGGCGTCACCAACTTTCCCAATCGCGTAGCCAGCAGCCAGTCCACTGAATCCCACGCTTAAACCGGCACCAAGATCATTAATTGACCTGAATGTATGACTGGAGAAGACAAAAACTTACATGAATAGGGTGTAATTGTCATCTATTCTTTGAGCAATTAACACAGAAACAACAAGACCGTATATTGCAATTATTCCTGCCATTACAACTGGTATTATGGTTTTCATGACGATATCAGGACGGGATACTGCAATGCATGAAATGCTCATACCGGAAAGAGCAGTGCCGTAACCTGCGCCAAGTGCTAAAGACATCAACCATTAAATGGAAGGATACTTTACCACATAATATCATCGCCGAACTACATCCAATTAAACCCAAAAATGGTGCCCAAACTGGAGTGGACTCCATCCTGAAAAATTCGAAACGCCCACCTTAGATGTCTTCAACTGTTCAAATGGTTCTAGACGAATAGAAGCTTTCGCTTAACGGGCTTCCGTATTCAGTAGCAGTGGATCACCGATACCTACAGGTAAGAACCTAGGTATATTAACGATAAATAAGAAAAATAATAATTAGTAAATGATAGGGAGATACTGTCCTTAGCCCTTTAGAATACGTCAAGTTTTCTCTTAAAGGACTCATGGGAAGTTGCCTGGACTAGCTCAGCCAGCAGAGAATTCCAACATTCGACTACTCCTAAGGAGAGGAAGTTGTGCCTACAGTCCGTTCTGCTGTGTTCTGTCTCCAGTTCATAGGTATTGGGAATAAACTTAATTAGGGGTTTAAGGGGATAGCCAATAATATTTAGGATGCTATAATTCATCAAAAGGTCACCTCGAAGACACCTTTAATCCAGTTGATAAAGGTTCAGAGATTGAAGACACTCATCATCAGACTTAAATTTGGGTCCCTGGACCGATTTCGTGACTCGCCGTTGGATACGTCCCAGAGTATCCTTATCCTTTGGGAGTGAAGGAGGAAACAACATACCTCCGTACTCTAAATGGGGAAGAATGAAACTGTTGAAGATTATGTGAACAGTTCTTCCATCAAACTGGCGGAAAATGTACCTCCACTTTGACAGTGCAATGTTTGCTCGGAAGGCACTTTTGTCGCAGTCAGACTTCAAATCACAAGTTACCAACACTCCTAGAGCTTTTCCAACTTGAGACCCCTCCAGAGGGGAGTTGCCTAAGCTGTAATTTTGTCTGCAACATGTCTCAAATGAACTACTTTACACTTTGAAGTGTTAAATGTAAGTTCGTTTCTGTCTGCCCAGCTATGAAGTTGAGTCAGATCCTCATGAGGTACTAGTTTATGACCTTGATTGCAGACTTCTCTCAAGATTTTCACATCATCAGTGAAAAGTAATAGATCTGACGATATCTGTTCAAGAGGACTGTTTACATAAATCAAGAAAGAAATATGTCCCGGTACTGAACCTTGAGAGAATCCACTGGGACATTCTATAGCCCGAGAGAAAGTAAAGTTGACCCTAACCTTAAAATGTTGATTTTTTAGATATGAAGTGAGCCGATCGATTAAAAGTGATTTTGTACCTGATCGTTTGAGCTTATTGATAAGACATGTATGGTTGACCCTATCAAAAGCTTTTGGGAATTTGAGATATATGACGTCAACCTTCCACTTGCAATCAAGGATGGTTGTCCACCCGTTCACCGAAGTTGGTAGGTTGACTATACAAGAGTGACTTTTTCTGAAACCGTGCTGTTGGAATGAAAAGAAATTTATGGATAATAAGTAGTCGTGAAGACTGTCGCATACCAGAGTTTCCATAATTCCTGAGGGTATTGAGGGAAGTGCTATCGGCTTGTAGCTCGAAAGTTTGTTGCGTCGAACTCCGTTAAAAATTGGTATGATATGAGTCAGATTCCGATGTTTTGGTATTGTATCCTTCATCACCTTTATAATTATCACACAATTTGTCTTATCTGTCTCTGAACATTACCAACTTGTAACATCTCCCACCCCTCATGTTTTTTATTCTAACACCAAACGACTGTAGTGGCATCGGATCATAACTACACAATCCTCAAAGCTGAACACGAGACTACTCGGAAAATAGATATTCAATATTTAGCGCGGAGGAATACCCAACAGCGGAGAAGGCGGGAATAAGGAATTGAAAAAATCGGAGTTGATCGTATGGCATGGCTCAGCCATGCAGGCGTGGTCCCTGGTAAATGTTACGTTATGTCTTTTATTTATATTAAATATATTGTTCCATCTCTAGCCTAAGATTATTCTATATCATGTATTGGTAATTGTTACGACGCAGTGAGTTGGTGTAGATGATGATGTGATTTCCACGTAAGATCTTATAGATTAGGCAGTTACATCATAACAAATCTACAATTTTAGGATTAGGTCTATTATTAGAGCAGTGCTAATAACACGACCTCCGACCTGCTCTTCAAGTATGGTTTTAATGATCACAAACTTGTCGATGGATTATCATCGTTCGCTCGAGCTGGTTTTATCTGATATATATCATATCCTTCACATGGAATCAGCTTGTTTCTTTCTGGGTTCTCATCATCCTCGTTTTCCTGTTGTCCTTACACTTCTGTCTATCACTTTTGTTTGAGCTCCAGAGTGGTTAACTATTTTTTTACTTCACAACATCGACTTCTCTTCTTTCTCCTGCATTCAGGTTTCTTGCTTCCTTATTTTTCACGTAGCAGTCAAACTCCTGTTTAATAGTATGATAGCTAGCATTTTCAGTGTAACTAATGACATGAGAAAAGCAGTTAAGCGTCAATGTACGGTAGTCACGAAACTTTATTCTAGAGTGGTCTTTACCATCATAACTCAACATATTTTTCTTATCCAATACTTTTTAAGACGACCCGATAAACAAATTTCCGTTCCCATGGAAACCAGTTATTATGCCGACCGAAGGTCTGGGACAAACGCGCTCACTTGTCCTTAAACTATACTAACCTCCTGACGACCACCGAATTCACGAGAACTACTGTAGACGTACAGTTAAATTACATTCACTGAAAGTTTTCATGGGCCTCCTGCCCGTCCCCAGAACATAACATCAATCACGAAGAAATCAATAGTTCATATTTACTTCTAAAGAAGCCGCTGGATATGTGGCTCGTAACAAGAATGTCGTTTAACAGGGTTTACGTCTGCTTTCCGAATTCACCAGGGCCGTTGTAGCGGGGTGAATCAACAGACACAAAAATATTCCCTGCCAAACGCGTGCTTTTTGAATAGGGCAGTAATCGTTTTTCTCGTCAGGTGAACCTTTTAGCTTTGATTATGTTCTGATGTGTAAAGTTGGATTTTCAGTGCTAGTAACGTAGAACTCTCAGCATTTCGTGTTCTTCTTCCACTTGAACAGCTTTAAAATCGTCTATTCTGGATATCAGCTTTTCTATGTTTCGCGCTTGAAGAGATTATTTGTGTTGTTCTTTCTGTGAGCTTACTTAAATACTTTGATGGAGCAAACAAAACATCGTTGTGGTTGATCCACACGCTTTTAACCGGTGTTCTTTAGAAGCGCTAGGCATCATGTCGGTGATTCTTACAACAGGACGAGTCAATGTAGACAATGATGGTACTTTTATTTGAAATTGTATAGATTAGGTAGCCTCATACGACAAATTCAGAGTTTTTGGATTAGGACTATTTTGTATTAGTACTAATATCTGATATAGACCATGACCTTATGATGTAATTTCCCTACCAGAAACCTGGGTAACGTCAGAAGTTCATAATAGTGAAATTCAGTTGCTTGGTTTTTTACTCAATCGGGCTGATAGACTAAACTGTAGGGATGTAGGGTCATCCTATAAACCGAAAGCACCTTAACCATACGAACCGTCGAGACAGTGACACGCTAATCAGGGACATGTGGACTGGTGCTTGGCAGGCTAACATGTAAACGGAAAGATATTGAATTATTTACAGTTAACACAGTCCAGAATGTGTTGTGGATAACTTCCTCCTCCACATCCTGGCAGCGACACCAAATGTAGTGAACAGAACACGGGTTGGGAACAATCGAATGTATTTGACAACAAATTACAGAACTGGTTAGTAAAATTTAACAACCATATATTAAATGCTCAACTTGCAAAATGTCCGTCAGTTGTCTCAAATGACTCAGACTTTCTTTATTCTTGCATTTTCGTACAAGTCGCATTCTGTTTCCATTCTTCATTGTTCGATCTTCTTGTCTCTCTGCTGCCAGAAATTCTGTTTACAACAAACATCATATACTATTCATGTCTGCATAAGTGGCACATACAACATTAGTGTAATACGGGTCAAAGCCATATAACAGAAGACTTTAATGAACCGTATATAAACTAGGTAAACCTAGAAGTAGGGTCATCGACAATGTCACTTGATCGCAAACTGTTAGGAATTACAATCACCGTAGCTTTATTACAGCACACTAGAGATCCCACCAAATATGAGTTACGAAGCCTCTCTTCTCTTTCCGGTTTACTTTTCACACACGGTGATGGTGTCGGTCAGATAACTTTACTCCCATCTCTAGGGAGAAGGGATCACACAGTCATCTTATCCAAGCTCATCGCTGAGATGGTCTGTCAAGCAGTTGCTTCAACCCCTCCTAACATATAGAAGGCAGATACGGAGGCGGTAAACTCTGCAGCACTGGCTGAAAACTGGATAATTGTCTCAGATGCATCAGTGGAAAAGGCATGGATTCATTTCAGGCAGTTACACAATCGAGTAACATAACCATATATACCTTGGGAAGTCCCAAACAAGAAGAAGAAGCTCGGCCATTCCTGGATAAACTTGGGCATGAGATGTTTACTTAGACAAAAAAAGGAATGTTCAAGCATCCCTATCAGAATTGGCACAGCAAGTACAATAGAACGCTACAAGTCGGTGAGAAATAAGTGTATAATTTCAATTCGGAATGTTCAGCAAGCATATGAAGTGCAGTTGGTCCCATCTGTATTCAAGCAACCTAAAAGTGTTTCCGTACATAAACTGCAGAATAATGACCCTGCATTAGATTCTCAACATAATAACGAAAGGGAAAGGATCTGAAATGATAGAGGATAACCAGGAAAAATTAGATGCTATGGCAGACAATTGCGGGAGTTTTCACTAAGCAGCCTCTTCCAGACGAAGAATTAGACTCAAATATAAGGCCGAAACGTCGTCTAATCACAGTGAATCTAGATCGTGACTATGTACTTACGACCGCTAGCACTTTAGACATAAAAAAATCAACAGGACTGGATGAATTAGACTCTAAACTTTCAAAACTAATTGCGAAATATATTGCTGCATCACTGACTGTGTTGTTCAATATATCACTCGGTCAGTCTACGCTGACTAGAGGTTGTAAGAGGTGTGGAGAACGACGGACCTACTCGTGATCTGGTGCGGATGCATGGACAAGCGCCATCATCTAGGTGAATCCATCAAAGCTAATGCGGTCAGCATCAAATGTTGAAGACTTCAAGAGCTATTGATTTTGGGGATTTATTTACATACATTAACCCAGTTATACACTAATATGTTCACTACAATATTCACAACTTTTGTCTGCTTCAAACCCTTAAACTGCATTCAGGCTGCAATTTACTATTTAAAAAGTTGAAAAAATAACGGAGGGCAGCAACTTGTTCAATTCGAGAACTCCAGAATTCACCATACTAAGAGAAGCTTGAGAAGATAGACCAACTTACTCTTTCCTGCCGCAAATGAAGATATGATCAGATTTCGATGTACAAAATGTTAAGGAGTGATTTTGAGTTCGACACATCCTCTCTTTCTACCAGATCAGGATAACTTAGAGTACATACCGGATGGAGCACAGAAATCAAGGACGAACAAAACATCTGTGCCGTACAATTTGTCATTGGGATCTGTTATCCGAAGAAGTAGTGCTCATATTATTTAATTTGCTCTTTCAAGTGAAGACTAGACACTCTCAGGACTAACTCAAGACGTAGGCCTTCTGTTTTCAATACATAAATCTGAAATCTGAAAGTCAGAAAATGAGTGGGAAGAAAATAATGGTTTGCACCAACTCATGGAGCCACAATGAAATAACAAGAAGCGAGCACAAGGAACTCAATCAGTTTATGCAAGCTCGTGATAAAGTCATTGGATATCAGATTAAGCACCCTACAATGAGATTGGATATTGTATTTTGAGACTAACCTTGGCACAAGGTTTGTAAGGCTTCTTACGGACGGACACGATAGGTAGGTAGTAAACTACCATTCGAAAGAGTACCTTTTGACGAGTTGTAGAAAAAGTGTCTGGATTATAAACTTTAAAGAACAAAATTGTCCCATGAACAGCAACCCTGCTTTAATTGTCAGTCTAATTTTGTAAGAGATTAAACAACATATCTTGGAACTAAAAGCTGCAGATAAAGCCTCGACTATCAAATGAACACCCTAAATAGTGATTAAGATTTTACACTCTTTAAATCCGAATTTAGGCGAGATGAGTTTGATCATAACAGTTGTTACGGCGTCATCCCGAGTTTCGGAACATTTAACCATTCTTTTTCAATTTTGCCAACTTGCTGTTACTGGATAAACGATGACCAGAAACATATTCTGGAAGGTTGTCTGTGATCTCACATTCGTTGTGTTGCGGTCGGAAGTATACCCTTTCTCTCACTGAAACCGTTTTGAGTTAGTGTTGAGTAGAAAAACCAAATAAAGAGTGTATACAACTGCTCCATTTCACACAATGTTCTCTAGAAGTTCAGTTAATTACATGGGCAATAACCAGGTAGTCTACACTTATTAGTATTTTCCAGTTAATGACCTCATGGATTTGTGTTGTATCTCAGTTTAGCTGTCCATAATTCTCCTGCAGCCTACTCACATTAAATAACGTTCCCCGCGAAGGTTGGTAGTAATTAGGCATACGCAAAGCATGTCTCAAACACAGTTGGTAAAGACTCAATACCACATCAATCGACTTTCCATCTTTACTCAGTATCTTGTGCCTAACCTCAGCATTGGTCATTTAGTGGTCTCAATATGCGTAAGCAATGCTGTAAAAACACCTTTGGTCAAACAATGGTAACCCACAAATATCTGTTTTTAATAAACATGTTTCACACACCTGAAATAAAAAAGCAAACTGATCTGCGGTAAATCCGTTTGCTGGTTCCCTACGCTAAAAGTGAACAAAGTTGCTAAAAGACAGCCGAACTTTCTGAATTTGTGCCGCGGTGAGACTATAATTTATGGACGACCTTTGAGCTAAGCTAGACTGAAGTTGAGTGTCCACCTAATAAACCTGTGTGAGGAATCAGAAGTATGTTTTACGGTTGATGATGATTCTTAGGAATTAGATTTCGGGTTTTCAACACGAACTGACATCAACTATAATGCCAAAACTCTATTTAACCAAATTGGATGAGTGAATTTCGCGCCAATATACGAGGCCAATTATCTTATACCTTATCGGTTCGTTCGTAAATTATAGCCTCTCCCATGCCGAAATTAAAGTGGCGTGTGTGAAGAAAAAAGGCCATTAAATAGAAGCCATGAAAAGGTTTGTTTCTGAAAAGACAGTTGGCACAAATGTCATTCAGTTAAAAATGCATCTTCTTGAAAAGAATACAATAGAGAATTACGTTAGAATCACTCTTCTTCCTTTCTGAGCCTGATTAGTAACGTACCACTCCAATGAAGTGTACGGTCATCAATTATTATGCAGTGATGGATGCTAACCTAACAACCAGATTTCGTTTTGTAATATCATGTCTCACTAGTTGCTAAATCCGTGCAATTGTTCCTGGACACAAATGACATACCTCCTCTCCACTGCTACATTGTAAATCTCTTATTTTCTGGTCAGACGCGACAAACCTGTGGTTGTCTAGACTAATATAATTTACTTCAGATTTAAGTATGCTCAGGTCGATGCAATCTTTCACATCACCGACAAAGCCAACAGGCCCACAAAAGTTCTTGCAGTCTCCAACGTATCATCACAAAAATCGAATTCATAGTTTTTTGTAAATCATATTGAGGGGAAAGTATGTGGTGTTTACGGATGATGACTAAGTATTATTTTAATAGCCTGCGCCATGACATAAGAAACCGACATAATTCCTGTCCTCGTGGCTAGGAAGTCTTTCTTTAAGTAACGCAACTTTAACACCGTTTTTTAGTTTTCTTTTTCGACGCTGTTTTCAGGATTTTATCGATAAAGATGTCAAAGAGGAATGGTGAAATTGTCTAGGCTTTCCTAACCAACTACTGGGTTAGAGAAGTAAAGGAAGGTAGTTTTATGACTTTATCTGAAGTGCTTTGTATACAAGCTTTAAATTGTTAGCAAACTCCTAAACACTTCTCTATAATAAAACTCCAAACCATAGTCCTTGCTTGCGAGTTAAAGACGACACGGATGTTGAAAACGCGATAACTGTTTCTTTACAGCCTATGATCGTCTTCAAGCATGTAATAGAGGATAAAGATACAGTAGTTTCATTGAAATCTGGTGTGACATTCAGAAATTAGTTCGATATGCTCAGTATAACAGAAACTGGCATATTGAACACACATAGTGGTAAATTTTTACTTATTAGATTGACTTAGCGTGTTGTTAGATATGACAATCACACCGTTGCAGAAGGATTCTACAGTCCGTTTTCCACAAATTGAAGTAGTCTTCAAAGTTTAGACTAACGTAACTAATCGATGTAGGGGAAACTTCGATATCATTGACAGGTTGCTACGTCAACTTTTTTAGGTAATATTTAACGAAGGAACGTATTTACTACATATATGTATGTATGCTGGTTATGTATAATTTATCTCTCCTTCGGATTTCCTAAATCTTCCTGTTTTCTTATTTTGATTGTGCTTTCAGTCTATCTTGAGCCACTAAACGTTTTCCTGTTAAACGTCATCTAATAATTTCGAGAAGCCATTATTAAATATCTGAATATAGAGCCCTGGAAAATATCTGTGTGCGACTATATGGACCTTTTTGAGGAGAAAGTTCGTCTACATGAATCTACAACGGAAGTCGGTGGGCTCATAATAACTAAGTCAAGAGAAAATTTCAAACAACCTCAAAAGTCTTTATTTGGACTTGATAAGTTGGCGGCAAAAAAGCGACAGGAATCTGAAGATCTTAATCTACAATTTAACAAGCGCGATGTTACAAATAAAGAAAGGTATTGAAGTTTTTGCATAAGATTTACTTTTGTATCAGGTTCTATAGGGAAAGGCGCGTTGAAACCCCTTCCAATCGTGGGGGTGTTAGCAAAGAATATTTCGATTCTCAGGCAAGAAGGCGTGAACGTGACCAGAAAGAACGCTTAAAAACCGGTCTTGTATCAACATCCAGAAAAATTAGTGAAAATTACTCAGACTCTCGAAAATCAGGTAAACTTTCATGTGTAAATACTCAAGGTTACTATGTGTTTTGATGCTGCTACGACTTCTTAAAACCCCCCTTGTGGTTACGTAACCGTAAAACAAGTGCAGAGATATTTCATCCCGTCTGAATTCTAATTAACAGTAATTCTTTTGTGTACAACTATGTCTAAATGAATCGTTTTGCAGTTAGATTCATAACATAATTCCTAGATTTCAATGTTTTTAGTTGACAGTTTTGCTGCAAATAAGTTCTTACTCACAAGTTATTCTATGTTAAATTGTGAAGTATACGTACACTCATCATTTTATTGTTAAAATGCAAATCTAAACATTCCTATCTTAACCAACATCGCAACCTCTTTCCTTCACTTGTCCACTGTTAGTGGTATCGTCCATTCTGAACTATTTCTCGCAATATTTGTGGCATGTATTTAAGCGTTATTACGCTTATAATTTGCAGATCACAGTCTCAAAATACTCAAGTTTAACTAAATGATAATTTACACTATTAACCTTTCCTGATAGCATGTCCAGTGCTTTCAGTGTAAACTATTTTCAATGAACCAGGTGCATATTTTCAAACCTTTTAGTTATTTGTATTCGGTTCAATTATATTCACTTAAAACATTTTTGGTATTACAAATTGATTATGTTTCATATATCTTGCCAAAGCGGTTTTACTGCACGAATAAACTTTAGAGAAACTGTCTCTCAAATAATCTTTTTTTAATTTTTTGGCAGACTATTCTCGGATTGAATTAGTCAGAGAAAAAGAATCTCTCAGCACTCGACATCGGAGAGAAGCAGAATGGGAAGATGAAACACCTCATCACAGCAGTCGGGAAAATAGAAGTACTACTGGAGCAAGTACCAACCGGTTTGAAACTCCTGAAATATATAATGTTGGGGGACGGTCTCCAGGACATTCTAGCTGGGATGATTCTGGTTTAGGATCCAGTCGATCTACTACCCCTCGCAATACCGGATCACTAGCTCGTAATTCCAATAACGATCGATATACCTACACCCCTATGCCTACTCCAAGTTTTAAGCACAACTCATGGATGCAATCAAATAAACATAACACAGGGAGTTCGGACTCCAGAAAACAGCATTCGGGTCGTCATACTCATGGCCATTCTTATGCACAACTTTCCAGTGAAAACGAAGGCGATAGTGTGAAACCCGATTCTACTGAGATAGAGGAAGATGGTGATAATATTAAGGCTGAAAATGAACGCTTAGATCGTAATTGGTATCAAATGGATGATGGTTATGATAATGATAACCATCCGTTTTCTGGTAAGTGGTTTGGCCATAGCACTTTTACCAATGAGTCCTACTATTCGCTATCATTTGAAAAAATAATTTTTAAAAATCTAAACACTAATGGTATCTTGCTTAGTTAAGTATCCAAATAACAACAAAATTTTAATGTGAAATTTTTTAAACTTGTCCACTTTGTGTAACAGCAAAAGTGTAATTTTTTCCAAGTTCAATTCAATTTGATTTTTCAAATGATAGTGTCAATGATAAATCAGGTTCTTGAAATAACTTATAATTTCTAATACATATGACCTATGTTCTTCATCAGACGATCTTGGTGTCATAAACGTTCACTTTCTACTTTTAGTATATGGACTAGATTTCCAATTCTATGGTTGCATCTCCTTTATTAAATCCCAAGTATTTAGGACAGTTGAAAATGTAAGCCCGTCACCAAGTTACAGTGTTTGTGTCACATAGGAAATATTTGGTCAATTTGTCAGTCATTGTCAGAACAATAATTTGGAATGTCTAAACTTCATTGTATTACTTTATAAACAAAAAAGGTGTGTAGGCCTTTATCCGTTAAGTTATACTGGTTATTTGTTGGTAGTAAGGGAGATAATTTTAAAAAATACCAGAAACAACTCCAGTGTTGTCTAGTTTTAGTTTAAACACCAGCTACTCATATTTTTTACCTCTTTGTAGGCTGATCCTAGTACCTTGAAGTAAGCACGATTGACCATCAAAGTATTGTGTTGCAAGAGTTACAAATTGCAGTAAATCAGTTTCACTTAGTTGTTGTAAACCTATTATAAAAACGATAATCAAAACCCAGTTGTCTTTCCTGCCTAATGAGTTGGTCGATTCAGTTGTGAACATAGGTTTTTATTTCAGTGTTACTATTCTTTAACCGACACTTCTGGCATAACGGAACCTAGAGAGATGATCATCCTAGGCAATATGGTTCGACTAGGTCATCACGATGAGCAAACGCAACCACCACATCAAGGTAGCAGCTACTGTTAATAGCTAAACAACTGTTAAAACAGGAGTAGTATACAATGAACGACCGAACTCTGTTCATAAATATCTCCTATAAAAGTTACTTTGACAAATCGAACCAACTGAACACAGAAATTCACTAACTTTGATATCTGGTAATGGATCTTATTAGTGAGGTTTCCTGTCTCCATGTCACTCATTCATATGTTGTCTCAAGCAATAAATAATATTCTATATATCGTAACTGTTTTTAAAAAAAATTATCCCTAGACATTCCTGAAGAGTATGCCGCTAAAAAGGAACGTCAATTAGCAGAACGTAAGAAACGACATAAACAACGCTTAACTGCAAAAGCTGTCCAAGTTCATAAAGATAATCAAGCATGGGAACATAATCGTATGTTAAGATCTGGAGTTGTTCAGCGAGTAGATTTTGAACAAGACGAAGATTTCGATGAAGAAGGTGAAGCTAGAGTTCACTTATTAGTTCGTAATATACTTCCACCATTTTTGGATGGACGAATTGTTTTCACTCGTCAACCTGAACCTATTATTCCTGTTAAGGTGAAGTAATAATATTTTTTTAATATATTAGTGTTTTTCACTCATATTTTTATCTGCCCAAAGATCCATAACTCAATGTACTATTAATAAGTTAGGTGGTCCTATGGAGACTTGTATTACTCAAAATGTATTTTTCAGTTGAAGATCCATTTTAAGTTCAAGAGATTCGGATAACCATCCCATACTTGCTTGAGACTCCTCAGCAGTAAATATCTATTAGGTCAAACTAAAGACCTTGAGATCTTGTGAACAAAATACCTTTAAGTCATCTGTTTTGATTTGTAAACAACACAGCATATCACAAGCTGATCAATATAAAAACTTTTGGCCATTGGTTTTCGACTTTACAATTCAAGGATGTACTCATTTTGAGACTTAAAATCTAGTCTCACTCAGGTAAGCTTGTTAATTCTTCAGTCCCCCCTTTAATTCAATGGTTTCCTTAACTGACATCAGTTTGTAAAAACAGTTTACTCTTAAATGACACTTGACTTAATATCCCAGCTACATAATCAAGGTTTCTGCACAACATTCTTTCTTCAGTAGAAGATGGCAATATTTTGATATCGTTCGTTACTATGTAAATTTCTTTTAGTATAAGTTCTCTTAGCAACACCAATCATCAAATAAATAAAAATATCATAATTATATCTGTTTGTAAACTACATTTTGTTTATTACATTCTCTTTTGTATTTTGACTTTGAAAATTGATTGATACCAATTACGTTGGTTTCTTGTTGACTATTCGCAGAAGTATGTAGTCATGATTTGAATGTTCTACAAGTCACCGGTGATATTTAATATTGAAAGATTTCGTTATTTTCCACCTTTTATTATTCCCTTCTTATCATTGATATAGCCGATGTAAATCAACTTGCCATACGAACTTAGCTGTGGATAGAAACAGTTTCCTTAATACGGTATACATTGTATACATTCACCAAGCTTCTATCGTCAATATATTTTTAGAATTTGAACTAGGGAACATCAAAATACAGTTATGCCTTTAAAGTAGTTGGTAGATATATTTTACTAAGTCTGGACTGTTTTAAATTCCTTTTCGTCTGTTGAGAATTAGATCATAGAATGAATATCTATATGTATTCTTTTGGACCTCTATGAGAGTCGCAGTTTATTGTGATGTAATAACATAATTTTTGTTTACGACGAAAATATGTCAAATCATCTTGCCATGTGCTATTGAATTCTACAAATCGTCAGCAATCTCAGTTCTATTATTTATTGACCTGAGGGGGCAGTACGTTAGAAAACGACAGAACTATCGTGGAACTGTTTTAAAAAACAATAATAATTATATGTAACAGTTTTTATAATATTGTGAGATTCCATTAATGGTTGATCGGATTCTATGCTCTAAGCACAGGTACATTGTCTGAAGATATGTTAAGTAATTTTTATGTCTTTAATTGTAGGACCCAGAGAGTATAATGGCCAAAGTTGCGCAGAAAGGTAGTGCCATTGTGAAATACTTCCGAGAACAAAAAGAACGTAAAAGAGCACAAAAGAAAGAATGGCAATTGGCTGGTACACGTATAGGGGAAGTTATGGGTATAAAACCTCCGGAAGAACAGGATAATTGGACAGAGAAATCACATCGTGATGCACAGACATTTGCCGATAAAGTCGGAGATATGAAGTCTGAAGCAGTTAGCGAGTTCGCTACACGAAAAACCATTGTGGAACAACGACAATACTTACCAGTATTTTCTGTCAGGACATCCTTACTGAGAATGATTAAAGAACATCAAGTAGGTTATTATCATTAGTTATTTATTTTTGACAGTAATTTAAATATTAAGACTGATAAACTGACTGTAACTCACTTCACTTCTTTAATTGCTAGCTACATTCTGTTGTTAGATATTGCCATCATTATCATTTCTCGATGATGTCATTTACTAATGTTGTACAATTCTATTCATACTTATTTTTAATATATAGTAGTTATTATTAAAATGGGGGGTGTCGTGTTATTGAAGACGTTATGAAACATTTCTAGAGTATCAAATACAGTTTGTGTAGCAGTCTCAAAGGCAATGTGAAGCAGTAAATTGACAATATTTCATTGAAGTGTAAAACACAGATGTCAACTTAATAAATGGAAGGTGGATAAGCGAACAATTGGAAATCACATGTATGATTAGAAGGGCTTATAAGAACATGATAAAATAAGGGAATAGACATGTGTCTCTTGAACAGAGAATTCGGGGTTGGATTGTACTCTCTATCGCTCTAACCTTAAAGGTGGCCTGGGAATTAAAATATCCGCTTTTTAACCGTTGGGCCACAGGTTAGAACTACATTTGTGTTATGTTCACCTACTGTTCAGTATTTCCTGACCACTTTTCTTCATTTGACTCTTCCCAAATCAGAATGAGAATTAAGAGCAAACAATGTGTATTTCGACAACATGAACGGCAAAGATGTAGTGGTAAAAAGAAATCTAGAGTTTAGATAGGATTTACATACGAATCTTCTCTATTCTTCCACTAGCGCTGATTGGTTGAAAATATCAAGATCTTGGTGTAGAATGATTGATTGTAAAAGTATCAAAAGTATAAACCAAAATTCACTCATCTCTACATATGCAGATACATCCAGCTGATGAGTTCCAAATATGACGAAAGGCGCATCCTGGATTCCACAGCTAGCCACTATCCATCTTTGCTTATAATACTTGTAAATTAAGGTTAATCGAGGCAATACGCACAGTATGCACATATACCGATAAGAGACTGATCAATTGCGGTCCTAAATAGCAATGGGAAGATTCAAATAAACAATACCAAGTGAATGTATTTTTAAATAGTTGTACAATATAGGGAGTAACATATAGAGAGTAATATATAGAGTGACAACCCTGTAGATAAATTCAATTAGATAGAAACGGCTATTGATAGTAGCGTATTTGCTAGTCGACCAAACATCAAACAGATACTATCAGCACAACCCAATCCCTGGAAGACTTTATTACTACGTAAGCAAACAAATAGCCATCAACAACTTGGGGTCTGGCATAGAAGTGCGTTGACTCAAGTTGCCATACCACATCATCATGACTAAACGAAATTAGTAAAATGAATTGCGAAAGAGATTAAATAATATAACAGCAATGGCAATATGAACTGCTAAACATTTTGATTGTATTTCAAAAAGACAAATAGGAAAGGTGTATATGAAGGAATATTGGAACTCAAGGTCTAGATGAACATGGTGAATACATATATGTCGTTGTGATCAGTTCTGATCTATTTCATTCAAAGTATCTAACCACTAGTTTAAACAATCACGCGAACCCCAGCAAAGTCGTTGTCTAGTTCGACTGACACTTCGATCCCACAGTCAATAACTTCATAGATTGCTTTGTCGCAGACAACCTTAGCTTTTTATCAACTTATCCGTAGGCCAGAAATCACCACTCAATAGAGGTAGCAAACAAATAGAAACGATCAAAGGCATGTAAATAGTTTTCGACGCCTTGTGGTCCTCTTGGAATTAATATTATGAGACAGTAACCGTATTCGGCTTATGCATTTTTATTCTCATAGTTAAAATAATTGAATATGTCAAGTTGTAAAACCCACTGATGTAATTTTTTTCAACCTCTGACAAATACTTCAATGTACGTAGTAGACAATCCTGTATGGAAATTCTTCTTTATTTAAACTAGATTGTAGTGATTGTTGGCGAGACTGGAAGTGGTAAAACTACTCAATTAACTCAATATTTACATGAAGATGGTTTTACAACTTATGGTATGGTTGGTTGTACTCAACCACGTCGTGTTGCTGCTATGTCTGTTGCTCGACGAGTTGCTGAGGAAATGAATGTACGTTTAGGTGAAGAAGTTGGTTATGCTATAAGATTCGAAGATTGTACTTCTTCTTCCACTCTAATTAAATATATGACTGATGGAATTCTATTACGTGAGTCACTACGTGAATCTGATCTTGATCCATACTCTGCAATTATCATGGATGAAGCTCATGAAAGATCTTTAAATACTGATGTATTATTTGGATTGTTACGTGAAGTAAGTTTCCTCCTATTTAAAAGGTTCGACAGAATAAATATTATAGTTTGGATATCATTATTAGTGAGGGTTTGAATTATCCTGTTGTTGATATTCAAGACTGAATAGCCAGTTTCTGTATGAACTCAGTAGCTTAGTATATAATACCTTTGAGTGTGAAGCATAGAGTACTTAATTCGACTGTCAATAGAAACTTCCATATTAAAGTACAGGTACATCCGGTTGAGGCGAAATGCGCTTCCTGGATTCCTCTGTTAGCTACAATTTATCTATTTTGTAAAATTTGCAAGTTATCTGAGTGTACAGGTATCAATGCTAAGGTGGGATTTGATATTTTCAGATAAATCGAGCATTGGGTAGAAAGTTAATAATAAATATATGTTCACAGTTAAACTCACGAGTCAATCTAAGCTAGGCCATCACTGAAAACCCGGAAGCACCGAACGACCGTTTCGTTCTACTTGGTTGGGGTCCGCGTGACTATCGTAACCAATGGTTGGAGACTGGGTGACATGGCTTAGGATCGATCACAATGGCGTCAGTGTATACACTCTTTGTTTTTCCTTAAACCGTGAGGTTCAAACTGCTTTATATCTTCCTACCAACTAATTTTTTCTTCCTGTACTATATCATTATACATAATCTGTCTTTTATATATTAGTACCATTGAATTAACTACTTATATGAATTTGGTGTTCATCTTGTTTTGCTAATAAGGTGTGGCAACTTGGACCGATGCGTATATGTGCCCGGTCCTACGTTGTAGCTGAGTGACTGACTCCTCAACAGTGCACATTCACGATCTCACACAGGAACTCGAACCCAGGACCTTTGTCTCGCACGTGAACGTTTTACCTCTAGACCACTGAGCTGCCGTCCAGCAGTGTCAGTGTCTAACTCCAATCGATCCATGATCTTTCGCAACCCTTCATCCATTGTCTAAGGTCGACAACTGTCTCACACCCGACATGGTTTGGACTCCACCCCCCCTAATGAGTAAAAAATCATATTTTTGACATTGCGTGGTTTAATGTAAGCCACTTTTTCAGAGTAAATAAATGACTGGATTTATTCAGTTCTTGAAGAAAAGATGGTAATTTTCACTGTATGTAGGTCATTGTTTATCACCTTAGCAAATTACTATATTGACAGTTTATGAAGTCGATTACGTTTATTGTATAACATTTGATAAATAAGGTTTCTTAAAAAATACTTTTTTATAGATTTAAAACGCTCATTTATTTATTTGTTTTATTTATTTGAACACATAAATACTGGTACAGGGGGGCACCAAATATATATGCGCCACACAAAACAATGAGAATTTAAGAAGGGGAAAAAAGGTAAGGAACTTAGGGAATTATAAAAAAAGATAACAATAATGGGGGAGACGAAAAGGTACACTCAGAAGAAACCTTACAGTTAAGGAAGATACAACCACTTTTTATGAAGAAAGTAAAATAAGGTTACAGCACGATCGCCACTGGCTTCTATTCTGAGCCATATCTGATAACGTCTCTAGCCACTGCGTTACACCGTCTCTCGGACCCCAACCAGGGAGTCGTGAAGGACCGATACAAGCCAGCCCTTTGCAGCTTTCTTTCATACCACGACACCATGTCATACACTGACCACCTCTCCGCTTTTTCCAACCCGTCCCAAAGTCGGCAAATAATGCACGACGTGGAATTCTCTGGGACGACATTCGTAGAACATGTCCAAGCGACCGAAGTCGGTGTTTCAAGATGGTGACACCAATTTCATTATCGTCTCTGTGACCGAACACACGATGCCGAACCTCTGCATTACTAACATGGTGTTGCCACTGGATGTCAGCAATCCTTCGGAGACAGCGATGACCGAACACAGTCGTCTAACATCCTCAGCTCGGAGAGGCCAGGTTTGACAAGCATAGAGTAGAACTTCTCTCACCGACGCGTTGTAGATCTGGCCTTTTACAGCCAGACTAATATCACGAAGGCGCCAAAGATGGCCCAGATTGGCATAAGCCGCTCTGGCTTTCACTATACGTGCATTGATCTCATCACTCACACCACCACCAGCACTTATGCAGCTGCCTAGATACACGAATTTCTCGACTACTTCTATCTGCTCACTATTCAGAGTGAGTACAGGATTAGAATCCTGCCAATCTTGTTGAAGTACTTTGCACTTCAAATGTGCAAAGCACAGACCATACCTACGGACATTGATTGCCAACTGATTAAGTGCGGATTGCATATCTTGGGCATTCTCGCACAGTAAGACAATATCATCCGCATACTCAAGGTCGAGAAGTCTTTCTTCAGGTAACAGATCCACACCACCATTACTTACATCCATCAGAGCTGTTTCCAGAATGTCATCGATGGCAAAGTTGAAGAGGAATGGTGAGATTGGGCAACCCTGTCTAACCCCACTGCTCGAATGCAACAATGGAGAAAGGTGGTTGTATGCCCTCACTCTGCCTGAAGTGTTTGTGAATAGGGCTTTTAGGATGTTAATAAACTTCTCAGGCACACCCTTCTTCAATAGACAATCCCAGAGAACAGTTCTGTCCAACGAATCGAAGGCAGCCCTGATATCAAGAAACACTACGATTGTTGGCCTTTGATAAGTATGGCGGTGTTCTAACATTTGGCGGAGGGTGAAGATATGATTAATACATCCTCGGTCGGAACGAAACCCAGCCTGCTCCTCGCGAGTCAATCTTTCTCGGGTTCTGAACAACCTACGAAGTATGACGGAAGCCAATAGCTTGGACGCAATCGGAAGTAGACTTATCCTCCGATAGTTGTTACAGGAACAACGTGAACCCTTTTTAAAGATAGGGACAACTATCGACTCATTCGATGACGTTGGTACACTCTCTAGTTCCCAGATCTTTGTAAACAACGTCGTCAGTCCCTTAGTCAGAAAGTCACCACCATCTTTAAAAAGAGCCGGAGGTAAGTCGTCTGGGCCCGGTGATCTGTAACGTTTAAAGGGTTGGATTTCCTTGCGGACTTCCGCCTCATTTGATGGATCAGTCGTCACCGGCCATGGAGGACAGGACAGTCTGACCGATGTTGCCGGAGCAGCAGGCCAGTTGAACTGCCCTTCAAAGAATTCTGCCCATCGTCCAAGACGTCGATGGATGTTAGTGATTGGCGTTCCGTCATCCTCGCAGATTGTTTCGCTCACACCAGACTTCTTGCTGCCAGTGGCTCGGATGAGTTGGAAGAGCTTCCGGTAGTTACCAGATGCAGCTGCTGCTTCCAGCTCATTAGCACGCTCCGACCACCAGGCTTCTCGGTCCTTACGCAAGCTTTGCCCGATTTCGTTACGTAACATCCTTCGTCTGTGGTCAAACTCACGTTCACCCGGAGTAGACCGACGGTCTTCAATCAGTTGTAAGGAACCGGAAGAAACCCTGTGCTTGTAAGCGGAACGTTTCTCGAACCCACAACAGACTTTACCCGCCATTTTCATAGCGTCATGCAATTGCAACCAATGCTCATCTATACTTTTCGGTGGAATGGTAGCTAACCTAGAAGCTAGCACGGTTCGGTACTTACTAGCAACATAAGTTGCAGCCAGCTTGCTAACATCAATCCTTTGGTGGCGGTCACTCCGTTGTCCACTGAAAAGTAAGGTAAGATTGGCGCAGACCAGGGCATGATCAGATTTCAGATAGGTACTCCAAAAGGAGCGACAGTCTTGTACACAACCACGCCAGCGGTAGCTGATCGTGATGTGATCAATCTGAGTCCAGGCTTGAGATGCAGGGGGAGGACGCCAGGTGGCACATCGGCGATGACTGTGCCGAAAGTTAGTGCTAGCCAGAAACAGGTTGTGGTCTGTGCATAGTTGCAGTAGACGTTCCCCGTTATCTGTCCTGCGACCAACGAGTCCCCATCGGCCACCTAAACGACTCTCTTCTGTGCCTAGACGCCCGACCTGAGCATTCAAGTCTCCAGCTAGTACTACAATATCTGTCGCACGCACTTTCTGGAGAAGAACAGTTAGCTGGTGGTAGAACTCGTCCTTGATTGCATCCGGGCTGCAATCTGTCGGGGCATAGGCAGAGATGACGAAAAGACATCATTTCTCACGCCGATTTCTTCTCACTTTGATGGAACTTTCTAATCTAACAGCACATAACAGACTGTTAATGGGGATCCAGTCGACTAGTGCTGCCTCAGCTCTTGCGCTTAGTGCGACACCAACGCCAGCAAGACCAGACGAAGATGCCACAGGGTCCCCGGATAAACGCACATAAAACAAGCTTTTTGAAGCGACAGATGGAGAGCGACTTTGTAGTACTTCACCAGAGTCTTGAATACGAGTCTCGGATAGACAACACACATCAATATTAAGACTTTCCAAAGACATAGCCAGCCCTATCTGTTGTCCGACCTGCATAAGTGTGCGAACGTTGAAGGCAGCCAGTTTGAATGGTGCACGTGGTTTCAGAAAAACTGCTTCAGTACTCGTATTCGATGGTAACATACAATTTTCAACCAGGCAGTGACTCGAGAACGTTTACATAAAGCTGAATTTTCACCATAGGCGAACTGCTGTATAAGTCGAAATATAAGGACAGACAGAGTGGAAATAAAAGAGAGTGAATAAATAACGTGGTAAATAATAGCAATAGTAATAATAATGTGAATTGTTTGACGGTAAATCACGGCGTGAATAGAGTTTTCAGAGGAGATCATCATATTCATTATATTTGTGTGTGGGCTGTGATACTGTCCGGGTGCCCAGACTGAAGCAGGTGGTTTTCTTAGGGGACCACACCCCGAGCCTTCGACCTGTAGGTCTGATCCACAGGGCAGTGGAGCATCGTGAGGAGATACAGTCCCATGGAAGCCGGTGACCAAGAAATTGGTTCGTACGCCATTTGTTCCCGTAGGGTACTGGAGCCCATGTGCGCCATTGATTTGGGATCCGGTTATAGCGCCGGACGTTCGCTTTTCGTCCTCTCATTTTCGTAAACAACACCTGTGGTGAGTGAAGGCAGTGAGTAGGACTTTTCTGTCAGAGGCTGTATACGCGTGGCCATGTCAGAGTATTTCGAGAGGGAGGGCAAACCCACCCCACTCTCGGTCATACCAGGGCATTTGGGGGCAAAACGCTTATTACTATTTGTAAAAGCTTGTATTCTATCGTTGTTTACGTACAAAACCTCATTCATTCAGTTATGTCAGGCACTTGGGGATCTTGAGCGGATATCTCGATATTGTGTGTAGCTACAAGCTGACTAATAAATATTTTGAACGGTGGTTAGCAAGAGATAGAATACGGGTGTTTGAAGCTATATGTACTAGGTGAAAGTGTAAATACCAATACTGAGGTCCAGGTGTATCCAAACGACAACCAGTTGTAATTAACGTATCGTCCATGAAAAGTATACGTTAGTACAAACTTCCATTCCACATCAAGCGGAAGAAACAAATTTAAAAAGATAAAGAGCTGAGGAATCTAAATAATGTAGCAGCAATGAAAAAGGATAAACATTGGGAATGTGGTTCGGAAATACAAAATGAAAGGGTGTGTATGAAGGAATACTTGAACTCAAGATCTGGATGAAGATGGTGAATGCATATACGTCATTGTGATCTATTCCAAGTCTTCAACTCCTTATCGGAGTTATTACTCTAATCCTGACCAGGTGGTCTTCATCTGTCTAAACGGCCTACTTGTATAATCATTGACGTCATGGACTGATGCCACACTTTGGTTTGGGCTTTCAAGCTTTCTTCCAGCTCACTCCTAAATCAGTTAACAATGTAGATCAAAATGCGTGATGGTTAGGCATACGTAACACCTGTCTCAACAACCTCAGGTGTTCAAAATTCGTAACCTTATCAAAAAAAATACATTTAATTATAAACATTGAAATGATCTCGCAAATTCCCAACAATCATTGTATATATTATTTACTACTTCTTCATTTTAGCTGTTATTCACGGACATCATATTACAGTATTAGAATTGTAAATCTCCGTACTTTTCAGAAGTTTTCACTCTGGAGAAATGACCAGATATAGTTTGCAGTCTTTACTACCTCTCATGAGGAGGTTTATTGAATTTTAGATCACCATTCTTATTGTTCTAGACTCATTTATTAACGTATTTACCCGGCACATATTAGTGCATTTGGCCTCGAGCCACCCTTTAAATGTAAGAGCCAGTAATAATACCCGGTTGCTTAAACCAAAGTAGGTGGGGCGGGGTTCGAACCTGGGACTTAGTGGCTAGAAGTTGAACGCCTTGATCGTCAAGGCACCTCTGTATTTTTTTGCGTAATATTATCGTTAATCTTTTTTTTCTAATGAATACTCATTAAGTTAATGTGTCTGTATTATTTTCAGGTTGTTAGTAGGCGTAATGACTTACGTCTTTTAATCACTTCTGCTACAATGGATGCGGAAAGATTCGCTCAGTTTTTTGGTGATTGTCCTATTTTTCGAATACCTGGTCGAACATTTCCTGTTGATAAACAATTTAGTAAAACAACAGTAATGGATTATGTAGATGCATCTGTGAAACAAGCAATTCAGGTTCATTTAGGCTCACCAACAGATGGTAAATCTTTTTTTGCTGTAGACATTTGATATCATAATCAGTTTGTTTTTGATGGAATAACGAATTCAATACTGAGGTGAGACTTAGGGTATTAAGTGAAGACAGTAAATTGGATGATGAAAGAGTGAAACATTATCAACTAGGTTGATTGGGATATGTCACACTTAGCTCGACAGGCGACGTTTACTGATGTAGAAGTATGTTGAAAGGAAGCTGGGAGCGACCACTTCAGAACATAACACCAATCCATAAAGTCACTGACTGTTGGACGTCCATGCAGTCGTCCGAACCATTAGTTGAAGACTTTGGGTGACACAGTTTGCACAACAAATTACAATATCATTCACCCTATGTCTGTTGTTAGATCTTAAGTTTTAAAATTATTTCATTCTTTCTCTTCTCCTAGAATCATTTTGACCATATTTAATCTTTTCTACCATTATTAATATTGTTAATACTCTGATATTTGTCGTGACAATTCCATTTCATTGGTACGGCAACTTTAGCCGATCCACATGTGCTAAGTTCTGTGTTGGTTATAACTGAAACACAAGTGTGTTAAATTTATCTATTTAATTTTAACTTATTTAACATGAATGGTGGAAAAGTAAGTATTATCTATTTAAGTTTTCTTCACACAGGCTACGCAAAATTAAAACGAAAACTTTTTTGTAGGTTTGATCAAAATTAAACCTGATATCTCTCCAAAATCTCCTCTGATATTTTGGACTATCAACAGATAAAACAAATAATGGACATTACTCTTTCCCCCTTATACTCGCCTATACTTAGATAATCAGTATATTGTTCTTTTATTTACAAAATTTCATTATCCAAGTCTTAAAGTCGATACCAGAGAGGAAAGATTTTGTGTGTCGCTAATAAGTCGTAAACTTTTGGATGTTCTTAGTTTACTGCATGTTTGAATGTTAAGTTTTCGTGATTAAAACTTGTGTAATGTTTCAACAATTAGTCACGAGTTATATTTATGTTAGAAATTTCTGAAAGAAATAATTTCTGTAGTATGAAGTCGTTTATTGCTGTAAAAACATTCAATATTCCAATCATTCGTTTCTTTTTCATTTATCTAGGTGATATACTCATTTTTATGCCTGGTCAAGAGGATATTGAAGTGACATGTGAACTAATTGCTGGTCAGTTGTTATTACATTTTTCTCATTTGCATCATCGACTGGGCTTAGCTAGAAAACTATTGAAAACCAGTCTTGATATAGGACTCTTCAACAATGTGCATCTAGGACTCCACCAGCGATCGAACCCAGGACTATTAGGTTTTGGGAAAAACGGTTAACTTTTAGATCTTTGAGTTCACATGTAATTGTGTACCATTTATAACTTCATCTGTGGTACTGAATGGTGGTTGTGTAATATCACAAATTGACTTAATTTGTTAATGTTGAACATTGTATGTCGGCTCAGTGGTATAAGTGTCAGGTGTTTACTGCGAGACCTAAAGGCCGTATATTCTATCGTCGATAGCGTCTTGGATACAAACTGCTGAGAATTCCCATACTCAGATCAAATAAGTGTCCAGTACATCCTGGTTTACAATTGTTATCTAACTAAAGTTTCAGTCTAGTGTGTAAACTACAAATATGAATAATCTTCATAAACCCATAATACTAGTATTTTTTTCTTTTCATCTTCACGTGTGCACCGTAATGATTATCATAATCATAGCCTATTGTTATTATTCGACAGTATTAAATACCTCGTTATTGAACACGAATTCAAATGTTTTTTCATGTTATGTCTACACCGAGGTCTGCTCAAATTTGAGTGTTGCCATTTTTCCAAACATGTGGTTATTATCACAGACCTATTGATCAGTTGCGCTTACGCGATCGAATAGGATGTTTCCAACCTGTTGTGAATTTAATTAATGAGAAAAAATAACTATGAAGTCCCACCACGATGGTTGGCATATTTCCTCTAATTGAAGAAACAAGAAATAACTATTATAGAATTCACATGTAAAATATATTTGACGACGGTAAAATGTTTCACAGAAACATTAAGGATGATAAACAATGACAGATAAATATGAATGGCAGCTAATCACTGTTTAAAAACTTTTATGCATAATTATTTTTAAAGAATATTTACAAGTTAACGGCTTATAAAATGATAGTTTTGTTATCATATTGAATATTTTATTGCTGAAAATTCTTTACTGTAATCAAGCATATGATATTAACTAAAGCGAGTCTGGTTATAATGATTATACCTATTTTCCGGATCCATAAAAACTGTCACACCGATTTGTTTAGACTTGTCGGTTAGTACGATTCGACGTATGATAGCAACGTATTCGATATATGTGAGACAGTGTTGCATAAACATGGTAACAGTCACTCGAACAGAGTAATTAGCAATTGTTTAGATCACATGGAGACAAGAAGTGCCGAAAATCGAGTAGGTCGTAAATAAAACTGGTAGATAGTTTCAGTTGGGTATCATATTAAGATAAAATTCTTGTCTAATAATGAATAATGTTGTTCTTGTAGAGTTCTTACCAAGTAAACACTGATTATTTCCTGCAAGCGCGATTTAAATAATGTTTTTATCCCATCTGTATTTCACCTTGTTGTAATTTTCAGAACGCTTGAGTAACTTGGATGAAGCTCCTCCACTATCCATTCTCCCTATTTATTCTCAGTTACCGAGCGATCTTCAAGCAAAAATATTTATGAAGGCTGAAAATGGTGTCCGAAAATGTGTCGTGGCAACAAATATTGCTGAAACCTCATTAACTGGTAGGTTGTTGTTATTTTATGCTTTCTTTTTGACGTTTAATTGAACGAACTGGGTATACCTGTCAGGATCCCCAACATTGGAGTAGACCAGTCTGTTAAGTTGATTAGCTTCATACTGTCCAATTTCAAAGGATAAATCATGCTGGAAAAATTACTTATTATCATAATATTTCCCTAGAATTTACATATCTTGAATAGTGGTACAAGGAGTTATTCGTACTTAATGTGGCCAATTTATGACATGGAGCTGTGATGTAAAAACGGCTGTGTAGTACTAGCATCTGTCGGCCCATAACTACTCCCTGACTTGCAGTCTTAGAAACAGCGCAACTCAGTAACTTGAGACATCGTTAGACATGTCTCAGAATAGAGACCAATAATAATCTTGCTGTAATTGTCTTTTACATGAAGTTAACAAGAGCTCCTTTAAATGAAAGTTTTTCTTTGGCATATTTCTTTCTACTATTCCTAATGATTTGATCAATGTTGTGAAAGAAAAATTATATCGATCTGTTATAATCAACGTGCACATTAATCCAAGTTGCTACATCACATTCAACAAGGCAAGAGAAAACTAAGCATTAACACTTCGAAATAATACAAATATTAGTGGTCGTAAGAAAAAGAAACTAAACATATTGAATTTAGTTTAAAAATCAGTGATATAATCGCGAAACAAAAAGCGTTGAATAATGCTAAACCTTATTAATCTAGTAGAATATAAAAAGTGAATACGACTGCTCTTGTATCATATCACACAACATCTTCAGCCATTCATCACAATTATCTCATGGATCTCATTCATGTAGTACCATACACTTATCGACATGGTTTAGATCAATAGTCACTGACTTCATTGGCTTATGATACTCTTTAGTTTAGTCATTGCTAGCTTTCCTCTGCCTTACACTCATTTCTTTTAAAGCATGCTGAGTCGTAGTTAATCGAATTACACAAGGGGTTTACAACCCCATTTTTTTTATATGAGTTAAAATGAAAGTACCAACAAAAAAAAATCAATCGTGCGTGTGACCGGAAGTCTTGGGTTCGATTGCCGCATGCTTTGTCCAATACTAGGCCAAAACGGCCGTTCAGTGGTTCCATGTTTTTCGATGGTGGTCTAATGTTGATCGGTTCATAATTTCAGTCAAATTCAACAATCCCTACAACCTAAACTGATATTCATACATCAGTTGTCTTTTGCTTCTTCCCTACATTTTGCACATTTTTCCTAAAATCTCTCCTTTATCATTATCATTTCATATATTATTCAACGTATTGAAAGAAAGTAGGAAGGATTTGAATGTGACCAACTTGGTCTCGTGTGCTGTTATGGGTATGAGGGCTGATGTCACTTCCCGGTTGCCCACACCGTGGAAGGGTATTTCTTGAGGGACCTGAAAAGGAAATCGGATTATTGTTGGTCTTAACGACCTGGGTGCGTGACCGCAGAGCCCAAGGGGCAACTGTTTGAGGCCGGTCGCGCACGGCCTTTTTGTGGGAGGTTTTAATGTGTTAGCTCCGTTCTTTAAACGGCCTTACCGCCGGAGACGTAAATCCGTGGGGTAAGGTAAGATGTGACATTTTCAGGGTCGACCTTTTCTAACCCCTTCCTTCCTTGTGAGAAGTCAGCATCGCTGCAGATGCTGGTTGTTCGAGGGAAACACCTTACTGCTGTCACACCCTTCTAAAGTCAGCAGTACGACTTCGCCCTCAGACCTTGAGTTGCTGCTTTTAGTCTTACCGTTCTCCAATCGACCTGTCTGGCATGGTAGAACTTGCAGTAACATGTGTTCCGGCCAATATAGCTCGGTTGGGTCATCACGGTAGGCAAGCCCGACCACCACATCAAGGTAGCAGCTACGGTCGGTTAGAGACTTTGAATGACATGGCTCAAAATCATTTGCAATGGTGCAGATGCATCCACTCTCTGTGTTCTCTCAAACTCCAATCTTCTGTATTCTTCATGTCCTTTATTTTCTTTCCAAATCTATTCCACTGGATATCATCAAACCCTAATGTTCCCTATCACTACCTCTCCCACTACGGGATTTGAATCGATAACTGAATCTCTGTGCTAATGCGGTATGGCAACTCGAACTGATGTACGTACGTACGAAGTTCCACGTTGTTACTGACTGACTGACTGATTGAAAAAAAGTGATCATTTAACTCAATGTTTTTTATATATGATTTGATTTTCAGTTGATGGGATACGTTATGTGATCGATTGTGGTTATTGTAAATTGAAAGTTTTCAACCCCAAAATTGGTATGGATGCATTACAAATATTTCCAATTAGTCAAGCTAATGCTAATCAACGTGCTGGTCGTGCTGGTAGAACTGGTCCAGGGTAGGTATTTTATAGATTTCAGTTTGGAAAAATACTATCATAAATCGAATTTAATCTGTTTTGTTGTCCTTACATTAGGTATGCTATAACCGTTTTATTTGGTATTTACAATATTTTCAGTCGGTGCTGTTGTGTTCTCCCAGTTGGGAAGTTATATATGGAAGGTTTCATTGTTGTTCTGGACAATATCACCAGCTTTTACTTTACGTAGAAGTGAGATGTTTAGTTAATGATTCATAAGTGCTAAATCACTCAGTTCTGATGACCTTGTCTGTGAATGGTTGTTTTCGGAGATGTCTGGTCTCCTTTATTTACCCTTTTATTCCTGTCGAGCGTTTTGCTATGTTGACTCATAGTTATATAATTGGCTGTTGACTATTTATGTATAGTTTAGTGAATGTAATGGATCTCTATATTTTCATTGATCTAACTGCCATCCAGCCAGAAATTCTCTCGAACTCTTTGAGTCTCATCGATGTGGGATTTCGATGTTTTCTCAGTCGACTTTCTGCCTGTAGTTTTCTGCGTTCAATGATATGAGTTATAATGTCACGTTTTTCTGTCATTTTGTTTTCGTGTATGTGTGTAGATAGATGGGTTGTCCACTGTAACGTTTGTCTCAGTTGGTACAATTTATTTAGTGAATGATATTACATTTGTAATCTTTTACTGTTGTCTTTTGGTCTGTATAAATCACCCAGCTCAGAGAACACAATGTAACTGAAGCTATTCACCTAAGTTATAAGTCTTCATTATAACAGATTGCGTTTAATAAACACTCTCCATCCTCATTGGTGATAATTTTATATTGTAACTTGCACTCTATCGAAGGTGAGTATTAATGACTGTTGAAAGGTTACCCAACAACTACATTTGTATACTAAGTATCAATCTCGTTTTTCAGGAAGAATTTTTATTTTCAACAAGTCTACTATGCGATGTCTTTTTTGAATATTTATTATAATTATTTTAATTAATGATTGTTGTTATCGGCAACTTTCTCGAAATATAATTTCAACAACACTTTCAGTCATCTTTCCGTTAATTTAGTAAATAACTAGTGCATATTTTTTGTAAGTCATTTCACTTCAAGCCATAAACTTAACTATATTTGTGTTTTACATTATCCGGCATTTCAGGTTACACTTCACTTGATATTTCTGCCCAACTAGTTCGTTATGTTTTAACTATGGTGAATATTAGCTCGTTTTATGGGTATAACGTTCTAATATGACAATCCATAATATACCAGTTTTTACTTATTCGTTGATTTTACATTTGCCTTCCTTTATATATAAACGAAGAATAGATGAATGGTAACTGCTAGGAATTATTTATGGACTATTACTACATAAATTCTTATTGGGTAGTTGTTAAGTAACTAGATTATATGTATATTCATATTCATTCTATCATTAGCTTTCATTTGACCTATTGGCTACTGTTATACGATTTGCCATTCTTAAATAAACGGCGTATGTTTGAAATATACGATTCATATAGTGGAGGTTGATGTTTCTTTTCTGGACTGAACGGGATGGGTTAGGCGAGAAGTTTCTACATAGAGTTGACTCAAGGCTGCTAGTGCATTTCGACGGATCATTGGTTTAGCCCCGGGGACAAGGTCATAGAAGTTGGTATTCTGACTGTCAAATTTGTCACATGATTTTTGACAGGTCATAGAACATAACACTCTCATCTTCAAAACTGATAACAATCACAGTTCTAAGGAAGTGACTTATCCACTTGGTGTTTTGTTGTTAATATATTCCGTAAGTAAAATTTCAACAATCAATCTTACATGTTAAAGCTAGTGTTTTCTTAAACTACATTTACTCACCGATTTATCATTAAATTTTCAATGATATTACAAATTTTTATGTTTTTAGAGTGTGTTACCGTTTATACACTATAAGTCAATATCAAGATGAAATGCTAATCACATCTGTTCCAGAAATTCAGAGAACTAATCTGGCCAATGTCGTTCTCTTATTAAAATCTTTGGGTGTTCAAGATTTAATGCGATTTCATTTCATGGATGCTCCTCCACAGGTATATCCAGTTTACTAAAAATTTATAAGTCGAAAATTCCTTAAAGTTTTGAAATTTTATTGAAAGTGTTCAGAAAAATATGTAAAACATATTTTTAGTGTTTGTATTAAACTACTAAGAGCTGTTTAAGAATTCGCTCTTAAAATAGCGCATCCATTCAACCCATTTGTCGTCTATTCTTTATGATTAACTTGAATATTCAGCTTGTTCATTCACTTCACAAATTAATCTCATACTATAGGCTCGAGTCTTTCTCCTTGTTACATAATTCTAGCCAGCTAGAGGTGTTAACACTAACCATGGGATAAATTACGTGTGACTCAAAGTATTCTTATTATTTCAACAATAATGGTTTTATTCTACTAACATTCTTAAATTATTCATACAATACTATTTTATAAAATATATACTTGCCATAAAGTTGGTCATTATTTCAGTTTGTAGTTTATAACTATCGTACTCATAAGTTACCATATTTGACTCTTCTTCAATATTCTAAGTAGTTTTCCTTTAGAAATACTGCTTACATGTTAAAACCATTAAAAGAAATAATCGAACAAAAAAATTCTGTTTCTATGTTTTTACGTTGTTACAATTTATTGTTTTTTTGTATACCTTAACTGGAATTGAAGTGCATTGTTTTGAATATTTGTAGGATAACATATTGAATTCGATGTATCAACTATGGATTTTCGGTGCTCTTGATAATACTGGTAGTTTAACAAATTTAGGTCGTCAAATGGTTGAATTCCCATTGGATCCCGCTTTGTCTAAATTATTAATTATTTCCTGTGATATGAATTGTTCTGAAGAGATTCTAACCATTGTATCAATGCTCTCTGTGCCGAGTGTATTCTACAGACCGAAAGGTCGTGAAGAAGAATCAGATAATGCAAGAGAGAAATTCCAAGTCCCAGAATCTGATCATTTAACATTATTGAACGTTTTCACTCAATGGCGTAAATCAGGTTATTCATCAGCATTTTGTGCAAAACACTTTTTACACTTAAAAGCTATGCGTAAAATTCGTGAAGTTCGACAACAAATGAAAGAAATCATGGAACAGCACAACATGAATTTACAATCTATCGGCAGTGATTGGGATGTTGTGCGTGAATGTTTATGCGCTACTTTCTTCCATCAAGCTGCTCGTATCAAGGTAAAGTCTGAATTACGTCTTTTATATTTTCTTGTGGAGTGATAACCTGACTTTTAAAGTGGGATATCGACTTTAATGTTTTTTTTCTCACATATATCTACCAGTGAAGAAGTGTTTTAGTCAAATCCCATTTAAACCTATTTTAAAAATTTTAAATAGTTATATTGCTTTGTATAAATTAATGAACTGGCAATGATTGTGTGAATTCGGGTCTCCTGTAGCACTTAAGTAATCAATCACAGTGTTTCAGACAAGGTTTTGGAGATTATCTGATGAACCATTAAAAACAATGTAGCGTTGAATATACATGTCATATCTTAATTTGTAATACTTTTTGCTGATCATATTCTCATGGCTGAACAGAGAATCAGTCAGTGAACTTGTTTTATCACTATTTCATAAAACCACTGAAACTAATCACATGGATTACCGTGTTCTGTTTATTATGAGATCAGAAGTTCACAAGTTCTATTCCGTTTGGAATTGGTAGTGATATTTTCTTAAGAATCTAGTCAAAACTAGTACGAAATATTTATCGTCGACTACTGTCTTGCTTTCCAACTGTTATCCTTTCATAAGAACAATTAACTTCATATCATCATTTTATTTAGTGTAGTTCAAAATAAGCTAGATATTTTGTAAATTAATTTCAAATTAAGGTGATCAATGCATAGCATCTTTAGATTACTGTTTTCTACGTATAGATTTTGAGCTATGGTATGGCAAATTCATATACATATGAATTAATTTGTGATAAAATTGCCAAGTGTATGTTTTGATGAAGATAACACAAGAATAGAGATCATAACTGTTGAGTTTTTATGACTAGAAAATAAAGTTTGTTGGGAAGAGATTTAACAAGCGGTTGTGTTGAACATATTTTGGACTCTATTTATAGACAATAATTTCATTCCCGGGTCAATGTTTTTCTTTGTTCATACATAATATACCTGTACCACAGTGAATATTTGATTCATGGTTTCCACCTGAGATTATTGTTATTATTTAATTTGTTTGTTAAGTTATACCCACATTGTTTTGTAGAGTGAATTTATGAATAAACCTCTGAACGAACCTATTCACCAACTTGTTCTTCGAGTTTCTCTACTTTTAACGTGTTAATTAAATGTTTACTTGAAGCGCATTACATTGTATTCAAAATTTCTGCAGAGTTTCAGCGATGGACATTTTTCATTATATTGAGGAATTCTCATTGAAAATGATGCTAAGGCTTTAGTTACTAAAAGATAGTAAATAGTGTAAGACTGATTTCTCTCAGTTTTTTTGGTTAAGTAATGTATGTCATGACTGATGAAGTTCAAACTAGTAGAGAGTAAAATTGTTGTCACCAATGACATGTCGTTGTGTGGCAAACAGATTGGACATCGATCCAGTGATTCTAATGATTAAGTGTTAGTCGTAAGACTTGAAGTTTCTAGTCTCAATCTCCAGTATGGTTGTGGGTACCTACTGTTAAATGGTTCCATAATAGGATGAATTAACTGTTCAGTGCTCCTTGATGCTTAATACTACTCCAAATAGTAAGATAAATCATTGATCAGCACAACTCTTGCTAATAAACCAATTATACTATCGTGATTATTCATGATGTATAATCGAATGAGTTTCCTACTCACATGATGATTAATAAATTTCCTTAGTACTTTTCATGACACTAAGTTTTTTTGTAAACAAAACCAATTTTTCAGGGTTTAGGTGAATATGTGAATTTACGGACTGGCATGCCTTGTCATCTACATCCAACTAGTGCTCTCTATGGAATGGGTTACACTCCAGACTATGTTATTTATCATGAATTAATCATGACAACAAAAGAATATATGCAATGTGTTACATCTGTCGATGGTAATTGGCTAGCTAAAGTTGGTCCTATGTTTTACAGGTAAATTAAATTGACCTTTCCTAATGTTTTTGTTTTTCGATCAGTATGTGGTTAAAATCGTTTTTGTGGCATGAGAAGTTTGTGAAGATTGTTGAGCTTCATAGTTTACAACATGGATTGACCTTAGTCGGATGGCGTTTGAAAACCAGGACTCATTGAACAGTTGTTTTGTCATGGTAAGTGTTCCTTTAGCAGGATATACTTACGACCCCACCTGGAGTCGAAATAGCTTTCTAATGCTTCCTGGTCTTCAAGCGTTATCTAACTAAGGTAGACCTCGAATGTATGTTGTAAATTCATATTTCATTGTGTGCATTTGATAGTGAATTGATGCTTATCAGTATAAGAATAGAAGTAGGAGTGTCAAGGTGATATGAATACGGTTATTACTCCATGTAGAACATATTGTAATAAAACTATTATTTGTTGCAAAGCTGATAACGTAATTGGCTTTTCTTATCTTTACAAAGCCATACATTAGATTACTTCCGAATGCAAATAAGTGGCCTCGATATATGACCTGCATAGCTAGCTTCACAGGCGCAGGTGAACTGATAGCGTAAACTAATACAGCTCACCCTTTATATGCGCCTTTATGTGTAAGATAAGCTGCTAAAACTGATAAATTCAATGCGGTATGTTAGTTTTTCCTCGAAACCACTTTGCACCTACCAGCGTGGCATAAGTACAAGTCCAATTAAGTCACTTAAATCATTGATTCTGCTGAGAGTATTTTTTAATATTATTTACAGATTCGGTTCGTTTTCGATCCCATGTTTAAGTAGTTGTATAAAAGTTTTAATATGATGAAATCTATTCCCTATATAACACGGGTGAACTTTTTTGCCATTCCTTGCCCTTAGTTTTCCATTTTCTGGTAGAGCCTTACTTTGTGGTTGCCATGAAAATAACACCTTATATAATTAGTATAGCTTCATATTATAATATTTATCCACACCCTTATTTCTAATAGGTTTACAACACAATCCAAGTTCAACTACTATTCAGTTGGTCTTATTCACCTGGTACAATTTATTGCTAATGTTATGCTGTGTGTAACACATCCACTCAATACACTTTTTTCTCTTATTTTTCAGTGTTAAAGATCCTAACCTTACTCGGTTGGAACGAAAGCGACAAGCTGAAGAACAACTCGTAGAAATGGAAAATGAAATGCGTCTGGCTGAAGAACAACTCTCTCGTCGACGTGAAGAACTTTCAGCATCTATTGGTTCAAGTCGTTTGTAAGTAAACCATTTGTTCACTCTTGTTTAGGATAATCTTTTTCAATATTTGTTTTTTTCCAATTATTCTAAATATCACTTTGCATTTAATCGATTAAAGAGTAGTTACCAATGTCATCTGGTTAGATTTTACCGGTCAACTTGCAATGGGGCTACTAGTTTGAGTGACTCAACTTTGGGTGTACTATTTTTTAAAAAGTTAAATGGTTGAAGGTAGTTGACAGGAAACCTTGAACCTAGGTCTTGTACTTATTGGGATTCGTCCTCAGTAAGCAATACCTGCAATATTGTGGGAATTAATGCTCCATGTGAAGTTCAAAACCGCTTCACTCAGCATTACAGTGTGAGACGTTACCACTAATGTAATTGAACCTCAGCCGACCTCTTGTAGGACTGAGACACTTACAATTGATTTGTCACTAAATGGTGACCGTTATTACCTTTGTCCAGTCCTTTGGTGCCGATTATCTACCGTCAACCTCCCTAACATTTGAATGTCATCACTGTGTATTATTAAACGCTGAGAAGTCGTAGCTGTATATACCCATCGATGAGTATTGGTGTAATAAGAAGCGTGTGATCCAACTACATGGTTCAGTTCAACAGTTAAAAACTTCATGTAGTAATGCTACGAATTGGTTTGGCTGCTTTACAACTTTTTTCCAACTTTGTTCTACACCAGCAAGCATCTCTCGTTGAAGTAATTTTTGCTTATCCCCTCCCTCCCTTCTCATGCCTTCAAAGTGTTATTTTACCTTGTATCAAAAACCTTTTGTTATCTCTATTGTATATGAGTTTCACGTGGTTTTTCTAAAGGAAAAAAACTTAAAATCTTTTCCTCCACTCTCATTTTATCTCTTTTTTTTTACAGACGACCAATAATTACACCTGGTATGCGCACTCCTGGTACTCCTTTAGTGTCTAAACGCTCTGGCAGTAGACTTGGTTTATAATCCTATCTGTTGTACGATTATTAATTAATGTACATATATTATTTTTGTAAAATATTTTCCAATATATAAACTAAAATCTTTCAAATATATTTATCTTTCCACAGTTTGTCTTCTTATTCAATTATTATTATCATTAATTACAATAATCTATATATGGTACTTGCATGTATAGTTGATCTGATTGATTCGTAGTTTCACCTAAATCTATTATTTCAATAAGAGTGATCCTTCATCAAATAATTCTGTCATTTGATTTAATGCAACTTCGATATCATATATACCTTGTGATATTTTCTAAGTACAAGTATATCAAAAGGGGTTTTTGTGGAGATTGTTATAATTTCAATAGTTGAGATCATAAGTCAATTGAAGCTTGATCACCATGGAAAGCATGGAAGCACTGGACAGGCATATACACTGTGATCTTAATCACTTCACTTCATACTTCTCAACTAGAAATTAAATTAATAAGATAGATATAGTTTGTTGAAAACTAGAAATATAGATATGTTAACAGCAAAAATAACTAGTTCAATCCTTAATATCAAAATGATGTTATATTTGTAATATCCCAACGAGTAGAAATTTGAATTTTTAATGTTTTGTGACTTAGTATAAGTTGTTTCTATATAGTAAAACTATTCATTGGGATATCATAACTATATCATTTTACTGTAAACATTCTATTCAATGCTCAGTTCATTTGAAATTGTCAAGTTAAATTTTAGTATTAATACCTAAAGGTTTGTCTAGAGTCTTAAAGGTAGACAAACAACTGTTTCTCAACACTTTTAGATTTCTGAAGTTTTGTAAATCTATGGAATGATTTTTTTTACTGGTATCATGTTCTCTAGGCCAGGTTGTTTAGTTGGGGAGCGTTCAGTATTTTCTTGAACAACATCATTAGCGCTTTCACGAGATAGGTCCTGATGATGAACACCTAAGCTGTATATCTTCCCTTTCATTTCTCTTCATTTATATTCAGCGTTGTTTTGTTGGTTGTATGCACAATTGTTCTATACAATGTTCTAATAAGCTTATGAAATAAGTTTTTGAAAATAAGTAAGAGTGAGGTAGATACACCGTGTTTTTGTTATTTGGTTGATTGTCTCAAGTGACGTAAGAATCACACAATGTAATTATTAAACTAATTTCGATTTCTGTATGTAGATTTTAACTGAATAAGACTAATTATATATGGTCTAGTAGATGTGACTCATGTTAGTGAACGCAGATTAATTGTTTGGAGCCCTCACGATCAGTGGTTAAAGATGTTGGCAGTTATAACTCAGAATCGGTTGTCACAGTGTTAAATATCCATCCACTCTTTGTCTTCATCTAGAATCTGAGCTTATTCATTCCTATATATACATACCTTTTCAAATAATATTTAGTCTTTCTCATTACCAATGATACTATTATTAGTTTGACTATTTTTTCTCGTATTTTTGTGATATAACAACTTGAGCTAACGCACATTTGTGCTAGTCACTTCATTGATTATGACTGATTGAATAAATGTAATAAGACCACTGATTATATTGTACTTTAAAATTAATCTGATAGACACAATAGGTCATTTAGCTAGATTAGGTTTCAAAATGTTACAAGAATGTATAATTGCATACGAAACTGCCGGAATTTTCTTAAATCACTGATATTCAGTATTTATTTATTTATTTATTTGAACACATAAATATTGGTACAGGGGGGCACCAAATATATATGCGCCACACAAAACAATGATAATTTAAAGAAAAGGAGAAAAGAGAAAAAAAAGTAATGAACGTGGGGAATTATAAAAAAAAGGGGGGAGAGAGAGAACAATGGTGGGAGAAACGAAAAGGTACAATCAGAAGAGATCTTTCAGTTAAGGTAGATACAACCACTTTTTATGAAGAAAGTAAGAGATTACAGCGCGATCGCCACTGGCTTCTATTCTGAGCCATATCTGATAACGTCTCTAGCCACTGCGTTACACCGTCTCTCGGACCCCAACCAGGGAGTCGTGAAGGACCAACAGAAGCTAGCCCTTTGCAGCTTCCTTTCATACCACGACACCATGTCATATACTGACCACCTCTCCGCTTTTTCCAACCAGTCCCAGAGTCGGCAAATAATGCACGACGTGGAATTCTCTGGGACGACATTCGTAGAACATGTCCAAGCGACCGAAGTCGGTGTTTCAAGATGGTGACACCAATTTCATTATCGTCTCTGTGACCGAACACACGATGCCGAACCTCTGCATTACTAACATGGTGTTGCCACTGGATGTCAGCAATCCTTCGGAGACAGCGATGACCGAACACAGTCGTCTAACATCCTCAGCTCGGAGAGGCCAGGTTTGACAAGCATAGAGTAGAACTTCTCTCACCGACGCGTTGTAGACCCGGCCTTTTACAGCCAGACTAACATCACGAAGGCGCCAAAGATGGCCCAGATTGGCATAAGCCGCTCTGGCTTTCACTATACGTGCATTGATCTCATCACTCACGCCACCACCAGCACTTATGCAGCTGCCTAGATACACGAATTTCTCGACTACTTCTATCTGCTCACTATTCAGAGTGAGTACAGGATTAGAATCCTGCCAATCTTGTTGAAGTACTTTGCACTTCGAGGGTGCAAAGCACAGACCATACCTACGGACATTGATTGCCAACTGATTAAGTGCGGATTGCATATCTTGGGCATTCTCGCACAGTAAGACAATATCATCCGCATACTCAAGGTCGAGAAGTCTTTCTCCAGGTAACAGATCCACACCACCATTACTTACATCCATCAGAGCTGTTTCCAGAATGTCATCGATGGCAAAGTTGAAGAGGAATGGTGAGATTGGGCAACCCTGTCTAACCCCACTGCTTGAATGGAACAATGGAGAAAGGTGGTTGTATGCCCTCACTCTGCCTGAAGTGTTTGTGAATAGGGCTTTTAGGATGTTAATAAACTTCTTAGACACACCCTTCTTCAATAGACAATCCCGGAGAACAGTTCTGTCCAACGAATCGAAGGCAGCCCTGATATCAAGAAACACTACGATTGTTGGCCTTTGATAAGTATGGCGGTGTTCTAACATTTGGCGGAGGGTGAAGATATGATTAATACATCCTCGGTCGGAACGAAACCCAGCCTGCTCCTCGCGAGTCAATCTTTCTCGGGTTCTGAACAACCTACGAAGTATGACGGAAGCCAATAGCTTGGACGCAATCGGAAGTAGACTTATCCTCCGATAGTTGTTACAGGAACAACGTGAACCCTTTTTAAAGATAGGGACAACTATCGACTCATTCGATGACGTTGGTACACTCTCTAGTTCCCAGATCTTTGTAAACATCGTCGTCAGTCCCTTAGTCAGAAAGTCACCACCATCTTTAAAAAGAGCCGGAGGTAAGTCGTCTGGGCCCGGTGATCTGTAACGTTTAAAGGGTTGGATTTCCTTGCGGACTTCCGCCTCATTTGATGGATCAGTCGTCACCGGCCATGGAGGACAGGACAGTCTGACCGATGTTGCCGGAGCAGCAGGCCAGTTGAACTGCCCTTCAAAGAATTCTGCCCATCGTCCAAGACGTCGATGGATGTTAGTGATTGGCGTTCCGTCATCCTCGCAGATTGTTTCGCTCACACCAGACTTCTTGCTGCCAGTGGCTCGGATGAGTTGGAAGAGCTTCCGGTAGTTACCAGATGCAGCTGCTGCTTCCAGCTCATTAGCACGCTCCGACCACCAGGCTTCTCGGTCCTTACGCAAGCTTTGCCCGATTTCGTTACGTAACATCCTTCGTCTGTGGTCAAACTCACGTTCACCCGGAGTAGACCGACGGTCTTCAATCAGTTGTAAGGAACCGGAAGAAACCCTGTGCTTGTAAGCGGAACGTTTCTCGAACCCACAACAGACTTTACCCGCCATTTTCATAGCGTCATGCAATTGCAACCAATGCTCATCTATACTTTTCGGTGGAATGGTAGCTAGCCTAGAAGCTAGCTCGGTTCGGTACTTACTAGCAACAGAAGTTGAAACCAGCTTGCTAACATCAATCCTTTGGTGGCGGTCACTTCGTTGTCCACTGAAAAGTAAGGTGAGATTGGCACAGACCAGAGCATGATCAGATTCCAGATAGGTACTCCAAAAGGAGCGGCAGTCTTGTACACAACCACGCCAGCGGTAGCTGATCGTGATGTGATCAATCTGAGTCCAGGCTTGAGATGCAGGGGGAGGACGCCAGGTGGCACATCGGCGATGACTGTACCGAAAGTTGGTGTTAGCCATAAACAGTTTGTGGTCTGTGCATAGTTGCAGTAGACGTTCCCCGTTATCTGTCCTGCGACCAACCAGTCCTCATCGGCCACCTAAACGACTCTCTTCTGTGCCTAGACGCCCGACCTGAGCATTCAAGTCTCCAGCTAGTACTACAATATCTGTCGCACGCACTTTCTGGAGAAGAACAGTTAACTGGTGGTAGAACTCGTCCTTGATTGCATCCGGGCTGCAATCTGTCGGGGAATAGGCGGAGATGACGAAAAGACATCGTTTCTCACGCCGATTTCTTCTCACTTTGATGGAACTTTCTAATCTAACAGCACATAACCGACTGTTAATGGGGATCCAGTCGACTAGTGCTGCCTCAGCTCTAGCGCTTAGTGCGACACCAACGCCAGCAAGACCAGACGAAGATGCCACAGGGTCCCCAGGTAAACGCACATAAAACAAGCTTTTTGAAGCGACAGATGGAGAGCGACTTTGTAGTACTTCACCAGAGTCTTGAATACGAGTCTCGGATAGACAACACACATCAATATTAAGACTTTCCAAAGACATAGCCAGCCCTATCTGTTGTCCGACCTGCATAAGTGTGCGAACGTTGAAGGCAGCCAGTTTGAATGGTGCACGTGGTTTCAGAAAAAACTGCTTCAGTACTCGTATTCGATGGTAACATACAATTTTCAACCAGGCAGTGACTCGAGAACGTTTAGATAAAGCTGAATTTTCACCATAGGTGAGCTGCTGTCTGAGTCGAAACGGATACAAAATGTAGAAATAGGAGATAGTGAATAAATGACGTAGTAAATAATAATAATAATAATACCAGTCATTTCAATGTTAGTCGGAGAGAAACGAATATTTTCTATAAGCAGATAGTTCATCATAGTTTTAGTGTGTGGGCTGAGATACTGCCCGGCAGCCCAGACTGAAGCAGGTGGTTTTCTTAGGGGGTCACACCACAAGCCTTCGACCTAAAGGTCTAGTCCACAAGGCAGTGGAGCATCGTGAGGAGATGCAGTCCCATGGAAGCCGGTGACCAACGATTGGTTCATACGCCGTTTGTGCCTGCAGGATACTGGAGCCCATGTGCACCATAGAATTGGGATCCGGTTATAGCGCCGGACGTTCTCTTTTCGTCCTCTCATTTTCGTAAACAACACCTGTGGTGAGTGAAGGCAGTGAGTAGGACTTTTCTGTCAGAGGCTGTATACGCGTGGCCGTGTGAGAGTATTTCGAGAGGGAGGGCGAACCCTCCCCGCTCTTGGCCATACCAGGGCATTTGGGGGCAATGAGCGTCTCGGACGGGACTCGAACCCTCAGTCTTCGGCTCTGGAAACCAACGCCTTATCCATTAGGCCACCGAGACATATTCAGTATATCTTCCCTATAATCCAATCACTTTGAATTGTAAGTATAGGTTGAATACTGTAACATATTTGCGATTTCTGTATTGACTGATTAATTTTGATTTTGAAAATAACCATATGATTAGTTGGAATTCTAGATATTTGTATCTTGTATCAGTTCACTTTGGTATTAAGCATTGAACGTAGTCACGTTATGTACTAATAGCTAAAAATGACTACATAGATGTAGAAAACTGGTGAATTTAATTATAAATACTGTCCGTTATTTTAAGATTAGTTTGCATTAAACTGTTTATCATATTAGTTTATTATATCGTTTCTCAATTTCTTTGATTTTTTTCCTCTTCATTTGGATAGTGAACATTAGCAACGTACTTATTTTGTGTGGTATTGCTTGATTCTAGACTACACTGAACAGATCTTCTGAGTTTGTTCATCTTCATTAGTCATACTGTTTAGTTTTGACCTCTTTTTTCGATATCCTAAGTTATAATTTCGGTTAACGTATAATATACTAACAACTTTGAGGGATTTGTTAGGTAATCAGGGAACGCTACCTAGATACAAAACAATCAACAGCAAAAAGAAACAATATAACAGTGGAATAATGGCTTTGATCTCAATAATCAACCTTCAGATGTCAAATTATTCGTTGTAGTAAATGAAAAAGGTTAGGTTTTGAATATTACGAATCCGGCTAATGTTATAATTCAAGGCTATCACCCCATAGAGTTTTTGTCATCAGTTGACACCGGCGATAATGCAAAAATCTCAGGACGATGTATCAAGAGTGAAGCTGGAGTTTTGAGTCGGGTTTACAAATTAAGGTTAAGATTTTTATCATAAACTGACATAAGCTATGATCCAGTGCTTTGTCACCCTTTTGTTTACAAACTTGAGAAACTTAGGGTTGGGATTTAGAGTGAGTATGAAAAGGAAACATTACCTAGCTTCGTCTAACGTTTTTGATTAAACAATCGATGACGTAACTATTTTGACACAATCTTCCTTAAGAGTAGGTACGTTTTGTAATTTAGCTTAAACACCACCTAAAATTCACTTTATCGTTGTGTAATGCATATTTTTATTGATTTAAAACATTTCAAGAACCAAATATTGTC